ACATCCAACATTTTGAATCAATTGTCACAAGTACTTCAAACTGCCTAAAGAGTCCTAAAGCAACATATGTGATTCAGGCAACAGATTGGAAGGTGACTAATTGTAATGACTATTACAATGAGACTCCTTTATTGCCCAAATGACTTGATTGTCATCACATCAGAACAATATGATAGTCCCTTTCCTGGCTGTTAAATTCTGCTGGAGTTACAGCAACAGAGTGGAACAAGGCTCTCTTAGAAATAGGCCAAACAGAAAAATGGTGACTATGGCTGCATTGTGCAGAGCTGGCTGAATAACTGAGTGAGGTTTGATCAACCTGTTTTCCAACCTCTCTGAGTTTGTATGCAGCTGTAGGGGTAGAAGCAGAAAAATGGAGATTAAACTGACAAAAAAGACTAAAGCTGCTAATCACAACAAAACCTGAAGGACAATAGTGCCACAAGCAATGATACTCCATTGTTTAAACTCACATCAAAATTCTGCAATTATTTTCTTGCTGGTGTCAAAGTAATGGTGTTGTAGTTGTAAAACATGGTAAATACATTGATAAATCTGCAAAACTCACTCAGTACTCAATGTTCAGTTGTAATTATTTATTTTGACTTGAGTTCATAACAGTATTATGTGTTATGTGTGTATGTTGTATACTACAGCTCTAAACATAGAGATAAACATGTCTAATCATACTCTGATGAAATCATAGCAACCTCTCTATTTTATGATTACATTACATTACATAGTGATACATGTACGACATAAACATATAAGCATACACATATATAAAATATGTTGTGTCCTATATAGTTATAATAATCATATTATAATATCCAGTTACCTTTGAAGATGGTCTGAATGTACTTATTTGTTTTCTGTTGATACACGTTTCTAACTTAATCCTACAGAATGATAAAATTGACCACAACTTCCTTTTTCCAATTTTATGGGGTAGGGCACTTTCAACGCTTTTTAAAAAATACTTTCAATTTTTCAATAATTGAAATCTTCATATTGTAGTATCAGGCAAAGTTATTAGATGTTTTTTAAATAATAATTAATGTTATTTGTCATTGCATTCTTTATTTGAACCTAGAAAATGAACATTATTTCCCATTTTACGCCAAATCGTCACACTTTTGGGCCATGGGAGAGGTCTAAAATTCAGTTTAAAAATTTGAAAAAAATTCACATGACTATTTTCACCTTAAAGAACAACATTTCACCATGAGAGCATAACTTTCCAAAAAAAAGAATTTTGCTCACCCTACATGTTATTTAAGTCATGCTCTGTCGGCCATCTTGGATTTTGGGGGGAAGAAGTGAAATATTCCGTCGATCACAGGGACAGATTTTTTGAAAAAGGTTTTAAGAAGCAGAAAAGCCAAAGTTTATACTTGTATCACCATCTGAAATATTCTGCCTAATATAGGGGTAAATTCCCCCCACTATATGAGATAGGGGTCCATGATTCTAATGATATCCAATTTTTATTTTCAATTCCAGTATTTTGAATTTATTTTAGGTTGAAGTATAGTTAGCACTACAATGACTTTAGGCAGTGCCTACCTGAAGCCACAGGTCAGGCTTGATCCAAAATGGCTAAAGATCAACCTCCAGGTGAGTGGACATATCGGAAACTAATAATAGAATGTTCGAAGTATCAGGCCCGTAGCCAGCTTTTTCCAAGCGGAATGAGTATTTTGCCCTAATTTTTACTCTTGACATTATGGCTAATTACATTATTGGTTGAACTTTGCCATATACTGAAGACTTTGTATGTAATAAAAAACACAAATGATAGAGGTTATACAAGTCAATACATGTACTTTAATTGCTTGCAGAGTCTGCAGACCCGTGTTATATAATTTATATAGTTAGTTACAGATTGTCAGAAATATGTGTGTCTTCACTTATTTGTGCTTCTTCTACTATAACACTAGATTGCTAGCAGGCCCGCAGATAGGATCTCGAACCCATCAATCCTCCCCCCAAAACCCCCAAAAATTCTTTCATAATCATGGAGTTTTTCACCAATCTGAGCACTTTTTATGTTCTTTTGGCCATTATTGAACCAAAATTGTCAAAAGTGAACCCCCTGGATTTTTTTAGAAAAAAGTTGACCATGGGCCTGGCTAGCTACCTATCTCTTGTGTTTCACCCACAGGAAATTATTTGAATGATCTAATTTTAAATATTCATATTTCAGGATGCTTTCGACAAGGAAAAGTTAAACCAGTTCTATAATGAACTTGTGAAGGATGGAGAGATATGGAGCAAATCAAGTGACTCTGTTGTCAATTCTGCAGGAGGCTTGGCTAAAAAAGGTATGTCATGACGTACTTAGACACTAACATTTAATTCTTATTCGAAGTGAGAAATATGTAAGGGTTATGTACTAGGAGGTTTTGGATATAGGGTTTATTCTAAGGAAAATATCTATCCCCTGAGGGACCACATATATCCCACTCCCTAGATAGAATAACTATATATTCATACATGTTATGTACCTTGGTCTAAATTTTTTGAGAAATTTGTCTCAAAGGAGGGAAAGTATAGCAAGAGATTTCAGACAGTCATATGTTGGATTTTGGCCATTCTCCGAGGATTTAATCAGGTTCATATGTTAGATCAATGCATTACCTCCAGGAAAAGCACTCATAGAGATGATAAAATAATTTAGACTTTGAGACAGAGAAGATGCAAACAACCCACCCAGATGTTTTTTCTGAAATGTTGTTCTGATTTTCAACCCCTTCTACTCCTTCTTTTTTAATTTTTGTTGCATCAATATGTTGCGTTTTGACACACAGTTAACCCCTTTATAGGAATAAGTGAGTTTTAAAGATATCCATTATGGGTGACCAAAATTAGCTGAAAGCAATGGATCGCATGAGTTTTCCCTATGGGAAAATAACATGGGAAATATTGTTTTCCACTTTATCTAAAAGGAATCACTTATTCCTTTAAAGGGGTTAACTGTGTGTCAAAACGCAATATATTGATGGAAGAAAAATCAAAAAGGCAGGGGTGGAAGGGGTTGAAAATCAGGAAAACATTTCAGAAAAAACATGTGGTTGGGTTGTTTACATCTTCCCTGTCTCAAAGTCGAAATTATTTTATCATCTATAGGAGTGCTTTTCCTGGAGGTTGCATTGGTCTAACATATGTACCTGATAAAATCCTCAGAAAATAGCCAAAATCCAACATATGACTGTCTGAAATCTGTTGCGATACTTTCCCTCCTCCTTCGGTATCTTTGGAGTCATTTTCATTTCTTGTCTTGCCTATTTTCTAAAAATTGTAAAATTTCATATCTTCAAAGGAAATCATATCACACCTTTATGTAAAATCTGACAGATTGATAATTACTTTAATTTAATTAATTAGAGTAATTAACCAAGCCAACTTCTCATATTATCACATTTATATACCAGTATGTACATGTAATAGTTAAATTCTCAAGATTTCTATTGTGTTTTAATATATTTCTGGAATTAATTTAATGTAATGGTATCAATAAATATAAGTAAGAAAGAATAATATTACTCATCATTGCAAAAACAAATCATATATGAGGAAAATAATATGAGGATTTTGACAATAGATTTGATACCAGTATGTAGGAAGAATTTTGATAAAAATGATTTGGATTCTGACAGGAATTCTGGTAAGGAAACATTATGTGCAATAAGTTAACCGGAGGGTCATTAACAGAATTTACGAATTCTTCACTTTACAAAGTTTCTGTAAATGGGCCCCTGGTAACACAAAATATGACAATATGACTGTTGAAAATGTGGTCTGACTCTTTTCAATATTGTATATTCTGTAACATACCTACTCCTTGATTTTTCAGGAAACTTTAAGAACATGCTGTTGAAGTTTTATTGAAGCTTAACCAAGCTAGTAATAGGATTGTGAATAGGGAGAGCTTTTATAAGGGATTTCCAATTAAGACAGACTTCATTTGGGCAAAGACCTTTTTTGCCAGCATATGATTTCATAACATTCTGCCTAGATATTCCAGAAAGCATTGTTTGATGAGGGTTCTCTCTAACAGTTGTTGGGAGATGCAGGCAGGGGGATGCAATTGACAAAAAAAAAATTCAGTCAGGAGGAGTGGGATCATGGCATAAGTGAGCCAAAAAAAATTGATGTAACCATGGGGTTTCTTGAAATCCCATGATGTAACTTCCTTCAAAATTGAGCTAGAAACTTCAAATAAAAAGCATTTCGAAGCTCTTTTCTTCCTCTATCTTGTGGTTTGATTTTTATATTGCCTTTCACCTCCCCTGGCTACACCTTTGTATACATATTTCAATATTTATATTTCAGCAAGCAATGGTAGATTCTATTGTGGGGCTAGGGTTCTCTCTTGTGTATGCTGTGATGGGAGATGTGGGCCAACTACAGGCTGTAACTGTCCCCCATTCCAACCCATCCCTTTATATATTTCAATTATTATATTGCAGCAAGCAATGGTAGATTCTATTGTGGGGCTATGGTTCTCTCTTGTGTATGCTGTGATGGGAGGTGTGGGCCAACTACAGGCTGTAACTGTCCCCCATGTCAACCCATCCCTTTATATATTTCAATTATTATATTGCAGCAAGCAATGGTAGATTCTATTGTGGGGCTATGGTTCTCTCTTGTGTATGCTGTGATGGGAGGTGTGGGCCAACTACAGGCTGTAACTGTCCCCCATGTCAACCCATCCCTTTATATATTTCAATCTTTATATTTCAGCAAGCAATGGTAGATTCTATTGTGGGGCTATGGTTCTCTCTTGTGTATGCTGTGATGGGAGGTGTGGGCCAACTACAGGCTGTAACTGTCCCCCATTCCAACCCATCCCTTTATATATTTCAATTATTATATTGCAGCAAGCAATGGTAGATTCTATTGTGGGGCTATGGTTCTCTCTTGTGTATGCTGTGATGGGAGGTGTGGGCCAACTACAGGCTGTAACTGTCCCCCATGTCAACCCATCCCTTTATATATTTCAATCTTTATATTTCAGCAAGCAATGGTAGATTCTACTGTGGGGCTAGGGTTCTCTCTTGTGTATGCTGTGATGGGAAATGTGGGCCAACTACAGGCTGTAACTGTCCCCCATGTCATCCCATCCCTTTATATATTTCAATCTTTATATTTCAGCAAGCAATGGTAGATTCTATTGTGGGGCTAGGGTTCTCTCTTGTGTATGCTGTGATGGGAGGTGTGGGCCAACTACAGGCTGTAACTGTCCCCCATGTCAACCCATCCCTTTATATATTTCAATCTTTATATTTCAGCAAGCAATGGTAGATTCTACTGTGGGGCTAGGGTTCTCTCTTGTGTATGCTGTGATGGGAGATGTGGGCCAACTACAGGCTGTAACTGTCCCCCATGCCAGGCCTTGGACAGTGAAGAGGAAGCGTGGAAGCAGAATCAGTTAAAGACACCTCATCTATCAAAGAATATGGTCAGCTCTTGGACATGGGGCCCCCAACCAAGTAAGCTTAAGACTTATTACAATATACAGGGTGTCAAAAAGGCTGAAGATGTATAATATACAGGGTGACAAAAAAGGCTTAAGATATATTACATTTGTAAAGTGTAAAATGAATCTAAACATACTGAGATTTGCCCATACACTTACTCAGTGATTTTGTCATGACGATGCTTAGCAATAGCAGTATAAAGTTGAGTAGCCTCACAGGTCTCACTAAAACATATAACATGGGTGGCAAAAAAGACTTAAGACACAATACATAAACAGGGTGTCAAAAAATCATGGCACCGCCTCCCCTTTATGACTTTTGTAGTCGAATGCAAGGGATTTAACTGCAACACACAAAATAGTGGTTAACTCATAAAATTATACTCATTTTGAATTTTTGGATTGGTAAGATAAAAAGAAAACATAATGTACAGTGGTCTCCCAGCATTAAAGCAAGTGGGCGCAGACCCAACTGAGATTTTAAAAACAGGCTTGCACCTGAAAATCCATTAGCACCCACTTGAAAATGAGAAAAATCTTGAAAAATGGGCATATTATGACCAATTTTGGTCTGAATTGTGAAAATGAGTATTTTGCACTCACTTGAAAAAAAATCCAAGGGAGAACACTGAAGTATATAATGCGTACAGTATGTGTAATTTTATTCTGATTCAGGCATGGACAAGCTCCAAGAGTATCTTTCATCATTGATATTCGAGAACCAGCAGCTTTCATTTGATGCGGCTGGGACGACACTCTCCACATTGAGGCTGAAACAGCGCCTCCTGGTGATGGAAAGGTACTTCATGGCGATATCGCACCATCGACCTATTGAGAAGAAATCACCAATCAGGAAGAAACAGACTATACAGGCTAATTTGAATAAACAGAAAAGGTATTGTTTAATTCCTCTCTCTCTCTATACTTATTTCAACTTATATTAAAGAATATACATGTACAGGCCTGTAGCCAAGGGGGGTTCAGGGGTACTGGCCAAAAATTCTTTCAAAGTTATGTAAAATTTCACAATTTTGAGCAGTTTTCGCTTGATTTTTTTACAGAATATATTTCTTTAAGAAATTGATGAAATCAGTGATAAAATCATGAAATTAATTGGACTCTTAATAAATAATTTTCTATTGTTTTTTCCAGTTCCTACAAACCAGCTGAGAGGACTACGCTTGGACTAGCACGAGTTGGCTCAAGAGCAGCACTAAGTTTCGCATTCGCGTTTCTACGACGTGCCTGGAGATCTGGGGAAGATTCCGATCTCTGTAGCGAATTGTTAGGGGAATCTCTAGAAGCCCTCAGGTCTCTCCCCGAGGCTACGCTATTTGAGGAAAATTCAGTTTCGGCTGTTTGGATGGAGGTGGTTGAAAGAGCAGCCACATTTTTACGCACAGTGGTAGCTGGGTATGTATGTTAAATTATAGTCATTACTCTATGACAAATACATATCGAGTTCAGCTCATTTTCAGTTCAGTTTTGTGATGAATCTGATACTTCGTTTCATTTCACAAAAAAATGATTTTTTAATGTGATTGACAGGTTATCTGAGTTACCATGGCAATATTTTTCACAGGCCATGCATGTTAAATTACTGGAAGTGATAGAGGATGTAACATATTGTAAACATTCTTTCAAAAAGCAGATCAATGTTGCCCTTACAATCTCAATTTTATTATCTGAGAAAAGAATTGAGAAATCTGATCAAATATCAAAGTTATTGAAGGTTTTAGATGCAGATATGTCTTTTAAATTATGTCAGTTTTCTCATCTTTCTACAAATACATGGGCGTAAATGTTATTTTTTAAAGTAGTACGCCACCACGGGATCCCGCATAGGAGCAAGAGTTAAGAGAAGCCAAAAAGTGTCAGGGGGGTCTGAGGGGTTCTCCCCCTAGGAAAATTTTGAAATTTGGTTGTATTTGGAGCGAATTTGAAACCATCTTGTATGCCTGTGTGCCCATGAAATATCCTTAAGAATCTACCTACTTATACTCATTTTGGAGAAGTCTGTTTTTATGATATCACTGGAAATGGTGTGACATACTGTTACAGTTTCCAATGTCTTTAATATATGTAAGAAATGGCAGGTGATGACATTTTGCATGTTAATGCCTTGTTTTACCATGTGAACCCTCTAAATGATGCCAATTTCATAATAGACACCTATACTTCCAAGGATGTCCAAGCAGGGGGTACTGCAAGGAGCACAAGTATTTAATATATGTAACAAATGGCAGGTGATGACATTTTGCATGTCAATGCCTTGTTTTAGTATGTGAACCTTCTAAATGATGTCAAATTCATAATAGACACCTCTACTTCCAGGGATGTCCAAGCAGGGGGTACTGCAAGGAGCACAAGTACAGTCCCTACCCCTGATAAAATGACAGCCCTGGCTCTGTTGATGGAATTAGCAGTCCAGCATGGGTCTTTGCATTATATCCTGGATGCTGTGCTTCTTTTACTGAATCTTTGGAACGACAACAAAGCAGATTATGATAACAGGTAACATGTCAACATGTCGTTAAGGTTCTATGACATTATAAGTAGATTTACCTGAATGTATTACAACTGTTCCATTTCAATTATTTAGTGATCATGGATTCAGTATGCTTTCGAAACATCTAATATGAAAGTAATACAGTCTGTGACAATGAATGCTAATAAACAGAATATGTTAACATATTTGTCCATTTTAACCCTAGTTAGATGCTCCATCATTTGAGATAAAATTAATTTTTCAACTGAGACAAAAAAATTCTCAGAGATATGTATTTATATAGAGTACTCAGAGTATATATTTATACCTTTGCTTAAATCATGAATCGTCATCCACATTCCAATCCTATTTTGATGCTACATATTCATATGAATTTTAAATGTTGTCAATTTATTTATTTATAGGTTCAGTGGACATCTTACTAGAGCTCCTTTGATTCCATTCTTGAGACGATTTCAGGAAATAAGTGGATTGAAGACAAAAAGATACGAACAGAACAAATATGATGAGGTACGTTGTTATGTGCATTTTTTTCAAATTCAGTTCCTTAAACAAGCCTGAAAAACCATCAGGTTTTTACCGAGCTTGTAACTAAGCTGCTTTATAAATAACCTCCAATCTGAAGTTTTTCCTGTTAAGAACTTTTCAAAAAGTGCTCGTTTTATCACAAAATTTCATGAGATGGCTATAATTTGTTTTGATTTTTTTTATCTCACCACTGTAATTGGTGACATATTGTTAAGGTGTCCAAATTTTTCATGGATGGTGTTCGATGCTTGGTGTTGGACTGTTGGTGTTCGGGTATCTGTAACAAATGGCAAGTGGTTCTCTATTGATTTAACCTATGTTTTTTATTCAGGATGGAACACTACATATCAGCCCTACTGAGTGTTTCCTGCGCTATCTCACTATACCAGAGAATGACGATCTATTGGTAGATCTGCGTCAATCTGCCGTTGTTGTGATGTCACATCTCGACAGACTGGCGTCAGCTTATATGCCACCCAGTGATCGACAAAAGGTAAGATGACTAAAGTTAATACCACATATTGAGACACCCCCAGAGTTTAGGACATATTTACATAATTACAGGCAGTTGACAAATGTACATGTAATACAGGCAGTTGACAAATGTACATGTAATACAGGCAGTTGACAAATGTACATGTAATACAGGCAGATGACAAATACATTACAGTCGGTGGCTTAGATCATTATCAAACATAACAATTTGCATGTCTAGACTAACATACCCAATTAGAATTGCAGTCACTGAATTTTATTTTCACACATTGAGATTATCCCTGTAGGCCAATAGGGGCCAATTGCCTCTTTAGATTTTATTTTAAAGACTAGTTTGACCAGGCTTTTCTTTAGCTCTATAAATTCAGGGGCATATTAAAATAAAGAAGAAACTAGAGGGAGGTTTTAGATGACAATTAAATTGTAATGACCTTACTGTAGCTCTAGTGCAAGGCTTACGTTGACAGCATTTAGTGACAGTTGAATTGAGATAGTATGCGTCACTTGTCAATTAACAGCTGGTGTTTCAATAGGAGGAAAATATAATTAACAATAACTCAAAGGTCCAAATTTTATAGGCTGGTGTTTCAAGGGCATAGAAATAGAAGGAATTTCTGGGATGATGTCATTTGTGTTTATTTTGCAAATATGAGACAATACAACTCTGCTTGGTTATTTATATCATGAAATGCTAAAAATGATGAATGATTTGATAAAATATGTTTTGTTTGGTAGGATATGCTACTATGGGCAATTGATGTTTTTATGTTGAAATCTCAGCTGCTTAATTTGGTCAAACTACAGAAAGTAGATTTTTGTTGAAAAGATGAATAACAATTGTTCAGACATTTTTACCTAATTTTATTACTTGAGTATTTGATCTTTGCAAGCTTACCGTATTCTCTGTAATTACCGCCCACTCTCTAATAAGCGCCCACCCCGCTTCACAAAGTTCAAGAAACATCGAGGAATCAACAAGAATTGAAGAATATATCAGGAAAAAAATATTTCTCAAAATCCAGGAGCGGGCGATAATAGAGTACTTACCCTAAAACTGCTGTAAACACGACGCGTTTTGTAATTCTATGCATCCTCTCGATACATATCTATCGATGGGTGCTTCCCACACTATACCATGCTAATATTGTCTCCAAATAGTCCATAATGAATGAAGGAATTGTTCTTTATCGGCATTCAGAAATTTCAAAAGCTACTGCGCAGATGTTCTGCGCATGTCAAGGTCGTGAACTTTCTGGTTTCTTTTTAATGTTTCTCAACTTTTACACGACTTTTGCACGAATAATGATGATCTCTCATCAAATTAGAAATAATGTATAACTTTAGATCGATATCCAGCAGTCTCTAGTAGAAATATTGAAGGTAATCGGCGATAATGACAAAGTGGGCGTGCCGGAAATAAATTAGACATAGACGGGTCTTCAACCACTGTCAATATTGTCTAAGCGATCTTTACCGTATTCTCTCCAATAACAGCACTTGTCATATTATTATAAAAATATGTTGAAGAAAATGCATGCTTGTCAAGAAAAATTGCCATACATGAAATTCCTCGGGATTTCTGATTTCTTTCATACATGGGCGCTTATTAGAATGGTCTAAATAATGTATTTTCAATTTTCTAAACGCCCTGGGCGCTAATTACAGAGAATACGGTAAATTAAATTGAGTGTATTTTGTGAAACAGTTTTTCCTGTAACGAAGGAATATTCTCAAAACCACATTTAATTTGTATTTTGACATCTGAATATGATTGACAGATATATTCTTAAGTTACATTTGTTCCAACTGTAGTTTGGTTCATTTGTTCTCACATTTTGTTGGCACTGTTGGACAGATCACTTTGTTACAGTCATCCGTAAATGCTTTCGTGGTTCTATTAAACACCTTGCCTTCCATACTTCCTTCTGGCCCTTCGTGAATTATCCCTTCATGAAATGTATAAAGCTTAGACCCAGGCGACCGAAGCTGAGAGGCATATTTGCCGAAATTGCTTCTGCTGACGATGATGATGTCACAATTTGCAAGAATACTAAAGTCGAGAATCGTTTTTTCCATTCCTTCACAAGCTTTGGTTTTGTTGCGAAATCTATCAATATGAGTGATATCACCATCAGTGTCCAAAATAATATCCGGGAAAAGTTTTTGAGAGTTTTCTCGTATTTGTTGAGAATCAGTTGTTACGAAAAGAGAATATTTTGACGAGTCGTTATATAAAGATAAAAAATCCCAAAGTACTGGAAACCATTCATCCTTGTTTCGTATCCTTGATTCTTCTGGTATTGATGGATTAAGCCCACTTCGGATTTGAGCGCACACTAATTTCACATTTGGCTTTGACTTCGCTCGTGCTATGAATTCATCGAGCAATTTCAACAAATTTAGCTGAAGTTTGAATAAGTGATTATACATACTCGAAAACATTTCATCTGCGGTGAAATGTGAGATGTTGAATCCTTGATTCCAAAGCATTGATTTGTATGGCTCCTCGTGGAATTTAGTTGTCCATCCTTGATTAGTTTCTATGACAACTACAGGCTCGGGGAAATTTTTTCCCTTCCCAAATATTGGTTCCCCACATTTGTCGTATTCGTCGATCATATGTATGGTTCTGTTTTTCAAATCGTGAGTAATAGATCCATGCCAAGGCTCGTGATTTTCACCTAGTTGATTGTATAGATCACATGGATTTGTGGAAATAATACGGAATTTCCGTTTGAGAGCCATTGCTAGCCAAAATGTACTATATATACCCTTTAATCTGTCGCCCAAACCTCCACAATAATTTTTACACATGTACACGATATATTTGTCAGATTCAACTTTCCGAGCCTGCAGTATTTCATTGAAGCCTGACAACTGATCTTTACTTATTGTTTGAGTTTTGGTAGATGGCTTATTCGTTGTAGAAATAATCTTTTGTATTTGAAGCCTTGTAACTTGGTTTTTATTCCTATATCCTTTTCTTTGGAACCCCACATGATCCCTACTAAAATCCATGTGATTTTTTGTATGATTGATGCGATATTTCGAAAATGTTACTTGTATTTTCCTGCTATACTGAATCATAATTAGAAGTCCTATTATGGAAAGTAGACCCATGACACAAAAAAGCCTTAATTGAGCATTGCTTTGCATCCTGTAAGCTTTGACTCGAGTCTGTTTGTTTGCAACTTTTAATTAATATTGTATCCAATAATGCGCGAGGGACCAAAATCAATAATGTCTGAAATTACTAGTAATGTTGAACTATTGTTTAATCATGGTTTAGTCTTTTGTTTTACATTAAAAACACATGCAGTACATAAAATTCACTTGTGCAGCAGATTTCCCGTCTACTTGATACAGTAGTTATAGTTAAATTAGAATATTGAAACTTTATTTTATAGAATGCAAGGAATCTACAGGGATACTTATGTGTATTAATTTGAATATCCTATCAATCCAATTTTCACATATAGGGATGTCAAAAAGCAGAAAATATGAATTTTGAAGTTGAATAGTTATGATAATCCAGATGTGAGTAGGTAGTTACTAGTTTCACCACCAGGTGGCTGATTTGGGTCAGATAACATGGCAGGGTATTAGAAAGTTCCATTAAACTTGAATATTCATCAGTTTTAGTGGTTCAATTTTCATATTACCACTATGTACTGATAGTTATACAAATTAGAATATGTCCAATACAAGAAAAGATATTTCACTTTTTGTAATTTTAATAATAGGGGTTCATCTCCCCAATCTAGAAATCACATTTTCAAAGAAAATTAAAGTTTCATAAACACTTTTAACATCACATTTCTAAATGTTATTTTACATGTAGATTTTTAATATGATATCACTTTGACTGAATTTTTAATGATATAAATTAAAATTATTTCAACTTGCTTCTCGCCTATTGAAGTTCACCATTTACCTATGAACTAAACAAAACAAAACTAAACATGTGCTTGGTATTCTCTTCATCCTAAGTCTAAACTAAAATAAATGACAAATTTGGCCTAAAACATTAGAACAATGTTCTTTACTAAACACTATTGTTCTTTGCAGACATTCAATAACGGCCAAGAAGTGTATGGCTGGGTTTGGATAGATTGGCTTGAGTCTAAACTAAACAGTACAAGGCCCAGTGTAGTAGGGCCAATGTTCTTTACTAAACACTATTGTTCTTTGCAGACATTCAACAATGGACAAGAAGTGTATGGCTGGGGTTGGATAGATTGGCTTGAGTCTAAACTAAACACTACAAGTGCAAGTCCAGTTGATTGCTTATGTGAACTTGGAGGGATACAAGACATCTGCTGTGCTGAACGATCCATGTTGATTCTAACGAAGTCCAACAAAGTTTTTACGCTGCCATATGGTACAGAGAGAGCTGTAAGTACAGTACAGTATATTATTAGTACCTAAGTCGAAGAACTGGGTTTTGATTGGTCAAGCGGTGGTGAACATTTGGAATACCATATTCTCTGTAATAAGGGCCCATCCCCTATAAGGGCCCACACTGCTTCTCAAAGTTATATTTATTTTTTAATTCAGTATTTTCAACAAATTCTTATTCTTAGTCGCTCTTTAAATTCTGTATTTTAAAATAATTCACATTCCTTGGTCACTCAGTAAAAATGCAAGTTATCATATCGTAAATTTTACCTCTTCTCATGTTTGCAGACCCCACAACTGGTGGATGGATTTACAGACAAAGACATCATAAAGATATCAGCACATGCTGATGGCCGCCATTTCCTCGCCTTGACAACAGAGGGTGACATCTATTCATGGGGAAATGGTGAAGGAGGGTGCCTCGGACATGGCGATACACTGTATGTTTATTTGCCTATAATCCAATTGTCACTCACTTGGCATCAGTTTATAAAGCATTCATAGTTTTGTACATATTATATTTTTTCAAAAATGGCTTGAATTTTTCAAAAATATCTAGATCTACTTGTGAGCGTTTCATTTCCAACCAAAGTAGATTAATACTGTATGAAATTTTGTTGCATACATGTATATCTAAAATTTCTATTTTCTACATACATTCCAAGTTTTTTACACTGACGCACATTACGTCCGCAAAATTTTGAGATACCACATACATGTACATTAGGTAATTAAAGTGCTATATGGCAGCTTGGAATATATACAGCTTTTTGGGGCCATCATTTTACTAATGTGGAGTCTTCCTACACTTCAGATCCCTCGAGCAACCCACAAGAATCAAAGCTCTTTCTGGCAAGCATATGGTCCATATCTCAGCTGGTAGTTCATACAGTGCAGCCCTGACATCAGATGGGGAACTGTACACCTGGGGAAAGGGCAACTATGGCAGATTAGGTTTAGGATGCAGTGACGATCGTATGGTATGTTTCTTATATTTCTAGGTTAAAATCAATTCGTTATCTTGATTTTGAGCAACACAAACTTTCAATTTGAAGTATCATTAAATTTTTTCTCTATTTTCCTTATTTGGGCATAACTGCAGTGTTGATATTATCAACAAAGCCTTAATTGCAAGGAGGTTTGGCAGCCAGGGTTCCAACTCGATATTCTTTAATCTCCAATCGATGCGGTAGTTTCCAATCCTGCCTGTATATTTCTACGGCTGCAAGGAGAATAGCCGATACCTCCTTGTTTTGAGATATTTTTCTCCAATCGATGTGGTAGTTTCCAATCCTGCCTGTATATTTCTACTGCTGCAAGGAGAATGGTCAATATTCTTGATTGTATTTTGTATTCATAACATGACTACGTTATACCCATATATGGAACAGAATATCGATTGGCGTCCCTGGGAGCCAATCCTCCTTGGTTAATTTGTAAGCCTTTAAACAATAATGCCATCTTTAAATGTAGAAGAAACTTTCTGTAACATTAGATTTACTATTGCAGGTCCCAATGCTGGTTGAGACTCTAAAGGGGCACACTATCATTGATGTATCCTGTGGAAGTGGAGATGCCCAGACCCTGGCTGTTTCTGAAGCTGGTATGTTATGAATATATGTTTGAAATATCTTATTTTCATTACTTACTTATATCAGGGTTTCTTTCCATATGTTATGAATATGAATATATGTTTGAAATAGCTTATTTTCATTACTTATTATATCAGGGTTTCTTTTGGTATTGGGGTGGGTTCTCTTTTTTATTTTCGAAGTTTTTGTTTCTAAACTATAATGTTAAAGGATGTTTTTGCGTTTAATTTGTAGTTGGGTCAGTTTTTTCCTGATATGCACATGACCCCCCCTCCCCTCCAAATTGCTCTGTATATTTTCAGCCAGTTTGTCTGAATTTATCACAATAACATCAATAAAATATGTATATATTTCCCAGGTAACATTTACTCCTGGGGGGACGGAGACTATGGCAAGCTTGGGCGTGGAGGCAGTGACGGCTGTAGAATCCCAAAGATGATCGACTCATTACAGGGCACAGAGTTCAAGCGTGTATTCTGCGGTGCACAATTCAGTCTGGCCTTAACAAAATCAGGACAACTTTATTCGTGGTAGGTATTTTTCAAATATTATTTGGCTCACAGGGACATTATTATTAACCTACGAAAACACAGAAGGTCCATTCTATCCATCCATCTGTCCATCAACAATTCTTTGGACAATTGAAAAATCCCATTTGTGTTGATCAATGCTCATATCTGATTCATTGTTTCCATTCTGGTAATTTCAAGTAAGAAGCATCACATGTTTAGTTAGATCATTTAAAAACATCACATGTTTAATGTTTAGTCAGATTGCCTTTATTCACATAATACATGATAAATGAGTAATTCAAATACTTAATACTACCATAATCATTTACTTTGCAGGGGCAAGGGTGACAACCACAGACTCGGACAGGGTACAATGGACCACATTAGACGTCCAAAACTCCTTGATACACTACTTGGCAAGAAGGTTATAAATGTAGCTGTAGGCACGATGCATTCATTCATCATTACAGAGGACAATGAGGTTAGTGATGATTTAAAGGAGTACAAATTCATACACATTTGTAAAATGGGTTTATTTTGCTTTATCAGCATGAAATATTATGACAGATAGAGTAAGGATTAAGGTTCGCATCAGAAAGAATATTGCTTTGTACAATTGTAATGATAAAGAAAGATGGTAGGCTGAATAGACCAATACAGTCAATCATTGTCACTTATTGGTCATGATGCCATTCTTACAGTTGCAGATTATTTCAAAATCTTTAAGTTTTTCTCACAAAACATTTCATTCCGCAAAGTACCATTAACCCTGTCAAACTACCCTAGTTCAGTCTTTGTTCACTAAAAGGTCAAGTTCATTGAAATGCCTTTTACTTCAAATATTTGTAGGTGTTCACATGGGGCAAGAATGACCATGGCCAACAAGGGGACAGTACAGTGAACTATAGACCTGAACCACAGCCCCATTACACAGTCTATTACAGAGTCTATTCATATATTTGTAGGTGTTCACATGGGGCAAGAATGACCATGGCCAACAAGGGGACAGTACAGTGAACTATAGACCTGAACCACAGCCCCTTGTACAGATGGAGGGGAAGCAGATCATTGGAGCAGCCTGTGGACCTGCCCAGGTACCGGATTTCTCGCATATACGCCCCCCTAAATTTAGGCCTATGGGCCAAAAATCGAATGTAGTACGCTTATACGCCCATAGGCCTATAAAAATGACTATTTATTGATTTTTTCAATAAATTCAAGAGTATTTTGTCACTGGCAGATCGTTCTGTCGTTACTTTGTTTCAACATTAAGTTCAACACTGTGCCATAAGTGGCAGTGGTGGATCGTTCTGTTGTTACTTTATTTCAACATTAAGTCTTCTCACCTTTACGCCTACTGGGCCAAAAATCGAAAGTAGTAAAGTAGGTAAAATAACAGACGAAATTACCCCTTCTTTTTCTCGCATATAAGCCCAGGGCTTATATGCGAGAAAATCCGGTATCAGATTATTAGCTGTACAATAAAACTAAAGATAAAATACATTTCATGATTTTTTAAAAAGGATATCTATGAAAATCAAGTTTATTTATGCTGGCTTCTTATTGTCGAGAGTGTATTGATTTTGTTGTCACTCCCTATAGTGTACAGTATAGTGTGCAATAAATTGAAAGGGAATATCTCATTTGAAAATCTAAAATTTGAAAATGTTTTTTCGCTTATTTCAGAGCTTTGTATGGACATCAAACGGACGCTGGAACATCAATCCCAGGGTTCCATTTGTGGTTGATATATGCAGAGCCACCTTTGAACAGCTAGATGAACTACTTGGTGAGGTCGCAGAGGATTTAGATGGCAGGTTAGATTGGCCACCGCCCCAAGAGAAAGAATGTATGACAGTAGCAGCATTAAATTTACTTAACCTACAGGTATATAGAATAACACAATTTCAATTTCCGATTACATTTTTTTTGCAATTACAATTTTTGCAATTTGCAATTACATATATGTATATAGCATTTAGCATATAGCATTTGATATGAAATTTCTCATCTGTAAATATGAAATTGTTTACCTACTTAGCAGCTTTATGAGTTCCAAAGTGGTAAACAAACTTCCAAACTGTGTGTACGTGTACCTGTTAAATCAGATGTTTTAGGGACTTGGGTTAAAGAGCAATTTTTGTACACATACTCTTTTGAAAGATTTTGGTTTGCATATAGAATGAAAAGGGAGTCTTGTCCTATTATATTTTCCAAACAGATTCTAAACAATGATACTCCCCCATCTAACTGAGAAATAATCCTTAATTAAATTTTTCAGATGTTTGCTGCAATTAACCAGAATGAGTCCCTCGACCACTTAGGGCTCAGTCCAGGTGGCGCTCTTGTAACTAGTCTAAGACAGCGGGTAGTGACTCTCGCAAGTAATTCTGGAGTTCTACGTACGATACAATTTGCTGCACAGAATGTACTGAAACATGGATGGTCACTGTTGCTTCCTACACCTGAGGAGAGAGCCAAGGCTTTGTCTTCACTCCTCCCATCTACTGGTGAGTAATTTTTTTAAATTTTTTTTTTATTCATTTCATTAAAACATAATAACATTTTTACATATTCGTGGTTGTGATACCTATCACATTATAGCATGGCTTAAAGTATTCAGGAATTTCAGGAAATTTCAGGAAAAAATTGACCAAAATCTGACTCCATTGAGTTCAATACAAATCTGGATTTATAAGGCCACAGCATCAAAGGAAAATGCTCTCCTAGCATGGTCACTGAGGTATGGGTGGACCGAAGACTGATATAACTTAATTCTATCCTAAATCTGTTTTTCAGTATCAAGAGATGTGACAGGGTTAAGTGCTGGCCAACGTTTTATGACAAACCTTCTAGTGAGTAGCCTCATGGCTGATGGGGGTCTAGAAACTGCTCTGGAAACAACCATAAGACTAGAGACTCAAGGCATTGAAGAAAAACAGGTAGATATGGGGATATCTAGAAACTGTATTGTATAGTATTCAGATATCAAACTTAAGGCTATAATGGACTAAAAACCATTCATGTTGATCTAATAATACTGGATCCATCAAAAGCCTTCACATTGCCAAAGACCTCCATCGATACACAATTTCACAGATTTCAGTCGTATAGGCCTATTGCGCCATGAAACATAAATTCTTGATCTTTATTCCTTAAATAAAAATTATATTTGTGAACCATTTAATTGCAGAACAAGAGATGTGCAAGTGAATCAGATCTTGTGGGGGAAGCGACCAATGACATCAAAACCCAGGATGCCATTTTAGAAGTTGAAATCCAAAATGAGGCTCAACACACGATTCCTCTACTCCAACTTGTGCAGCAGCTTCTTAGAAACAGCTCCGCTTACACATACCAAAAACTTAATGAACTCTCAAAAGATTTAAATATAAAGAAAGAGGGCTCTGAATCATGTGAAGCGACATCTGTTGATTTGTTGTTGAGGTTCCAGCGCCTCCTGGTGGCTAAAATCTTCCAGGCCGAATCATCGTCACAAGAGGCTACAACACCAACTGTTGAGACTGGTATGTGGACTCTTTTGATTCTAAAGAATTTGGAGATTTCTGCATACAGTAAAACCTGTCTAATCCGAATATCTCTAGGACTGCCCAAAAGTGTTCAAATTAGCAGATGTTCTCATTTTAAGTTTTTATAAACATCTAAGTCAATGAAAAAAGATGAGAAAAAGTGTTCATAAGATGTTCAGATTAGAGAGGTGTTCAGATAAACAGGTTTCACTGTATTGAATTTCAAATTACATAATTAAATGCATTATATCAGAAATCTCAATTTTCTTCAGAAAATGAAATAAGAATTGTAGCCGGGGAAAAACATTGGCAAGCTTTTTGAAAATATTGCGTCCAACATTTTAAACTCTATAATTTTTTTTCCAGATTCTGAGTTATTGGGTGCAGGTATCCTCCTAAAGAAGTACACCATGTTAATGTGTGCACACGTCACTGATATTCTCCCCTTAGCAACCAGTCTTGCATCATACAGCAGTAAACACTTCTCATTGGTGTCTCAAACCATCTCAGAGGATGTTGCAGGTATTAGATATTTCCTTCCTTGTTGGTGTCTCATTGTTTATCATTGCTTCTAATTCTTCACCCATATGTACAAACCTCATCTGAGTGAATCAATAAAAAGCAAAAAATCTGATCAGTTTATTACTTGTCAATTCCACTAATTTTTCCATTCACAATATTTTTATATTCAAAAATTTTTATATTCAAGTGTGTTATCAAATTCAAACAAGATGCCTATTTTGGAATATTTTTGGTAAAATAAGCAACATTTTTGTTATGGTTTATAGGTCTGCTTTTACCGGAGTTGATTACCAGTCTAGTGCTTCTACAAGTGAACACTCCAAGAGTTCTACAGGACTCAAATGCTGTTCCCACATTAGAGGTTTTACTTGATGTACTGGATAAGTTTAACAGACTTGCCCCAGGGAAGGATAGGGATGATTGTGAGGAGCTGGCTTGGCCTGGAATCTGGGGTATATACATTTTTAAAAATCATTTTTATTTAACCTAGAAGGTAACAGTAAACTATTATAACCCTTGTGCATCCCACACGATATGTATAAGAAAATCATATAACTACTGAACTATGTTCTACTTCTGAATTATCTTTGTTTGATATCAAAAGTTCATGTAAAAGTTTTGCGCTCTAATTTTGAAATATTTGGCCCCAAATCTTAAAAATAGGACCAAAATTAATGCCAAGTTATGCTACTTTGTTACATAATTTTGGGAGAAGCAGATTTTGGGCTCTAAACCTTTTTTGGGCCTCAAAGTTATTTAGGCTCACCAATGGGAGAGGGGCCCGGTTCTCTATTCTCCCACTGCCATTGCCTAACCTTACCTTATCAGTGGTTATTCCCTTTAATATTTTGTTTTTATATTTCTACAATTTTCTAGGGAACTTGCTTGAAAAATACACTCACAAGTCCACAGATGAAGTGATGCAGATTCGTAAGGCAGACCTGGAGAATCATTGCAAAGATGGTGGACTATGGGTTGTGATTCACGGTCGTGTTTATGATATACAGGTTAGTACATAATAATGTCTTCTCAAACATTACATATTTTATACACATGATCTAGTTTGTCAATTGTTAGAGCTCATGAATTTAAAAGGAACTCTAAAACACCTCTCAATTTGAACAGTGAACAGTCATATTTGAAAAATTAACCTGTCTAATCTGCACACTTTTCATAAAATTTCACATGATTCATACAAAATTGCTCAAATGTTGTTATGATATCAAAACTTTGGGAAAAAAACTTGAATGGTCTTGATTATAATGGGGCTTACCAGCATGACTAGATTCATTTGCATCGAATTTTCAAATTTCTGGAATGCTGTAAAGCTATTTGGTCAAATGAACTATAAATATGTACCCAGAATGTGTTCACATTTCTTCAGAATCCAGAATCTCGCGAATGCAAAACCTCGAATTCTGAACACCTCCTAATCTGAACGCTTTAAGCCAGTCCCAATGGGGTTCGGATTAGACAGGTTTTACTGTAGTGTGATATTTCCACAATTAAATTTCTTGTTCTGTTTGTTGTCTAGGATTTCAAGTCAAATGCCCCATGTGGTGCAGAAGTTCTGCTGGATTACGCTGCCAAGGACGCAACTGAAGTTTTTGAACAGGTGTTTCATACAGATAAAGCAAGGGCAATGATGAATAACTACTACATAGGAAACTATCTCGATGTAAGTGTATAATTCAGATATTCACATTTTTACCTGATTTGTATAATTTTCGCGAGTTTAGAAAAATTCGTGAAATATGCTAGCCGAAGAATTCCATAGTTCCAATTCGCAAACTTTAATTGTCATGAAATTTCCGGGAATTTATTTCACATAATGATGACAATAATTTTTTTTTTAACTTTTCTTGCTTGATATTCTGTGTACATGTATACTGAAATTGGCAATAGATTTCAAATAATGGTTGAGCCTACTCTGAGTTAAAATGCATGCATGCTATATGTTCTTCCAGCCGGATCATGATGTTGTTCAAACAACTGATACCAGCACAGCCGGTTCCCCTCTCATCGACACAGAGCGTACGCTAGCCCTGCTGTTAGGTCTACATGCAAGCTACCAAGCTAGAAGCACGCCACTGTCCCATGATGAATTGGAATACAAACATTGGTTAGAGTCGGATTTCTGCCAAGGTATGTTTTATTTTTGATTACTGCTTTACACATGCACACAAGGGTGGATAAGTTGTAGAGATCTCCCCAGGATTATTTCTCAGGTGGTGCAAAATTTTCATTTTCACTATACAGACCAAAATTGGTCAAAATATGCCAATTTTTCACGATTTTTCTCATTTTCAAGTGGGTGCAAATGGATTTTCAGGCGGTTGCAAGCCCTATTTTCAAAATCTCAGGTGGATGCTGTGCCCACTTGCTTTAATGCTAGGGAGATGGAGTTGTATTATGGTCACTTGGAAACTAACTCAACAATACACTTGCTCTAGTTACCCAATCACAATCATTTAACCCAACAAACACCATTCAGCCTAACACACATTATTTAACCTCACAAACATAATTCAACCCAACAAACATATTCATCCCAACAAACATTATTCAACCCAACAAACATATTCAACCTCAGAAACATTATTCAGCCCAACAAACATTATTCAACCTCACAAACATTATTCAACCCAACAAACATTATTCAACCTCAGAAACATTATTCAGCCCAACAAACATTATTCAACCTCACAAACATTATTCAACCCAACAAACATTATTCAACCTCAGAAACATTATTCAGCCCAACAAACATTATTCAACCTCACAAACATTATTCAACCCAACAAACATATTCATCCCAACAAACATTATTCAACCCAACAAACATATTCAACCTCAGAAACATTATTCAGCCCAACAAACATTATTCAACCTCACAAACATTATTCAACCCAACAAACATTATTCAACCTCAGAAACATTATTCAGCCCAACAAACATTATTCAACCTCACAAACATTATTCAACCCAACAAACATATTCAACCCAACAAACATTATTCAACCTCAGAAACATTATTCAACCCAACATACATATTCAACCTCACAAACATAAGTCAACCCAACATACATATTCAACCCAACAAACATTATTCAACCCAACAAACATATTCAACCCAACAAACATTATTTAACCTCACAAACACAAGTCAACCCAACATTCATATTCAACACAAAAAAACATATTCAACCCAACAAACATTATTCAACCTCAGAAACATTATTCAACCTCAGAAACATTATTCAACTCACCAAACATATTCAATCTCACAAACATTATTCAACCCAACAAACATTATTCAACCTCAGAAACATTATTCAACCCACCAAACATATTCAATCTCACAAACATTATTCAACCTCACAAACATTATTCAGCCTTACATACATATTCAACCCAACAAACATTATTCAACTTCAGAAACTTTATCCAACCCAATAAACATATTCAACTCAACAATCATTTGACTCAATAACTGCTCAACCAAACAAGTAGTCAACTCGAATATTTTAGTTGTAAAATATTTATTTTAATCATCTATCATCTTAATCATCAACTTAGCAATCAAAATGTTTAAAACATTCTGGAAAGCTTTTTTAAGCCATGTACAGAAAGAAACAATAAATTTGAGTTACGACTCATGTGTTGCTTTGGCTGTAAGACAAAATTTAAGACAAGTTATTCAGCACATGGCTATCATGTTATTGTTTTAATAGATTTTTGGTGACAGTGACTTCTTGGTGACATAGACAATTGCACATTGAAATTCTCAAAATATTGGACCTTACACCAGTTGGAAAGTCAAGTTCCTTATAACAGGAAATCTAACTTTTTAACTTAACTAACCAAAACATTAAACAAAACTTTTTGAATACTTAAAGTTATGCACAGAAATTTTTTATCACACTGACTATAATCCTCAAGCTTTGGTGTTTTGATCAGTTACAGTCAATTCATTAGACAGTTCAGCTTTCAAAGTGAACCTTATATTCACATATGTCCTTTATGAGAAGTGTCTTTATTTCTTTTTCTATTTTGTACTATTTTCATAAAGACATGAGGGTGAATCACTCAATGTTGTAAAACCTCTTTTTTGTTCTCAAATATTATGAGACATTCCATTTTACACTCCTTTTTTATGGTTCGAGGAATTCCATCTTTTGGCGATGTCTTGTCATTTTTGAACCGATTCTCTTTTTTTGTGCTGCGTGTGACATTTATTTCTTTTTCTTATCAGGCATGCTCTGTGCTTTTTTTGAGGAAATGCCTGTCAATTCTTCTTCTGTTACAGGATCATCATCTGACATTTTTGCATCATCATCGAGAGTGTTCATTTCATGAATATCATTTGGGAGACTGTCTGTTTTGTTTTGTAAAGCACTGGGACTGTCTATCATTTGTGTATCATTTGAATCAAGTTCATTTATTGTCACATCCCCTGTTTCAGGGTTAAGTGAAACTCGCTCTTGCTGAAGCCTTTCATGCATTCCCTCATGCTTTTCACACTGCCCTTGCTTGTGAAATGCCTTCAAACAATATTTACATTCATATGTTGTACCGTCTTCACTTGTATTATTATGGGCAGTACCTGTCATTTCAGTTTCATCCGAGTCTGGGTCACTTTGTATATCAGTGAATTTTTCATAAAACTTGCCACAGTAAAGTTTTTCATGTCTTCTGCGCTTACCTATGCTATGGAATCGCTGGGTACAATACTTACACTTGTACTGTCCCATTACATACACCTTGTGCTTTAGTCGTTCATGCACTGAACACGAACTCTTACAAGAGAATGACCTTGGGCAATAACGACAGACTACTTTTTCTAGTTTCCCTGTATGTTTTTCTTTCTCTTGATGGTTGGTCAGGTCTTGTTTGTCGGTGAATATCTCGCCACATATATCACAACTGATTAATGGTCTCTTGGGGTTGATAGGGTGATGGAACATGTGGTGTCTCTTACTGTTTATTAATTTCGGATACTGGTTGTTATAGTAACATACAGGTGCGTGTAGTAAAAAAGCATTCCTGTTTTTGAATATTTCTGGACAGTCGCGACATTTTATGAGTTGTACTTGTGTGCTATTTTCTTCTGGTGCCTTATTCTCAGGTTGATTTTCAGTCCTTTCTGCATTATCTGTCAACTCATTCAGAGCAGCAGTGCCTATTTTGCTTGCCTTAAAACTCATCAAGCTTTTACCATTTTTTTTATTCACCTTTGTTACTGTGCCTAAAATGACTGCCTCAGCTCCATCGTTGTTTGTTGTAGTACCCCCATTGCTTACTCTAGTACCTTTATTTCTTGCTTTATTTCTTTTACTTCTGGCTTGAGTACTTTTATTTTTTGCTTTAGTACCTTCTTTTCTTGCTTTAGTACCTTCACTGCTTGCACTAGTCTTTGAATGAAGCAATTGATAGAGGTTTTCATATTCAACATTGTATGTCGAGAGATCAGAACTGTTGCTATTGTGACCAGTTTGATCAATATTTTCATCCCTATTTGAATGGCACAGTTCTTGGCTTTCATTATTTAATCCAATGTCTTCACTCTCTGAGTCACCCTCACATACAACCTTAAAGTCATCACCCTTCATAACAATTCTATCATCAGCTTCGGGGACATTTTCACCATAAGCTTTAGTGTAATCATGATCGATAATCTCTGTTTTCACTTGATCTGGATGACTGAGATTACCTTGAAGGCCTTGTGCATCAAGTTTGAAAATCTCATCTAGCTGTTCTGTGACTGAAATTCAGATACACATATCTCATTAGAAAACCTGGACATTGTTTTTTTTTTAATTGCATGCATGCTTATACAGTAGTTATAGTTGGGTTATTTGGAACATCTGGAAATTTGGCAAATTGGAGAATACGTCAACTTTCATCTTAACCAAAATTTAACATTAATCCTGGAGGCCTTTTTTCGAAACTTTCATTATTAACGAATCGTTAATTCAATTGTTGTTAAAGATTTTTCCGTTTCTCGAAAGTTAACAATTTGCGTGACAAAATAGCAGCACTGGTCGTTGAGTAAAACCAGAATAAAACAAAACGGGTCACTAAGGAAACATAAAAAATATCCCATGTCATAACCAATTTGGTGGCAAATATAACGATTCGGCACAAGATGAACGAGGCCGATAATGAGATTGTTTGAGAAACGGATTTCCACATTTCATTAATCAAGTTGTTAATTTCACGATATCTTTAACGAAACGTTTCGAGAAACAGCCTCCTGCAGGATTCTCAATAGTTCAGTACTGTTTTCACAGTTGTTGACAATGTGTAAAATAAAATGATTACTAAAATATAGAGTATGTGTGTCTCTTTGTTTAACTTACTTGCATCTCGTTTCCTTTTTTTATTTGGTTTTGATTTCTTAGGGATTATATTAAAAGACTCTCGTTGTAAATCCTGGAGACATGACCACCTTCCAGTTGCTTTTTTCCCCACATTTCCCTGTATTTTTTCGCTCTTGTCAGCAGGCAATTTTCCCTTTCCTTTGTTAACTTTGTTTTTGGTTTTAGAAATGTCATTCAGTTTGAGGCAAATAAAATCCCGATTTTCAGGGTTGGCTGTACAATTCTTAAGATAATATTTATCTTGAGATTCTTTTGGCATTTCTTCTAAGGGTTTCCCAAAGCATATAGTACGATGCATTTTGGCGACAATATACGGCAGATTTTCCTGGGTGATAGTTATTATGCTGTCAACAGTCACTGATGACTTTGGAGCAAAGTGCGTTATTATCACATTCAGTATTTCTTTCTCTATCATATCTGAAATGACTTTCCTGAAGTTTTTTTGAAAAACACTGCTCAGCAAAAGTGGAGATTTCGGCAATGCAGTTGAATCCGGTGGTTTAAAAAGAGTCTGTTGTATTTTTACGATCACTTCTAGCTTTTCCTCATCAGGCAGGGACACTGTAACAAGTCCAAAAATATTCATAACTCTTTGGAATGTAATGTTCGTCAATGCAACATTCACAATGGCGTCGTTGATGAATGTTGAGAATGCTGGGACTTCCATGTTGAAAGTCAAGTGTCAAACTTCTAAAGGGGCCTTCTAATAGAGCCTTGTCTCATGTGTTTCCTCCTGAAAAAATATTGATATGACTGTATAGAGATCTATATTTAAAACATGTTAACAGATATTATAGGAATATCCTATGGTTTTGAAATAATATCATTTATATCCATAAGTGGATATTAATATCTTCATGGGTGAAATATGATATCTTGATCAGAATAGAGGGAAATTATCCCAAAAATATTAACAGATAATTTACTCCTAAAAATACAGAAAACTTCACCATAATCAACATGATAAAAAATTAAATTACTTTATTATGTTGCAGGAATTTGTAGACCTAAAGAATTGGTATCGATATGGTGAACTACACATTTCTCTCAAATCAGTCATCAAAAAATTCTAAAAATTTTACACATCGTCAATTTAATGGTCATCTTTTGAATGGTAACAATATAATTTGAAAAACATATATGCTTTTCTCTATATTGTTTTAGAAAATTAGATCAGACACTTCTTTTGTTCTTGGTATCATATGTTCAGAATGAAATGAAACATCTTTCCGAACCTCATTGGAACAAAACGACATAAACACATTGTACAAAGGAAATTTTAGTTGAATTTAAAATTTTCATCTTGTTAATGAAATAAAAGGTTTATCTTAGTTTTTGTCTGTTTTGGGGTTTTTTGTTTTAATTCTTTGAATATTTTTTGTTGTCTGAATCAGTCAAACATTATATAAAGGACCGTGTTTTTTACAGAATGTTTTCAATAATTGGTTTAAGACAAAAACATTGTTGAATTCAGTTCACCATATCGATACCTATCCTTTCACAGGATTTTGCAGGACATTCAAGGATTTGTGTGTCCTGCAAATAGACCAAATTTTGATCAAATTCACATGAGTCACGTTGGTCAGTTGACAGCCCTGCATTTCAATCAATTTAACGGTTCATATATATGCCTTTGGAAATACTGTTGATACACTTAATTTGGCTACCGTTTTAATTTGACGGATTGGCGGATTGAAGAAATCCGCCAAACTAGAAATCCATCAATTTTCAGATCTATTTTGGAAAATCCTCAGGGAATTTGTAATTTGCAATTTTTTCACCTGTGTAAGTATTTCTATTTGGATGTCAGAGCTACACCAAGACATACAGTAAGTAGAACACATGAATCTGAAATGATTATTTCCAGATCAATGGAAAAAGTTGAGCTCAGTCCTGACTCCGCCAAATTAAATAGCCACCAATATTTGAAATTGAGCAAATCCGTCAAATTAAGTGTATCTACAGCATGGAGACTCGTCAAATAGATCTAGCCTAGTAGCCCAAAATGCATAAAATTTTCACTAGGGGTAATCTGCGCGAGGTTCCATTTTTAGGTTCTTACAACTTATAAGATAGATGTCAACTACGTTCATTAATTCACAACAGTCCCTACCCATAATGCACCTTATATTGCGGGAATATTTTTGTTTGATATAAAAACAAAAAGTATACACCCTACAGAAGTGTAATGATGGAATATGAACTTGCCCCTAATTTGTGGATGTTTGGTGTAACGAACCTAAACCTAAACCAAACTGATTGCTCCGACTCAATATTTCATTTTTTAAGGCTCAGCTAGAAAGTAACATTTTGGTAAAAAATTGCTATACCTGCCCATGTTATTTTCTGGTACAAAATTAAGTATGAAGGCATGTGCATAGGCCAAGGGAAAAGTAATAGTAAGCTGTATATACAGCATGTAAAGTACAATACGCATGTGCACGCATGGCGCATGCGCAAAAGTTAAAAAATGGTGAGCTATGGAAGTTAACAGGAAATGACAAAACAGGAAGTGACAAAGCCATGCTGGATTTTGAAAATTTTTTAAACCAAGATAACAGAGTTCTGTTTGGACCTCCAGTCAGTTTAACTAGTTCCACATATCATTTACATGACCGGGAACACAACGGAAATGGTCAGAATGACCATAAACATGATGAAATAACCTTTTCAGCCCTCTGAAAATGTGCCTGAAAAACAGCTAAGAGTAGGTGCTCAGGAAAGGTCACTGAACAGAATCTTTTGACTTTTTCAGAAAATCTGCCCAATATATTGCTTAAAATGATCACGGACGTCAAGTAAGTTTCTGGCGAAAGCCGGAGCATAGATTATTTAGAGGACTGGAAACAAGAATGACCTACCTTTTTATTTCCCGAATCTCACCTGAAATTAGCTCATCTTGGTGACTGTAACCTGTATATCTGTATTAATAGAGTCTCTTTGTATCGCATCTGCCTCAGTTTTAAAGTTTTATTGGTATTTTTAATAAGATTTCACTGTTTTTGTGGACTGGTACGATCAGCCAAGCAAATGGCAGCTGACCTGTTCAAAGTACTTTTAGTACTAATTTTTGCAAGTGACAATAATTTTGGAAACAATATTATACTAAATAGATTACTAAGCATCTAAGGTAAGTAAAACTAGATGAACAACTGAGTCAATAGTGATAAATAGGCCAACATGAATTGGCAGAATTGAAATAGACTGCCATCTTGTTTCCAGTCCTCTTAAATAATCAATGCTCCAGCTTTCGCCAGAAAGGTACTTGACGTCCGTGAAAATGATACAATTTAAAAAAATTTGATATCATTCTTAGAAAAATAAAAAAATAAAAAAAACTGAATTGAAAATCGATCGATTTACCTTTTTACTACAGCCATTATTGTTTCAGACAATTTTTTAAGATTTCAAAGATTGTATCATTTAGAGCAATATATTGGACACGTTTTCTGAAAAAATTGAAAGATTCTGTTCAGTGACCTTTCCTGAGCACCTACTTTTAGCTGTTTTTCAGTCAAATTTTCAGAGGGCTGAAAAGGTTATTTCATCATTTTTATAGTCATTCTGACCATTTCCATTGTGTTCCCAGTCATGTAAATGATATGTGGAACTAGTAAAACTGACTAGAGGTCCAAACAGAACTCTGATATCTTGCTTCAAAAAATTTTAAAAATCCAGCATGGCTTTGTCACTTCCTGTTTTGTCATTTCCTGTTAACTTCCATGGCACCTTAACTGCAATTACACAACAAGTAGGACTTATTGTCACCACACGTCATGAAAAGGGCAAGTTACATTCAATTATCTTCTTAAATACCGTTAACTTATTCCAGCGCGTCTGCTTGAAGTTAGAGCAAATCATTTCACAAGACTGTGTATTTGAACGGTCCGTCAGCTGGCTCTGTGTTCAGTAGCTAACATGCTAAAATATTGAATTTGATCAAATAGAAATTACCTGTAATTAGAGCGTATTTTGGTATATGTAAATACACCAGTTCCTACCTGTGGAGAAGTATTGATTAACCTGTAACTTGATATGACTATACATCTATAAACATGGATATAAGATGGGAAATTGTATAAAATGTAGGATTTGTTTTGATATGAAACTCAAATCCAACATGGCTTCCTCAGTGGGAGCATAAATGTATCAAATTTTATACACTGAACTACATTGCCATCTATTAATGTGAGCATAGATTATTTGATTTCCTCTGTATTGGAATAGAACAGAATGAAATACCTTGTGAATTGTGATACATTTCATATTGCATTATTGAATTCAATGAGCCTTAAACCTAAATTGCATTCATTTGTTACCAAATTGACTATAATCTTAATTAATTATTATTCTTTAGAATTAACGAGAATATTGTAATATACCCCTTTATCTTTTTCAGGCGGTCTCCAAATCTTACAGCCTCAGAATCCATATGAGGAAGAGAAGGGGGAAAGTAGGACCCCCAGCTCCTGCACTACTACCCCAGGTAAGACACCCCCTCCCCCATACTGACACCCCCCTCTAGTCATCTGATATATTAGTTTTGAGACAATTATGAATTGTAGCCACCACTTAACCTTCTTAATTGTGAGTACCTTTCAGATATGAACACCCCATTTTTCTGAACACCTTTTAATGTAGTAGAGTAATTGTTAACTTATTACTTGTTGTATTTTTCAATAATCATGCTGCTTTTCTTCAAATATTTGTTTATTTTTCCCCTTGTACTTTTTTACATGAATTGTACGGTTAAACCTGTCTAAACGCACTGGGACTGATCAAAAGTTCCGATTGGCAGGTGTTCATTTTTCGAAGTTTTTTTAATATGGAGCTATGGCAGATCAACAAATGGGACAGAAAAAAGTGTTCACATTGAGTGGTGTCCTTAGATACACACGTTTTACTGATTTTTATATTTGATCATTCAGGTACCACTCCAACATCTGAGACTAAAACTCCGCCTCAACACATCGACAAAGAAAAATTGTTTGACCGCCAAGCGTCCCAATGTGACGTCTCAAGGCCTTTCCTCCAAGCTCTACTGGAAAGTCAACTCACAGATCACAGCGTGCGGACATTTCTTAGTTATGTACAGCGTTACTGCAAGAATCACTATTTGGTGACACCTATAGATTTCCCTCAGGATCACCCTGTAGAAGAAGTGGGAAGGTGAGTCTGTTGTTCTGTATACAGGGTGACTAAATATGTTTGTGCATTTTCATATTTTGTCAGTTTGCTTGGTTAGTACTAATTGGACTACCTCACATATTCTATATGTCAGAGACATCAGTTTATAAGTACTATATACAGATTGTTGTCCTTTGCATAATTAAGTTTTTCTAAAAGCTAAGAGCAATTTGATCCTGTTTTGAAACAAACTAAAATTGCCTATTGTTTTGTTAAAAATTGTTTTGAGGAAAGGATGGATGTCTATAGATAATTTAAATTAATTAATCTATCAATCATATACAGGGCGTTCAGTAAGTAAAGCTAATTTTGCTCTCAAACTTTTATTTTTTGTCATTTATCTTTCACATTTTCAGTGAAGAAGCATTTGACATTTTTCTAACTTCCCTGAAAAATTAAATAAGATATGATGAATAATAGCAAAACAATGGTTGTCATAGTAACGTGAATACGGGTTCTGCGGAGCAATTTCTTACTTTAATAAATAATTTATAATGCAATGAAATTGATTAAGATTAACGCTGCATATGTCTTTGTTTGCTATGGCTGAAAGTCACGACAAACATAACAACAACATATACAAATATGATACCATGGCAACAGTAGTCTATGACATCACAGACAGATGATACAACAGATGGAATGATCCAGAATGATCCATCAGACACTGCTCCATGACATCATCAAAATCATGGCTGCCAGGATTGCCAATGGAAGCAAAATGAACAATGAAATGAAACAACAATTGAGAAGTAGCATCAGATACAATGTGTTGCTAGGGAAATCCAAGCAGGATACCATTAGGGATATCCAAAAAGCATATGGGGACAGTGTGCCTAAGTACACAATCTACAAATGGTATCAGAAATTCCAAAAGGGGAGAAAAACAACAAGTGATGATAAGATCCACGCAAATATCCATGAGCTTCAGAATGCCGTTCAACGTTCGCTGACAAATAACTTTCCAGATGGCTTCCACAGGATATATCAGAAGTGGATAGAACGACATCAGCTGTGTGTGAAAGCTAAGGGGAACTACTTTGAACATGAAATAGAATGCTAACTTGAAAGTAGAAATGTGGAGTAGCCACAGAACTATGGTTGAAATATAGACAGGACAGAAACTAACGTTAATAACAAAATCTACTATGCTGTGAACTTATAAAATTGCTCCGCAGAACCCGTATTCGCGTTACTATGACAACCACCATTTTGCTGTTATTCATTATATCTTGATCATTTTTTTCAGGATAGTTAGAAAAGTGTCTGATGCTTCTCCACTGAAAATTTGAAGGATGATAGACAAGAAATAAAAGTTTGAGAGCAAAATTAGCTTTACTTACTGAACCCTGTATTAATAGTATTTTATTAGTACTGATGCCCTTTTAGGGCCAAACGTACATCCGATATACAATTTTCAAAAACAGTAAATATAGCAATAAAGTAAAGAAAATAGGATTACATTCTTCAAATGACATATAAAATGTTACTTTGATATAAGAATCCTGTCTCTACCAATCATTATCCCAACGAACGAAGTTCGTTAGGGATATAGTGAAGCCCTCCGTCCGTCCGTCTGTCCGTCAGTCCGTCCGTCTGTCCGGAAGATAACTCAAATACTAGTTGACAGATTTTCTTCATATTTAGTGGAAAGATGTATATTGGTGAATAGTTTTACGCAAAAAAAAATTTTTCAAGATGGCCGCCGCTTTAAAAATGACGGGACTTTTTCGCAAAAATCATAAATTTTTCATTCTAAACCAAAATAATTAATATTATTGTTTGGTAGTGTATTCACAACATTTATCTATTTCACATATATTCCGTGTTTTTCATCCTGACCCCCAGGGGCCATGTATGGGGGGACAGGAAAACAGAAATTTTCGCTAATTTTTAGATCTTTCTGAAGTATAGCTTTATTATACTCAAATGAAAGGCAATTAAGAGTAGATTGCAAATATTGTATCTTTTTTCTGATTCGAGCCTCGTAAAATTCAAAATGGCCGTCTAATGTACGATTTCGCAATAATTTTTCGATCCCTTCAAAGTATGGCTATATTATACTCAAATTGAAGGAATTTTGGAGTAGATCACAATTATGGTATTATTTTTCAGATTTGTACCTCAGAAAATTCAAAATGGCTGCTTTGCAGGAATTCGCAATTCTAAAATCTAATTTTTTCATTTTCAACCAAAGTAATGAGTATAATTGATTGGAATTCGGTAATTGATATTTTGTTCGTTGGGATTTGCTACTCCGCGGAGTTGCCGTTATCTAGTTAGATACTTTATCATGTCAACAGATTCTTTTGATATGATCCCCTCACTTGTCAATAGAAAAATTGTCTTTTGGTGGTCATTCATGTTTTTAAAATTACTACACAGGTTTTCAAGTTTTTCAATATGGGATTTTCTGATAAAGTCCAATTTTTTACATTTGAATAAAAAGTGTGTTTCATCTTCTATAACCGAGTCCTTACATATTTTACAAAATCGACTATTAAGATCAGTAATTGGTTTTGTATATCGGCCTCTCTCTATCTCTAGATTGTGGGCGCTTATACGTAATCTAGTTAAATGTTTAGCGTTTGAAAGTGTCGTTTCTGAAAGGTAGTGTTCAAATCCAAAGTGCGATTTTAGTTGTTTAAATAATCTAAGTTTCCCCCCATTCCCACTTATCAGATTCTTCCAATATACTTGATATATCTCTATTAATTTCTTTTTGACTTTAATAGCAAGCCTATTTGTGCTCTTCTCTATGTTTACCTTATCTTCAAGATTCAATTCACCAGACATTTTTATTTTAATATGGCACAGTATAATTTTGAGTTGTCTGTGCCATGTAAATGTGTTATTTGTTAAACCAAATGTTTTACTCATAATTAATGAATCGTTTAGTAAACTCCCACTTGAACTCAACTCTAAATGACCGAGGTATTTGATTTGTCTTTTTATAATATCAACTACCAAAGGTATTCTTCCCAATTCTCCTCTTACTGCCATGTTTGTGGCTTTTCTATGAACTCTGAGAACATATTTTTGGAACTGAATATGATTGTTTTCGATTAAAGCACTTTCATATTTATGTTCAATATCTCGATTAGTTTGGCAGTCACGCTTGGTATATATATCATTACACCATATTTCCGAACCGTATAAAGCGACGGGTTTGATAAGTTGATCATACAATTTCATTTTCAGTGAAGACTTCATCTCTGTGCCGCTTGTCAATTGATAAACTTCATATGTGATATGTTGTCAAAATTCTTCAAATGGATCTCAATGGTACCTGTTACATAATGGTACTTAGTACCTCTAACACAATGGTACCTGATACAATGGTACCCAGGCCCGTAGCCAGGATTTGCAAAAGGGGGTTCAGTTTTCAAAAGTTTCCAGAGGGGGGTTCACATTTGACAATTTTGGCCCAAATATGGCTAAAATCACTTGATAAGTGCTCAAAATGGTGAAGAACTGCATGATTTTGAAAGAATTTTTGGCCAGGGGGGGTTCGCCCGAACCCTGCGAACCCCCTACGGGCCTGGGTACCTGTTACATAATGTTACCTGTGACACAATGGTACCTGGTATTCATATCAGGGTTGATTGCTTCAGCACATTTTTATCTAGTATTTTAACTAAAATGGTTTAGCAAAGGAGTTTGTGCCTCAAACACACAAGAAATCCTTTGTTTCAAATCTCTTTTTGTCAATATACTTTGTAACAAAGCAATTGAACCCTGCTGTGTAACTCAAACCAGCATAAGATTCAAATCTGTACCTGTACTTGTCATTATTTTAGACTGCTGTTGGCTGTACTACTGAAGCACAATGATCTTGGACATGTGGCATTGAGTCTAGCTGAACATGGCGTAGGGGAAGCTAACAAGTATGGTGTGCCCAGGTCTATTGCTGAAATATGCAAGGTGGTTCACCAAGCAAAGAGAGCACTCATAAAGGTATGCTAAGGCTAGAGAAATCAATTTTTGAGTTTTAAGTTATAAGTGGTGACATGATGTCATAATACCATTTTCTGTTCTTGGTGTTAGACATTGGCCCCATCTATAACAAATTGTTACAATTTTGTAATTGTAACCAGTAACTACAGCAAAATTCTTGGAAATAATAATTGTAACATGGAAATAGTTTTTGGGTTACCTTTTTTGGCTCACCCTGTACAAATGCTTTTATAGATGCACCAAGATCTGAGTCGTTCCTACAAAGAAGTGTGTGCTCCTGTGATAGAGCGGTGTATGTTCCTATTCAACGAACTGAGACCTGCCGTAGGAAATGACATGAATGCGATCTCCAGATCAAGACTCTTACGTAGTACATCAAGATGGAGGGACGTCACTAGGAGACTAATTGAGAAGAAGATCAGACCGAAACGTAAGATATGTTTAAAATGTGTCTCGGTGGTTATGAGAGAGAAAGAAAAAGAGGGTATTTTATTGCAGATTCTCATCAATTTTAATGAGATACCATTCCATTCAATAACTGGTCATAGATTTCAAAAATCACAATGTGAATTAAATAAAATTATTTTAAAATGTATATTTGTTCCTAAATTCATGTTTCTGAATTGTGAAAGTTGTATAATTTATGTTTAAAAAAAATTGTAGTTGAAGCAGAGCGCCATCTATCCAGTGAAGCATCTGGTTGTGCATTCTCTGAGGAGGTAATTACCCATGATGCCCCAGAGATAAATAATGATGAAGAGAATGAAGCTAAGCGGGGAACTCCCCAGGAGGATACTGCAGATGCTGGGAACAATGAGGGACAACAAGATGAAGTGAAAGTATATGGCAAACAGATCAACAGACTCTCTGAAAGTAATGAAGAACAAGTAAGTTACTTTATCTAGTAAAATTAGAATACAAAATTTCAATCTTTTTAAGATGTCATAGAGTTGGCACTGTCATTCTATCTTCTCAGATTGTTGCCACCAAGAAAGAATTTCATATTGTTATGGCTTTCGCTTTTTGTTGTGATTCATTTAGAACATATTTTCTAAAAATAATTTTTCAATATGAAGCAAAAAGGGACAAGTTTTAAAATGTGGTATTATTTAGAAAAACAAAAAGGAACATAGATTTCATTTGCATTTCTGATATCAAACAAATTAATGAAAATAACAGGCAACTTTTTGGAAAATCATAATGTTAACATGACAACATAAATAAATGATTATTGACTTATTTTGTATTTTAGGAGTTATCAGAAAGTTGGACACAAGTGACTAACATAGTAAGCAATGATAAAGGATTCAAGTGGTTGAAGCAACGTCTTACGGGTGCAACGGCCAACACAGCAATGATGACAAAAATTATAGACTTTGTTATGTTCGAGGGACCATTGGATATTGAGAAACTACGACGTTCTCTTCATTGCCAGGTAAGCTATTTATGGTATCCTATAGTATGCTAAAAAGCATATGATTTGTACACAAAGGTAAATATCGATTTTTATGTCACTACCTCAATAATTTATTTTTGTGGCGGTGGTCAGAAATTGGTGTTCGCCAGTTGGTCTTTGGCGTACTGTGTCTGTAAGAAATGGCAGGTGGTCACATTTTGCCATTGTTTTCTTGCTTGTGCCAGACTCCCAGAGGTACTTTGTAAATGTTTTTATGTGAAATAAATGCAATGCTTCACTTACATAAAACTAGGATTAGGAATTGGGACTGGACTACCAAATATGTAAAGATGTAGTTCAGGCCCGTAACCAGCTTTTGCCAAAGGGGAGTTCACTTTTCAAAAAATTTCAGGGGGAATTCACATTTGACAACTTTGGCCCAAAATCACTTGAAAAGTGCTCAGAATGGTGAAAAACTGCATGATTTAGAAAGAATTTTTGGCCAAGGAGGGGGATCGCTTGAACCCCCTGAACCCCCCCCCCCCCCCCTTACTGGCTATTGGTCTACAGTTTATTCATCAATATGTATCCAGATAGTGGACTATAGCCTTAGATATGCAATAATGGATGAAAGTTTGATGATTCAATCAAAAATTTTGAAAAATGATTTTCTACTACAGGTTGAGAGAGCTGAACTGAGACTAAAGGGAATTCAGAATATTCTAACTCTAGTTCACAAGGACCATCTGATCCCATCTGTCAAGTATGCCATGTTGTGTGGATGGCAGGGCCTCCTTACTGTTGGTACAAAGTTGACGTAAGTTATTACTAATTATGACACTTTGAATGAATATTATATTGTCATCGTCTTGCGCTTAAGGGAAGGTAAATGGGATTTTAGTTTTACACATTCACTCTACTATACCTTGCATTTGGTGTTCATGAGCAACCCATTTGGCTTATTAGTAATGATTATGTATTTGTTTTTATTTGTCTGTTCCTTATTAATGGTTTATCGGTTGAATGTTAGATGTTACTAAGGCACTTTCAAAAATATACTAAACAATGCAATTAGACAAACAAAGTATGCATTTCTAGGTGTTAGGAATTGTAGAGTGACATTATAAAATAACTGATATGCAATGATGCGGTAACGTTATCAGAGTTTATAATGGAGAGCTAAGATGTCAAGTTACCACATATTGAAAACTAACATGACAGTTACCGTATCTTACATTTCCAGTTACCTTCCCTTTAGCGGTGGATGGGTGGAAGATATTGTTGAACTGTGGCGTCCAAGCATGATATATGAACAAATTATCATACTCCATAGTTCCCATGTCATATGAGCCTGATTTGCTTCAAATATCAAAGCATAACGTCAACTATAAAGTAGTTTAATTCAATGAAAACTAAAAATATTGAAATCGACACTTCATGTCCACCAACTTTGATGCGAAGGTGACGGCCATTATCTTCACTTGATACTGACCAGTGATATAGCTATCAGATAATACAATACATTAAATCAATCTGCCTTTAAAATAAAGTTTTATTTGATATTTCAAATATTACATCCATTCTGATAGTGTATTGAAAGCTAGAGAGCATTTATTTCATAGTTTTTTGAAGTTTCTTGTGAAATCTGCAAAATTTGATAGCTGCGAAAATGTGTTTTCTCAAAATTCGTGAAATTAAAACTCGCAATATTAACCGGGAGTATAGTATTTTAAATAATATACCTATTCTGAAAGTATATTGAAAGCCAGAGTGAATTTATTTCATAGTTTTGGTTCACACAGTGAGCCTATGGGATCAACTATTGAAGTTTCTTATTTTAAAAGTCAAGTAGGGGTCCATAGAATCTATTACCATTATCATTTACATCAGTATTGAACGCAAAATCATCCATGGCATGAACTAACTCTTTTTCTGTGATTTTCCCATCGTGGTTTGTATCAATGTAATCAAACTGCATTCTTGCTAGGCTTGGATCAAGATTCATGGCCTTCCAGAAGATCAAGTATTCTTCAAAGCTAATGTATCCATCAGAGTTGAAGTCAATGGCCTGCAATATTAAAATAAACATGGTGTCAAAGGAGTCCCCTCTTACCCCTAGAGCCAAAATGAAGATACATGAAAATATACATGGTGTTCAAATAAGTCCCTTCTTACCCCTAGAGCCAAAACCAAGATGTATGGTACCAAGTGTGATATACTAGTCTCATTGGAAAGATCGTCCAAAGTTATATTGATTGGCACATATCTAATACATAATATCTAATTGCTACCAATGAGGTGACCATACACCTAGAAACATGGCATTTTTGTGTATTTGCATGATTTTAAAAATCAGGCATCAGAAAAGTCAAAGAAATATTGCCAGAGGACAGGACTTATTTGACACCCTGTATATTCTCTATAATGTTATGTTCAGTTTTGGTCTCTTCACTACCTCTAAGTTTGCACCAACAATATATGCCTACTTAAAACTTCCATAAAAGTATTATTTTAAGTAATACTAACTTAATTTATGTAATATATCATGGGTATTGTCTAAAGGAAGTGTTTTTCCTGTATAATAGTCCGTACTGCCCAGAAATTTATATTATGAAATGTTTAAAATGAGGAATAATATGTTATTAGGAATTTCTGTGTTACCTCTGACAAAGCTCTATAATTACACAATATATTAAAGGATGTATATAACTATCAAGGGCTTTGAAAACAATAAAAATGAGTTTTTGAAAGAATATCATCAATTAGATTCATTTTCATTAATTAAATGCAAAAAAATAAACTTTCCCTTTATACTCAAATCTGAAAGTAATCTAATAACGAAAGTGAAAGAATTTGGTTGTTGTTGGGGATTCCCCAAAACAAATGCCAAAATGAATGTCTCCATGCCATCCCACCCATATTGATGTGGTAAAAATCAAAGCCCACTTTTGTTGAAATCCAATGTAAATAGACATCATTTCCTTAACAACGATAGATTTGGAGAAATCCCTAAACTGTTAGTGGATTTCCCAAATTATTTCACACCTATATACCAAATTAATTCTAACTTTGGTAAAATTTCTCATTCTATCACATTGCAATTGATTTCTCATATTAATACAATAAATATATATGATAATGCTTTTAAGAAATACGCCCAAAAACAGAATGTTATTGTAATTGAATTAAACCGTCCCTTATTTTACACTGGACGAAACATTCTAAAAATTGCCTAAAGCATGGAATAAAAGATGAGTATTCACTTTAAGTAAGGATCAATCTGATATACCAGGTCGTTCAATAAGTTCACGGAAAAATGCTCTCATTTCAAAGATTTTTGATATTTTCTCATGAAATTTTCACACAATGTATAAAAAATACTTTCTGATTGATTCTTAAAATATCAGCATCTCTAATTTGATTGGTCAAAAATAAGGTTTTTTATGGTAACTTGACTTTTGGGTAGGCAATGAACATCAATTTCACAACATTTGTAATTTGAATAAGAACAAATAAAAAATAGGGATCCTCCATTTGAACATATTGATAGATTTTCTGCAATGGTAAATTGTGTGACGTAAAAAGTGCCCCGCCTACCCAAAAGTCAAGTTACCATAGTAACCTTTATTTTTGACCAATCGAATAAGAGATGCTGACATTTTAAGAATCAATCAGAAAGTATTTTTTATACATTGTGTGAAAATTTCATGAGAAAATATCAAAAATCTTTGAAATGAGAGCATTTTTCCGTGAACTTATTGAACGACCTGGTATACACTGCAACCTGCTGTATCAGGGCTTTGAAAAAATGTGAAAAACACTTTAATAGTTATATACAACCTTTAATCCTGTAAAATGCCAGTTTGAAATGGCTCAAATAATTGACAGACTATGAATTCAAAATTACATTACACTCAGGACCTTCGCTTACTTTTTAGGGAATATACCTTAAATATCTTTCCAAAAATTGTAACCCAGGGCTTTTTCTTTTCTGGATCATTAGCCATTGCCCACATTCCCAAAACCTGTTCCGTGAGTGATTTTGAGAAGAAATTAGAAACCTCGTTTTCAGTCCAAAGCAATGAATCAGTCCAGAAATCGTATAATTTTTCAGCTGCTTTCCCCTCTAAACCACCTGAAATATTAAATCATTGCTAACAAATAGGGCACTTTAATTTTAGCCATAAAATTTTAAAGCATTAAGTTATTTTTTGGCTCGACCTGGCGTCTGTCCGTCCGTCCGTCCGTCCGTCCGTCCGTCCGTCCGTCATTATTATTATTATAAGTCAGAGCACCTCATGTTTATCTAAAAAGATGATGAAATTAATATGGCAATAATAAAAAATCGAAAAAATCCAGGAAGATTCCATAAAACACTGTACCTATCTTCACCATATTGTCTGCAATACGCATATTATCTTCATAACTAGCTTGGCCATCCTTACCAGCATCCCAAGCAAAGATTGCGGTCACTGCTTTCCTTAGCCACACCCTAGGAAGATCACTAAGTCGTACCTATGAAATCACACCAATTGTAATTTTATCCTCAATTATTTTCACTAAGTGTCAGAGCTGTATATACTGGATGAAGCTCTCTTTTAAGAAGAAAAATCATTCTATTCAAAAGAGCTAACAATTTTTTCATTATCTGTATGATACCAAACAGTGATATTTCTGATATATTAGTTAATGAAAACACAGAATGAAATCCTTTGCTAAGGGCTGATATGAAAAAGTCAGTCCACCCCTCTGGGGATCAAACCCACGACCCCTCGCTTACAATTTATTTTCCTTAAATTGTTTATAAGTTGCATATGTGCATGAAATCAATTAACCACTTCTTAGCAACTGCAGGCCTCCTAGATTTCAACTAAGGTGAACATCAGTTCCGACCTCGTGGACTACGTTCCTTCCACTCGAACCAGGCTGTCACAACACAAATGTCGATTCTTTAGTCGGGAACCACTTTTTCCTCTCTCACGAACATATTTCTCTATTTGCGAACAGAGTTCCCACATCTTGAACCACCCTGCTTTGTGGTTAGCAAAGAAATATGTTCAGGAGAGAGGAAAAAGTGGTTCACGACTAGAGAATCAATATTTGCATTATGTTTCTCGAGGTTGAAACTGATGATCGTATGTAATGATACATACGGAGCAATGATTTAGAATCAGAATGATACTCACTTGCTTTGTTTTATCTTCCATACTGAAGTGTATCCCAGTACTCGTTGAACTAAATATTTAGTCGGTTTACTACTGTATACTGCAGGTAATAACACATCACATCTTTTTATTACCGTGCCTAAAAAAGGTACAATATTGTCATCAGCTTGATGGCCGGTGGGCGGGTAGTGACTTGCTTTTCAGCTTGTCTACAGGTTTCCAGCTAAACCCTTTCAGTGATTCATCTGAAATATTCAGGGATGTTTCTACGTTTGAAATTTTAGAACTGATTACTTTTTGGGCATTCTGGGTAAATGTTAAGGTGGCCATATTGGATTTTTCGTCTTACATAATCTTGTCTTTTGAAGCTTGTCTACAGGTTTCCAGCCAAACCGTTTCAGGGATTCATCTAAAATTTTCAAGGCTGTTTCTACATATGAAAGTTCAGAACTGATTAGTTTTTGGTAAACGATAAGGCGGCCATTTTGGATTTTCCATCCTAAAATCTTAGAAATTATCTGTAGCTTGTCTGTTGTCTACAGGTTTCCAGCCAAGCTGTTTTAGGATTAACTTTTCAGTGGCCATCGTGGTGTCTAGATGCCATTTTGGAAGTTTTCAGACAAATCTTATTGCGATTCCAGAGGAACCCTTTAGCAGAATTACTTAAAGTTCTAGAGCTGATTAACTTTTTGGCGGCCATCTTGTTTTCTGGTAGCCATTTTGGAAGTTTTTATAAGATAAATCTTGTCATCACGTTTCCAGGAAAATTAACCACTTAACCCTTTCGTGACGTGAATTTAAGAGGAAGATGTTGGCCTGGTGACGAATAAGCAAGAGCAGTTTTTAGGGACATTCTGTAAATAACCAATACCCTGGAGCCTATACTTAAAATCATATCACTGAAATACAATTTTTGATAAGGATTATCACATTTAAATAACTTGTTAAAAGGACAATGTGCAATTATTGGCAAATATCCCTATGGTCAAAATGAATCATTCGTAGGTGTAACATGAAGAACAAAATGTCATATAATACTTTGGAAAATATTAAAGTGCTCGGACACACATAAGCTGGGATCATTTCGTTCAGTAAGGTTGTATTGACTTACATGGAGCTGTGCACCATTGACTTAACATGAGGATATCAGCAGATCCCAATAGAGGCCATTGGTTTCCATTGATTATCACAGAAATACCAAAAATACACTAGGACCTGAATCGATTGCAAACTTATTAATTTCACAATACGACACAAAATGTTTATCTCATCAAATGTGCAAATATGAAGTTTGCAATCGATTCAGGCCATACTTAAAATTAAAAGATTGTACATTTTTTCATCATTTTTTCCCCTACAAAATGGCTCTAGAAAAATGCTCCAAAAACAACTTTTACACTTATCAAATATCATACAAGTTTGTAAAACCAATGATTATACTATTATATTTCATTATGTAGTAACATATTTGGATAAGATGCAGGGATGCGTAGGATGTAAATGGATTTTGACAGACACAAAAATACTTCCTGGTTTGGAATCTATGCCTCTACACTTCATGATTGAATTATGACCCTAATAAGTGGCCTATACATCAATACAGTGCCGAATATAGGTCAACAAGACACTAGTGTGCATATAAAAGTAATAATTGAAGCAGAATACTCATTTTGAAAAATCAGATGAATTATTTTTTCCCATGGGGAGATCCCAATGGAGGGTGTATAAGGTCCTTTGGTGTAAAATGTTGGATAGAACTGGAGATATTGTCATTTCATTGCTGTATCTAAATAGAAATAAGGGTGCCAAAAGGAGCCCATCGTCCTGAAAGGTACATGTATTACATAAGATATTCCATATGGATCCTATCATCGTGAACGGGTTAACGGAATTACTTAAATTTTTCCACATGTTATATGTTAAGAAGTTCTACACCTGATTAACTTTTCGGTGGCCATCTAAAGCTTTAGGTACGATATTGTTCACCCTGTGCCTTGTTGACATTATATTTTTATTTGGTTCCCATAGTAAATGCTCCATATGATGAAATTAAAGTTGAGATAACATAAATCATATAAATTTTCAACTACCACAACTATTTAGGTAATATAAAGAGCGAGTTTCATAAACAAAAGATATTAAATTTGTAGACATATATGTTTATTTTGTATGACTGGTGTTAATGTATTTAAGTTAAATTTTAAGTTAATTATCCCAACGAACGAAGTTCGGAGGGATATAGGGAACGCCTCCGTCCGTCCGTCCGTCCGTCCGTCCGTCCGTCCGTCCGTCCGTACGTACGTACGTCCGTCCGTCCGTCCGTCCGTACGTCCGTCCGTCCGGGCAATAACTCAAATACCGTTCACCCGATTTTGTTCATATTTTGTACACATATACCCTATGGGGATAGAAGTTCTGCTCGAAAGCCGATTTTCAAAATGGCCGCTCATTACAAAATGGCGGCCATTTTAGTGCCGAATTTACAGTAATTTAGGTGCAATATGTAAAACTGTAATAGCAATATGTTTTAGATGTAAAAAAATTATATATGACATTAATAAAGCTAGAAATGTAGATATTAAAGAAGCACATGGCAGCCATCTTGAAAAATGGCGGCCTTTACTCGTTATTTTACGATTTTTGCTGTAACTCGAAAAGTAGTGGAGCGATTATGTTCATATTTGGTATGTGAATACTATAAACATTGCACACTGTCTAAAGACACTTTTGGTAGAAGGTGGCCATTTTAAAAAATGGCCGCCATTTTGAAAACTGGCCGCCATTTTAAAGTATTTTACTATAACTTGAAAAGTAGTGAAGCGATTTTGTTCATATTTGGTATGTGAATACTATAAGCATGGCACACTGTCTAATGACACTTTTGGTAGAAGGCGGCCATTTTTCAAAAAAATTGAAAAATGGCCGCCATTTTAACATATTTTATAATTATTCGAAAAATAGTGAAGCGATTTTGTTCATATTTGGTATGTGAACACTGTAAGCATGGCACACTGTCTAATGACACTTTTGGTAGAAGGCGGCCATTTTCCAAAATGGCCACCATTTTAACGTATTTTACTATAACTCGAAAAGTAGTAGAGCGATTTTGTTCATATTTGGTATGTGAATACTATAAGTATGGCAAATGGTCTAATGACACTTTTGGTAGAAGGCGGCCATTTTGAAAAATGCCTGCCATTTTTGCTAAATACTTTGTTTGTAAAAATGCCATCCATGGCTGTTCGATGGGATTCGCTACGCTTTGGCGTTGCCGTTGTTCTGGTTTTAAAGGAAAATAAATGTTATTTAAAAAACAAAACAAAAAAACATAAATCATATAAATTGTGAATAAAAAGCTAGCAGTGCAAAACTTTTTGTATGGTGTAAGAAAACCTGATGGCAAAGAGCATCACATAAATAGATTTCAGGTAGTTAAATTGTGAAATGCAAGTAGTTAGTAATATTTATTTTGTATATGCATCAAAAGCTTTGAGCAACATTTGAATTAAAGTTATTAAAAGTATACTTTGGCGATAAACAAACTAAATAATTTTCATGAATTTGTGATTCAGGGATTTATGCTGTTTTACTTGAACTAGGACTCAAATGATATCATAATGTACAATGTATTACCTACAGTTTGATGTAATATGTACAGTACAATGCAATACATACAGTACAATGTAATACCTACAGTTTGATGTAATATGTACAGTACAATGTAATACATACAGTTCGATGTAATACATACAGTACAATGTAATATGTACAGTACAATGTAATACATACAGTTTGATGTAATATGTACAGTACAATGTAATATATACAGTTCGATGTAATACGTACAGTATTGTCCTTTCCATAATGATCTGACATTTTGTCCCCAACTCTAAATCTCAAGTACATCCCCAATCCACACTATAAAATCATGGTACCATTCGGTACATTAAGAGGATGGTACTATACAGTACCATTTGAGTATGGCACCGTTCACTATTCATGGTACTGTATGGTACCGTTTTTGTCTACGGTACTGTGCGATACCATATTTCATGGCACTGTACAGTGCCGTAACCAAAAAGGTACCGTACGGTACTGTTGCAGATTAGCTATGTAATTTAACCCTAAGGCATAATCAATTAGGCAAAGTAAATATAAGGCTGATCAAGTTTTGCACAGCCATCTCAAATTCAATTTCTAATTTTTAGATAAATATTGTCCTTGCAATTCAATTCATTGAATTATCTTATAAGTATAATAAGTAGTTACCTATTCACCCAACTTGAAAGAGTATAATCTGTAATTTTGTCAATTCAGATTTTAAATTGAAGTTTCAGTAAAAAATTAAATGCTGAAATAATATTCCATTTTGTAAATATTCTAAATCTGCCATCTTAAATTATGATGTCAGAATGAAAATTGGCATATTCAGATTTTAAAAAAAACATAAAATATGGGTCTAAAATATGGGTTAAAAATGATATAATTAACTTATTGGGTCTTGCTTCATTTTATTCCTTCTAGATTCTTTCACCCGGGCCATTTACATTTTATTTATGCTATCTTTTGTTTCAAAAAGTGGCCAGTTAAAACAGAGTTAAGCAAATGGTGCATCTCTACAATAAATTTACACAATTTAATACTTCCAGGGAACCTTTACCACATTGTCTGACCAACATTGGACTTATACCCCCCTGTGATAAGATCCTCATTGAAATGATGTTCTGTGAATTAAGCAAATGGTGTAACTCTACACTAAATATACACAATTTAATACTTCCAGGGAACCTTTACCACATTGTTTGACCAACATTGGACTTATACCCCCATGTGATAAGATCCTCATTGAAATGATGTTCTGTGAATTAAGCAAATGGTGTAACTCTACAATAAATATACAGCATTTAATACTTCCAGGGAACCTTTACCACATTGTCTGACCAACATTGGACTTATACCTCCATGTGATAAAATCCTCATTGAGATGATGTATTGTGAATTATGCAAAAAGTGCATCTATACAATATATATACACAATTTATTACTTCCAGGGAACCTTTACCACATTGTCTGACCAACATTGGACTTATACCTCCATGTGATAAAATCCTCATTGAGATGATGTATTGTGAATTATGCAAAAAGTGCATCTATACAATATATATACACAATTTATTACTTCCAGGGAACCTTTACCACATTGTCTGACCAACATTGGACTTATACCTCCATGTGATAAGATCCTCATTGAAATGATGTACTGTGAATTAAGCAAATGGTGCATTTCAACACTGAGGAGCTGTATACTGGAAGCAGAAATGTTCTTCAAGTCTAAAGGAATCAACCCAAGCTCCCAGGGCCAGGATAACAGCAAGGTATACTGTCAAATGCAAACTACCAAACATGTTTTATTCTTGCTTGCATGGTTCAGAAATTCTGATTATTTAACTTTGTTGTTATTCATATTTGGTGTTAAACGCAATAATTCCAAATTCTGTCCTGTCGTGGTATTCATGGTAAAATAGTTCTGTGACAACTAGAATTCTTATATGTAGCCATATGTGTATTAACAGGAAAACAAATTTAACATAATAGTATGTAAAAGAATCACCCTACTATTGACTACTATTACTACTGATTACCATGGCAACAGATTTGTTGTTGAATAAATTATACACATGTACATGTATCTGTGGGAATTGGAATTGTCATAAAGTAGGTAGACGGAGATGTAGAAAAAAATCAAAACATACCTTATATGTATAGTTATGTACACTCTGTTTTAGGATGACTTGAGCATAGGGACCCTTCCAGTTGGCAGATTCATGCTAAGTGTACTGGGAATGTTGACCTCTGAACACCATGGCAACAGCATCAGCCTCATTCTGAACTCAGGCTTGTTGGCATTGACACAGAGCATCCTTAGGCTCACAGGTACGTGTTTGTGGGGGGGGGGGCAACTTGAACATTGGATTTTGTGATCAAAAATTTTTGGCTTTATCCTTTTCTCATAACCATGTTATATTTAATTATATCACCACCAAAAGTGGCCTTGTTTTAAGAACTTTATTGCCCAACAATATGAAGGAAAATTAATGCTGAATTATCTATTACTATGTCACCACCACAACTGGTGACATATTGTTATAGTGGCCAACTTTTTGTGGATGGTGTTAGCGATTGACATTTTGTGGTTGGCATTTAGCATCTGTAACAAATGGCAGGTAGTGACATTTTTGATGTTGACTCTTTGTATTTATCATGTCTTTTATTATAGGCCCTGACCCCAATGGTTACACGACAGAGAACATCCACACAGTACACGCTGTCTTAGAAGAACCACGTCACAAAAAGGAGCCACAAACTGTACCGATATCTGGGCCAGAATTGGCAGCCATGATGAAGATTGGCACTAGGGTTATGAGAGGTGTCGACTGGAAATGGGGCGATCAGGTACACTGTATTCATTGTGAATAAATGACTCTTGTTACTGATGGTTGAAAAATCTTAAACATGCACAATAACTTGAATAATAAGTACTTGAATGAGTTAGAAATAAAAGTATTGTGCAAGTTTGAGATCTTTAGATCTGAGTCAACAGTGAACAAGTCATTTTTCTTGCCAGAAAGTCCTTTTATTCAAGTATAATGTACGAGATCCACACTGTATTTTGAAGGTTGAGATATTGAAGATGTGATGATAAAAAAAACTTTGAAAGATTGAACAAATTCATTTATTGATCATTTCTTTGAATTCAGGATGGGACGCAGCCAAGCCTCGGACGTGTCATCGGTGAACTAGGGGAGGATGGTTGGATAAGAGTTGAATGGGACACGGGAAGCACAAACTCATATAGAATGGGCAAAGAGGGCAAATATGACCTGAGACTTGCAGAGGCGCCATCTATAGCTGAACATGATGAGGATGACAGTGATGAAGAAGATTCATGTGAGTATACTTTTTGGAAAGGACTATTCTCGGTTTGGAGAACGAAGTTTATCACTCTAATTGAGCATTACTCCAGCTTCAGACTTTGATTTTTTACATATTAAATATAGATTTGAATGTTTTCTTTTGAATAGTCATAATTTAATTTGGGTGCTATTTCTATATTTTTCATAAAAAAATGATTAGCGCAGTACACTAATGAACTTCTTTCTCCAAATCAAGACTTGTATTTTATTGAATAGGTTTTGAAGATATTGATCACTTTTTGATTGAAGGGGATCGCCATTTTGTATTGTTGCTTGATAGTTTGTAGTTAATTTGAACTTGATTGTTTTGGTTGAATATGCCATTGGTGGTTTCATTTTGAGTGGGAGGAGAATGGAGTCAAAACATTTTTTATAAGATCAGATCATACAAGAAATCATATACTTTCTCAATAGTTCAACAACTTCTTACTGTCATATTGAGTCACTAATTGTGTAGTTGATGGGACTGAGAAAATTCAACTAAATCTGGACAACATGTGAAGGATGGATACAAAGTAATCTTTTCAAACCTGAATGGACACTATTTTAACCTATAAACAAGTATTTCGATTTGTCGGTTTTCTGGACAGATGTGGAGAGCATGACTGAATGTTTCTCTGTTATGGTGCTGGACTGCGGTGAGTGACAGTCAAGTGGCTGTGTCTCGGAATTGAAAATCATTGATCACCATGATTAATACTAAGCTATAATAGTCGATAACAATTCTTGGTACCTGGAAAATACTTTTTTGTTGAATTGGGAATATTTGTTGGTTGAGTCAAAGTTCCATTTCAATTGTTTGCCAAATTGTTTGTTGAGCTCTGTTGGAAATCAATCAATCGATATAACTTTAAAGATTGGTTATGAAGAACAAAATTGATTGACATTATATTGATACTCTATAATCTATACTTCTCAACTCTTGATTCCAATGCTGTACTGTATTTTAATTCTTTTAAATTTCAGAAATTTTGTCCTGGGAAATATCCCTATTTTGCCACTATTAAATGTGCATTTCACAATTTGAAATGTCATTATTCTCTGAATCCTTCCCCTTTGTTAACTTAAAGTTAATTTAAATTGATTAAAAAGCAACATATATCTGATCAATCATAGATTTATTATCATCAATGTAATGAATAACAACTATAGTTACGGAATAACAAATAACAAGAAATAACATGCTACATACATCAATCAAACGATCCATGTTGCCGTTAGTGATGCAACTCGGCAGAAAAATGCCACTCGAGTAAAAATATTAAAAATACCACAGTGATCGTGATCGAGTGTCGCTCGCAAAAATGAGGGAATATTGTAAAATTGAAAAACTCCCTCGAAGAGTGTTAGGAGACCAATTAAAACATGCCTGCCTGCCCGAGTTTGAAAAAACGCACTGGAGCAATTGAGACAGGTTCAAAGGGTGAGTGGCGAGCACTGACATTCAAGTTGCTCCACTAGTTGCCATCTATCATATACTCGTATGAATTAATAAATATGTTTTATTTAATATGCAAGCAGTCACAATCTAAAATGTAAATACTGTGTAAGCACTCAACAGTTTGAGCAAATAAATACTTATTTATATATATCTTATTCATTATTTATATCACACAATTTGCATAAGGTTTTCATCATACTATGTCTATGTTGTCTATATTTCCATAGCTTCTTGACATATCTCACCATAGCATGTAAACTTAACATTTCCATTTGGTCCAAATGTAGCATCTCGCAAAATATCTGGGTACATATCCTTTAACTTCTCTAAAGCATTCTGCAGTGGGAAAGCATAAGCAAAGTTCCCTTCATCTGTTGTTTCTAGGGCATAGAACATCCCAATAACTAAATTTTTACTGTCATCTCGATGGTAGACAATTGATCCACTATCGCCCTTTTTAGCGAAGGGTATTGGGCCATCATTTTTTATCTGAATTGCCCTCAGAAGTGTAACATCTTTTGTGATTCCATCTATCTCAAAAGGAATTTTGCCAGCGTATCGAAGATCTGATATGATACTCTCTGTTTCCCCAGTTACTGCTCCTTTCTTATGAACTGTGATTTCACCAACAGCTTGAAAATTGAAACATTTTGTTATTCAGTCAGTGTTATGATTTTTGTTGTTCCATCGTTTATTGAACAAATATTAGGAGAATCAATATTACATGTAAACAAATATGTCTATAATTTACCTTGATTTTCATTTCTTTGCTGTGTCAAACCATCAATTGTGTCTGTTTCACAACTTCTACAGTCATCTTGTTGGGGTTTTGCCATCTTAATAAGTGCGATATCATATGTTTCCACTTGTTTGCCAGGATGGTCATGTGCAATAGTACATTCCACTGTACCTATTGGATCCCATGTTATTCGAGCTTGTTCATTCTTGTATACTCCAACCGCCCCTCCATGAGGCACACCCTTTACAACATGATGACATGTCAGTCCATATATGTTTGAATTGAAGCTTATGTGGCCACCTAAGGTGCCCATTGTTGGTGTACCACCAATTCTCTCTCCCATTACTGCACATCCTAATGAAAATGACTTTGTTCTAGGTGAAGCCCGAAAATTGAACTTGTGCTGAGGATATTTCTCTTTGATTTTCATTTTAGTTGAATCATCATCTTTGTCATGTAAATAGATAGAGAAATTGGTTTCATTTGGTTTAAGACCAACGCGTTTTACTCCATCAAAACTGGAAAAAATGTATAGGGAATTATGCATATTATAGGGTGTTTCATAATGATTGTCTCCCATGAACCACTAATCCAACGTGGTATATATCATATGAAAGCTCATTGACAGAACCATGGGCTTTCAATTAGAAGGGTGTGCAACTCTGTAACAACATGAGACCTTCAAAATGAGCAATGCCATGCTTCCCTTTTATGGTCATATTTCAAAAAGTATCAGATAAATAAATATATATGTTTTAGTATTATTTTGAATAAAAATCAATTTTCAATTATGATTTAAGCAAGAAATATATTCAATATCATGTAAAAGTAAACAAAAAAGACCAATAAGAATAAGAGGTATCAAGAAGTTCTCTATGAGTATTGCATTGTGGGTAATTATTCAAGAACACATTCCAATAAAAACATAATTTGTGGGAGAATGTTCACTTTCTGTATTGTCATAATAATGATGACTTCCATTTTTTTTATTAAATTAACAACATGTATGTAGATAATCATGTTTTTATTTTTGACTTATTTCTTTAAATCATCAATAAAAAGTACAAAACAAGATTTTCTTGGAATGTGTGCATTCTCCAATTTTGAAAAGCAAGGCAATGCTTATGTGTGAAATATGGGAAGTTGCCTACCCTTCTAGTTGAAGGCCCATGACAGAACTCATAAGCAATTAATATTTTTATTAAATAATATTATTCTGATTTTTGTACTTACCTTACAAAAGATTGATAAATTGAAAATATATTAGTTTACTTATTAGTTTTTCTGAATAGTTTACAGTCACAGTATGATTTGAATGAATTGCAGAGTTTCAAAACTCAGGCGTATTCAAAACAATCTGATCAATTCAAATGGTTTGTGTTTCAGTTTCAAAACCTTCTTAAAAAACTGAAAAGAAATATTATTTGATTGCTTATTAGATTTTCTGGAAAATACATTCCCATGTAACTGACACTTGTATACATGCTTCTAACTGCTGAGTATAGTTATATTTATTTGTTTGACTGCTTTTTAAAAGAGAGTTTCATATGTATGATTCAAATAATTCGTCTCAAGATCTCAGGAATTTTTCTCACGATCTGATAATGTTGGTAACTTTATTCACATTTTTAATTAAAGAAATGGAGTACGATTTCGGGGAATGAGCTCAACATGAATCACTCGCAATTGAAAGTCGAAAACAAAAAATGCCTTAATTTTTACAATGTACAAACCATTTAACATTACATGTACCATGATAAATGATTGTAAAACAAAATGTTAATCAAGTATTTTAACAAAGGAAAACAAGACCATTTAAGTTATATTATAGGAGCCATTCATTTTGAGATTTTTAAAATAGAAGCAAATCTCCCAACAAGACATTTTTTGAATAATTTATTTGCACCTCCTTTCTTCTAAAAAACTCTTAAAAGTTTAAATAAATTAAAATAAACCATGATAGTTAACCAGTCTGCTCCTGAAAATGAAAAATACACTGTACACATCATTGATCAAACCTTTTAACTACCAGTATATAGAAATCTTAGAAAAGTATAACAAATGTAAAAATAAGCTGAATCCTTTGTTGTTGAAAATAAAAACTTTGTTACTATAGCGGATAGCAAAGGTAACAATTTACATTGTTAGTACCTCAACTGAAATACTCCATTCTGATTGGTTGATTAGCGGTTAACAAAATGTACATTTTGTAAACATTGATGAAAGTGATATTTTGACTTTACTAGACGACAAGTATAGCAAAAATACAAATAGAAACGTAAAATTAACATTATTTACTAATGATTACGCATAACTTGCATGGTTCGGAGAAAAGAAGCCATGCCGATTGATGATTGTCATCTATATGTGTATTATTAGTTTCTTCGGACTAACAAAACAATTGTAGACCTCTCCATTCGGTCAACCGTCAAAATCATATACCTCGACTGTAAACCTTGAAACTACTGTTGACAGACACCAAAGGTCGGGTCAACAGTAGTTTCAAGTAGATAGTGTAGTGTAGTGTAGTGTAGTTTTTGTACAATTTCATTTTGTAATGACTAATTTGTCAGGTCATGACATCCAAAGAGTCAATAAAAGATATACATGTATATATATATACAATTTTCCCGGTTGACCTCTGGAGAGGTCAACAATTGTATACTGTACACCCCCACAATGCAATCTGATTTTCGACACTGTTTTGGTGCCAAATTTAGGTGCCGTTTCGGCACCAAATGGACTGACTAGTCCAGTGCCAAATTTTGGTGCCGGAAGGATTTGGTGCCAGAATGGTGCCGGAACAGCGCTGAATTTTTTTGATGCTGAAACAGCGCTGAATTATATTGGCTGTGTATAAGCTTATTTTTAATATCTGTCTAGATTAAAAATATTACTTTAATATGATGAGACTAACCCAAAAAGTATAGATACTTGATCCTCCAGTTCAAGAGTACATGTTCCTCGGTTGCCATCCATACATGGTTCACACTGTCTGGCTTCATTCATGACATTTCCAAATTCTGCATTTGTCACTATGGCCTCATCTGTGATTTTTTCAGGTGTATTACTTTCACTTGAATCATTGTCGATTTTGTGTTTATGGTTGAATAAAGAAACAAATGTATAATATAAAGAATATATTTTATATAACATATCTTTCAAAATGTCCAACATGATGAATTTATTTCTTTATTTATTTTTTATTTATTTATTTATTTGTTTATTTCCAAATTTTGTTTATTGTACTTGAGATAAAGATGCAGAAACTAGTATTTTTTTAGCTTCATCATCGTACAATCAATTTTATTCAGATTTTAGTTTTTGTGCTATGTTTTTAGATTAGATTTTCTGTGTGTCCTGTATCAATAAAAATTGCGCAGTTTTTCCGTCTATTTCTAGTGACTGTATGATTTAGATTTATTACATGTATACTTGAAAATTTGTTTACAAAAATTACATTTGGGTAGGGATGATGTCAAAATGTTGAAGTTCTTTTGGTTTTGCCCTCCCCTTTCCATCCATATAATGAAATTTGAAAAAGCTGATTTGGTGTTTTAAATATCTACAAAACTGTCATTAACCCCTTCCCCTTAATAAAATTAACTCATTATTTCAAAACTTTTGGTACCAACCCTTAGCTAATCATTGAATGAATCAGTTGTATCATGGCCTCGGAATTTAATAATATTCGCTTTTTGTAGAATGACTGTATAGGTGTAAGAATGAAGAAAAGGTTAAGTGGTGTGAAGTAACTCTGTAAATTGCATATTGATCACTTGAATCGTGAGATCAGTGTGTCAAACTTTAAAAAGTAAAATGTTTACATTATATTGAATATAAACAACAGCCATTACCAACCACCATTCCACATGTATATGTAACCCTTCCATTGTATATTCCCAGTTGTGTTTCGTGAAAAATGACAAATAACCCATCTTTAAATAAGATATTCTTATCACATCTTGGATGCATTTTGGCCAATACAATCATTTAGCAAACATTTAACCAATACTCTATACATCATCAAAACTTTTTTTATTTATATTTATGTATTCCAGTTAACAACAATGCAAATCAAGAGGATCTGGTCCACCCAACTGCTATGATAAGACAGGGCACCCTACAACTTCTTAGCACTCTGTCTCTCTGTAGGGAAATTAATATGTATCTTTAATACTATTTTTATATTTATATATTCCAGTCAACAACAATGCGAATCAAGAAGAGCTGGTCCACCCCACTGCTATGATAAGACAGGGCACCCTACAACTTCTGAGCACTCTATCTGTATGTACAGGAATCTATGCTGAGCAGACACAGCCCGAAGCAATCAGTGCCCTCTGTGGGCTCTTGAGGACACTAGTAGATGCAGGGACAAACAAATCAAGTGAGTTGTATTTTATTTTAACTTATGCCATAAAAAGTTCAAAAATATATTTAGAATGCCTCTGTCCATCTATCCATCTGAGCAATAAGTATGAAAATTACTGTTTGTCTGATATTTATATCTTATATTATGCAAGAGTTGATCCAAAAGTTCTGCACCGTTTACTCTAAAAATCTTAATGCTTCATGAATAATGTTCATATTTGGTCTCAAACACCCCATATATAGTAGTTTCATTTTATGTAGAAATAAGCAGTCCTATTACACCATAAATTTTGCATGTTTTTCAAATTAAATATCGGGTTTACAGTATAAGGGGTCACTGAAATATGGCTGCAATATATATGTGTCATTTTTTCTTGTTGTTAATTTCTTTAAATTTTTTTTTTTGATATTTCATCAACTGGAGTTCAGTGAGAAACAGAGAATGCATCTGTAAAGATTAATTCTGTTTTAATTTTTCCACTTTAGATTCGGCCAATACTTTGAGTAGAAGCATAGCCAAGGAGCAGTATTATGTGTGGGCAACACTTGGCTTTATTAAGAGTATAGCCACTAGGCCAGGGATATGTAGAGCCCTGAGTACCCCCCAGTGGATCGACCTGCTACTAAACACATTGAGTCATCAAACTGGGAATAACATTGGTGGACATAATCTCCCAAGAGAGGTGCGTATAAATTCATGGAGTGTGTTCGTAAAATATCACTTTTTATTTTCACATCTCATATTAACAGTATGTTCCATGTTGTTTGGTTTCTTTAATATTATTGGGAGGGGACCTCGACCAAATATGGACATGTGTGACTGATGTCCAAAATTACCACTCTCCATTTCGGAATTTTGCCCCAGAAATTGTTTGGGACATTTTAAAACTTTCCTTCAGAGTACAGAATGGGTGTGAGTATACATGTATACTATGCTAGTATGATATGAAATTTAAAAAATATATATACCCATTTTAAAATATGTAGCTTTATATTTGTAGATCTTGACTATACATCTCCTCCAAGCTATTTTGCCATCATGGGATGTGACAATAGATTCAGAGAGGATGGATGGACTTGTCACTAAACTGTTTGAAATCCTCGGCCATGTGCTGCTGTCGTGTAACTCTGACCCTACATTGGTTCCTATTGGTAAGTATTTGTCCAAGAAAGTGTGTTCAACGCTGACCATACATTGGTTCCTATTGGTAAGTATTTGTCCAAGAAAGTGTGTTCAACGCTGACCATACATTGGTTCCTATTGGTAAGTATTTGTCCAAGAAAGTGTGTTCAACGCTGACCATACATTGGTTCCTATTGGTAAGTGTTTGTCCAAGAAAATGTGTTCAAGGAAGAGTCTGTAACTGTGAGTTGTTGATGACTGGTAAAACATGGCAAAGGCATTTTGAGGAAAGCAGATAGAGTGCTTTAAGCCTTTATGTTCTATATGATTCAATGATGGATCATAGCCATCTTTTTTGAACGATGTAAAAATGTCTAGGTCACCCCCACCACTGTTACCCTCCACAAATACAACCCCTATTTTAATGTCTGATTGAATACTGTTAATTGAGTTTTATCATATAACTTGGCTGATAATGCCGATGCCCAGCCACAAGCACATGTGCACTTGTTTAATGTATTCTTTGTATAAATATATAAATAAATAAAAAAATAATAAATAAATAAAAAATGGATCATAGACATATGGATTGATCAGTTTGGTAGAGATTCAATGCATGAGTTCATTTAAATCGTCCTGGCATGTTACACAATTCGAATCGTGTATCTTATTAATTTGAATTGCATCCTAACAACAAAAATGATCATATGACTTGAACAAATAAGTTAGATATAGTTGTTCTCACAGTACACTGTATATGTACAGGCCCATAGCCAGGGGGGTTCGACCCTACCCCCCCCCCCCTTCCCTCGCCAGCCAAATATTCTTTCAAAATCATGCAGTTTTTCACCATTCTGAGCATTTTTTCAAATGGTTTTCGCCATTTTAGGGCCAAAGTTGTCAAAAGTGAACCCCCTTGAAATTGAAAAAGTCTGTGAATCTGTCACCTCTAATATAGAGCATCATGAATTTACAGAAATCATTTCATTTTCCAGACTCTCCAAAAAGAAGCAGTAGACGTCGAGCACCTGTGTCAATCTCTGCTTCATACTCCAGTACTCTTGCTGAAGAACTTGTGACATTACTTCGCAAGATACACGTTCTGGACTCATGGAACACTATTATAAATAATCACATCACAGGCACCTTGAGTCTTATAGCTGACATGGTTGTAGAAAAGTCAAATACTTTACAAGTAAGTGCTTTGTTTTGATATATTTTATGGATTTATTCCCGAAAATTTATTCTCTTTATTCTTGGAATGCTAGCATAAACCCATCAGTGTCTCATTCTCTCTTATGTCACCACCAGAATTGGTGACATAACAATTCACTTGCTCCAAAGATGTGTTTTTACTTTTCTATAATTTTTGGGAAGCTTGAAAATGCACACATGTATGAAGTGAAGTAATTTCCTTTTTATTTGACAGATTGCTTACTCTAAAATGACAGTTTTATCCTGGGGGGTTCACTATATATAAATTTTGGTGGGGCTCATAGGCTGAACCCTCAGTTATCAATATGTTCCCATACCAACTAAAATAACTCCCAAATGTCCAAATATAGGACCAATACCATCCCAAATGTCCAGATATAAGACCAATGCCATACCAAATGTCTTAATATAGGCCCAATGCCATACCAAATGTCCAAAGTAGAAAAAAAGCTTATATTCAAACTGAAGAATTCCTTGAGAAGAAGGCAAATCTATGAAGAAAACGATCCAAAACAACCAATACCGTACCACAAGTGTGAGGTCACATTTTCCACGACCATTCTCATTCCAGAAAGTGGAAAAATCTGACTATCAAAATCATAATGTAGGGGACATTCTCATACCAGATCCTAAAATTTGGGTCTATTGCCATACCAAATGTCAAAAAGGGTACCCCATGTGGGCCGAGGATCCCCGTCAAGGTTTATATACAGTGATTACTCAGGTGCATAATTTCTGAAAGTGGAGGACTGCGTTCACCCTTTGCCCTGATGAACTAATGTTAATCCTCTCCTCCCTCAATACTTTTTTGGGACTCACCTCCTTGATGATTGAGGAATCCCCTCAACTCTTACATTTTCAGTGTCTACCCTCTACTATGTACAATCCTTTAGCCCCCCTCCCCCCATTCCTACACTAATGCAAGGTACGTCTTCAAACATGAACATATAAAAGTTATTTCACTGAATTCAAATTAGATCTCAAGGAATAACTATTACATATTTATTTAAAGAGATTCCAATCTTGCATTAACCAAACTTTAATTGGCCTATTATTGAGATAATTTTATTCATATCTGATTCATCTAGTAAAGCCAAAGATTCATATCAACAACATTATATAACAGCTGTAGCTGATTTTAGATCAAAAGATTTGTGGACATGTCAATCTATTTTCAATTTTGGTAACTCTTAGTCGACCATAGATTCTTGAAATCTCTCATCAGAGAGGTTAATCAAAATTCATGTTTTCAAGTTTTTAGTAGTTGCAGTTTTGTGATGGTTATCATGCAAATGAGCTATATGAGTTACATGGCAGGGCGTAGCCAGCTTTCAGTCAGGGGGGGTGCGATAGCCAATTTTCTTCAGTTTTAAGTCAGGGGGGTGCGATTGCATAAATTATTTTCACTTTTCAGTCAGGGGGTGCGATCATGGCATAAGCAAGGCAAAAGTTTGGAATTTTTAGGATTTGTTGTGAATTTTATGATGCAACTTCCTTCGAAATTGAGCTAGAAGCTTCAAATAAAAAAAACATTTTAAAGCTCTTTTCTTCTTCTATCTTGTGGTTCTACTTCTATTGGCTGTTTATGCTACGCCTATGTATGGTCCAGGAAAATGGTAGTCTATTGATATTCTGAATGATTACCCTTAGGTAAACACATCATTAAACTGTTATTTAGGTCAACCATTGGGTTGGCGTCTTATCAGTTACAAACTACAACTTAGTACTTAACTGCAGGAAGCAATAAAACCTATTCAATTTTCAATCAGATAATCATAAATTAAAACTGTTGAAATATAGGTAATAAACACAAAGACTAACAGTAACCTTGCAAATAAATTATAGACTTTTAGTAATCATGAAACTTGTCTAAAAAAAACGTAATAGGAAAACGACAGAACGGTGATATTGTTAACAGTTATATAATCACTATACGATTCAGTATAATAAATATGTAGAAACATAAGAGCCTCCAATAAGTTTTTTTATTATGAAATATTGTATGCAAAAGGGAAAATGATCAGAATACATGAACATATTTTGTCTACCCTTTGCATTCGTTTGACTTCACTTCTTAAAAGAGAGCTCCGTCTTCACTCTTTCAAACTAAAATGTAGTTTAACTAGACTCTGCACGCAGGGTATATTTTGTCTCATGTTAAATCAGAATCATTCGATTAATGTGGTTGTATACCTGGTGACCTAATATACAATGTTTGCCCTTTGCTGTAAATTCCCACACTTCCTCCTCACTTTTGAGTCAGCTTGAACAAGTTCACATAATTGTTTAAGTTTAAGTTTATTCCAATTTTAACATGTTACATATAATCGTATACAATTTGACGCAAAGCGTATATTGTATAATACATACAAAGAATTTATAATTGCAGATTTTTTAATGCATGAAATAAGGATGTGCACATGTCTAATAAACAAAAAGAAACAAAATCTAATGATGTAAAAAAAATTAAAAAGTTGCACTGGCCGGGAATCGAACCCGGGCCGCCCGCGTGGCAGGCGAGCATTCTACCACTGAACCACCAGTGCTTCATGAAATGTGGTAACAAAAATCTCGGTCCAATCTTTGAACATTTCATTTCTTTGTTATGGTAATTTGCATACTCTGAACCCTTTGTTGTGTGCTCATTATCTAGAATCTTATTAACATTTGTCAACATAAAAGTGTAAAACTCAGCATGACATAACTCTAATTGGCCTATTACTGAGATAATTTTATTCATATCTGATTCATCTAGTAAAGCCAAAGATTCATATCAACAACATTATTCAATAGCTGCTGTTTAATTTCTAGATTAAAGGATTTGTTCTTACAAAGTTTAACAGTCTAATTATTTGATTTAACACAAAGGAAATAAATACATGTGTACAAAGTATAGAAAAGCAAACAAAGAAAATCTCCAAAATTGTTTAAAAGATGGCAATAGTTGTATTTCATTCCTTGAGTATACATTGAAATAATAGTATTGGCAGTGTTATCAATCAAACTGGCTGTTTTATTCAGTGAACACACTCCCTACTTCCTGTTAATCAAAATTATTCAACTTTGACTATGTATTTTAATTATGTTATAATTAATGACAAGTCCCTTTTTACTTGATAACAATAAAAAATAAATGGCCTTCAAATGTATATTTTGTTACATATTTTTATAAATTTTATTGATGCATTTTATTATGATATCCGTGCACAATTGATAGAACAGCTAAATCTATTATTAACTATAAGCTGTTACTAGTTAAGAACCCCTTCATTAACAGAAATACGTTGAGCGATGTTCATTATTTCCTTTTATTTAATTTAATAAAAATCAGAGTAATAATTGTAAAATACCAATTGTACAATAATATTGATGTTTTTTCAATGAATATTTGACCATAGATATGTTAAAATTAACATTCTGTATGACTTAAATAAACCCAACTATATTAACAATGAGTTGGAAATCATACTAACTGGATAGTCTGCTTTTCAAGTCACTATATTCGTGTAGGGCTGACCCGGATCAAGCATACTTACCTGGCACAGGGGATACCTTGATCATCTAGGAGGTTCCCCCAGTGTGAGGCCTGTCCATTGCACTTCGGGCGGGCTGACCGCTGCGATAACCCCAAATGTGGGTTACTCGGGTGCGTAATTTCTGATAGTGGGGGACTGCGTTCGCGCTTTCCCCTGACAAACTAATGGTAACTCTCTCCTTCATTATCAACTTTGGACTCACCTCCTTGTTAATTGAGGAATCCCCTCTACCCTGACATTTTCAATGTCTATCATTTACAATCCTTTAACCTCCCCCCATTCCCTACACTAATGCAAGATACCACAAATTTATATTATGTTATACTTCACTTAATTCCAATTTTCTATTTTAATTCCGATTTTCAAGGATTTGCATTTGGACTGAAATTCTGTCTAACTCATGCTGAATTTCATCATATTCATTATTGGATGGCCTATCATTATTTCTTCTTTAATTAGATTTTCAAAGACTAACTAAAACATGTTTATTGAAAAGATCCCATCTTGCATTAACCAACTTTAATTGGCTTTTTACTGAGATTTACTCTAATCTAGTAAAGCCAAATATTCATATCAACAACATTATTCAACAGCTGTAGCTGATTTTAGATCAAAAGATTTGTGGACATGTCAATCTATTTTCAATTTTTGTAACTCTTAGTCCACCTTGGATTCTAGAAATTCTCTCATATCAGAGAAGTGAATCAAAATTTATGTTTTCAAGTTTCTGCTCATCGCATCCTTGGGCCAAGGGTATTTCAATATTCTTTTCATAGCTTTGATACAAGTGAAGCCCAACCTTGAAGAATGGCTCATCCTACTATATATATGAATGAATAAATATATAAATAAAACTTTGTCAGATTCATGAAAATAATGTAAAGATGGCAGTAGTGCATACAGTATGTTGAAACAATATTTTGGCAAAAAGTCTGTTACTTCAATTGATATCCTCCCTTTTTCTGTACAATTTTAAATGATTTGTTTTATTCTTAATCATCATTTAATAAAATCCTTATTTTTTCTATTATTTATTCTAGTAATTTTTGAAACCAAATTTCCATTTCAATGATTACAGAATGTTTTTTTACAAAAGTAATAATCTTTATTTTTGGCAATTTAACAGTGCACTCATTCAATGGAACAGCTGTGTTGATAAGTGGCCTCAATATAGTACCAGAAATCACACCGAAACTTTCTTAAAATTCATATTTTAAAAATTCCAGTTCATATCATGTTATATTTTTTTAATCAAAAAATAGGAAATTCACTCTCCTGTAGATCTTTATGAAACATGTAAAAGAGAAAGATAAGTATACATTTTCAAAGCTACATGTACATACTTAATCTACTGTAATAGAAATCAGAGCCACTTCAAAGTGTTATTTTCTAGTCAGTTGATATAAGCAAATGTGACCTTGTTCAAGCATACTTACCTGGCACAGGGGACACTGTGATCATCGCGGCAGTTCCCCCAGTGTGAGGCCTATCCATTGCACTTCGGGTGGGCTGACCGCTGCGATAACCCCAAATGTGGGTTACTCGGGTGCGTAATTTCTGATAGTGGGGGACTGCGTTCGCGCTTTCCCCTGACAAACTAATGTTAATTCTCTCCTCTCTTCTTCAATATCATCTTGGGACTAACCTTCTTGAAGATTGAGGAATCCCCTCTACTCTGACATTTCAATGTCTACCATTTACAGTCCTTTAGCCACCTCCCCATTCCCTATATTAATACTACCTCTTCAAACATGAACGTATAAAAGTTATTTCACTGAATTCAAATTCAAGGAATAACTAAAACGTGTTTGTTAAAAAGATACAAATCTTGCATGGAGCAAACTTTAATTGGCCTACCTTGTTAACATTTGTCAACATAAGGGTGTGAAACTCAGCATGATGTAACCCTAATCATGTAATTGGCCTATTTTTGAGATAATTTTATTCATATCTGATTCATCTAGTAAAGCCAAAGATTCTTATCAACAACATTACATAACAGCTGTAACTGATTTTAGATCAAAAGATTTATAGACATGTCAATCATTTAATACATTGATCTCTTGCTAACTCTAAGCTTGTACTCGCAACACCTGTCGGTTACTGGATTTACCTGTTATTTAATGGGCAACTCATTTAAATATGAATAGTACCTGCCACTATTCCATTCATATTTAAATGAGTTGGTCATGAAAAAGTAGGTTAATCCAGGAGCCAATAGTTGTTAGTTGCACTGTGAATACAAGCTTCGTCTACTATAGATTTTAGTTCTATAAATTCTGTCATAGCAGATAGTATACTGAATGAAGAAAGCGATGAAACATTGTTTTTAGATCAAAGGACCAATTTGGTTGAGAAAATATCTTTGTTTGTCTTTTGATTTATTTAATTAACAATAGTCCTTTTTACAGATATCTCATGAAATAAGTTTGTTTAAAAAGCAAATTATCATTTAGCAAACCTTTCAGTAATTTTCTCCTTGACAAAGTTCATATTTTTCAGACTGATAATGCCTTTTGAGCCCCCCCCCCTTGCCAAGAATTCTTTCAAAATCATGCAATTTGTACAGTAATTCGTTAAAAATGAGATGTCATGGTTTATCATGATGATATTCTCATGTCATTGTTTGTATTTTTAGCTTGATGACATCACAGTCCAGCCAAACCAGGCAAAGGTTGCCGCAATATTAGCTTTGATTGGTGGGATCGATACGCGAGCCAGGCTCGGGGGCGTTGTCTCTGCTGATGATGACGGCACAATAGGGACCATAGCAAAGATATCTCCAAGGGGAAAGATCACAGTCCAGTGCCATGAGACAAACTCGATGAAGGTGTACAGGCTGCCTGATATAACCCCTGTAAGTATTATTAAACAGTATTTGTATTCCTGGAATATCTTTTTATGCCCAGAGTGTCTGAGTCTGAATATGAGAAATACATACAGTGTACAGTAAAATCTGTCTAATCTGATCATCACAAGGGCCAGCCAAAAGATTTCAAATTTGCAGGTGTTCACATTTCAATATTTTCTTAATATGTGAGTCGGAATTAACTCTGTTTTCTAGGTCCCTGGGGAACAGTTCTGTGTAGAAAAACTTGTATTGAATGACAGAGTTCTAGAACTATGGGCTTCCCTTGTTAGTCTTGCTGGAGCTGGGTTCAAAGTGGAAAAAGACAAAGATCGTAATGCTAAGGGAGCCATAAGCAAAGTAGATAAAAGTGATACAGGTATGAATAACATGTGATATGTCCTGGAAGCATGGTTTATGAATAACCAGAAAATACCTCTTTGTTATAAATTCAATATTCGTACAATATTCAAAAAATGTATATTATGTATCAGTTTATACTAACTAAACCCTTAAAATCACCTTTCTTTTTGTACATGTAGATGTCTGGCCCGTAGCCAGGATTTGCCAAGGGGGGTTCAGTTTTCAAAAAATTCCAGAGGGGCATTCACATTTGACAATTTTGGCCCAAATATGACTAAAATCACTTGAAAAGTGCTCAAATGGTGAAAAACTGCATGATTTTGAAAGAATTTTTGGCCAGGGGGGAGGGGGTTCGCGTGAACCCTGCAACCCCCCCCCTGGCTACGGGCCTGGATGTGGTATTTTTTATTATTTATTGCCATATATTTTGATGAGGTCCATGGTCATGTTTACTTTCAGGTATATTATAATCTATTATATGTAAACATCATATTGTCATTAGACTTCATTCTTCATAATGTATGCATGTATATTGAAAATAGTGATTCCGTCAGCCAAATCTTGATTTCGAATTTTAGATTCTAAAAATATCAATATTGTAGTTCTATGTAAGTTCATCTCTCTGGTTAATATATCAGAAACAAGTCAAATTCTTTACTTCAGAGAATATTTTTAATTTATTGAGACTTTCGACTAATATCCCTTAGTCTTTTTCAAAATATAACAGCATGTATACATTTATGTGACGTCATAAACAGACAATGGAAAATTTAATTATGTAACAAATGGAAAATCAGACTCACTACATAGTGTTATTTTCTAGTCAGTTCAGATAAGCAAATGTGACCTATATCAAGCATACTTACCTTGTATCTATGTTTTTTTGTTGTTGTTATTTTTTAGGTTACTAGGTCATTTGTTACATAATTAAATTTTCCATTGTCTGTTTATGACGTCACATAAATGTATACATGCTGTTATATTTTGAAAAAGACTAAGGGATATTAGTCGAAAGTCTCAATAAATTAAAAATATTCTCTGAAGTAAAGAATTTGACTTGTTTCTGATCAATATTGTATTTAAAGTACACATAAACTTTATAAAGTGTATTTCATCAAATGTTTTCTCATGTTTGTTCGAAATACATAGCATATTGAAATATTTTTTACAGATAATATAGACAACAGTTTGTTGAGACGGCAACAGATCCGACTAGGTCTACTAAAAGCTTCCAGAGTTTTGTTCAGTAACCAAGACAACCTGAGACACATTCTCAAACAATATGTCAACACAGACACTGTGTCAACAGATAGCGTTCCACAAGATCTCTCAAACAAACCAAAAGATTTGCCATTAAATGTGAACGACAGTTGTTCTACATCAACCAGTCCAGATGTTAACAATCAGATAGATGGCGCAGTTGTTGATAAGAACATTCCGGCAGTTGAACCAACTTCCACACCTGTCCAAATCGAAATGGAAGATTTGGTTCTTCAAATACCTGAATCAGATGATGAACCAATTGAGGTCTCTTCAAGCACTGAAAATTCCACCAAAGAAGATGGCGCTCTGCCTGATAAAGAAATTGATGTGCAGAAGGAAAGTGAAACACAGAGTGAAAATGATGCACAGAAAGAAAATGTGAAACATAAAGAAAATGATTCACAAAAAGAAACTGGAGCTCCTCATAAAAGTGTTTCATTTGCCGAACCTGAGACAACGAAAAAAGTATTGAGTGATATACCTGGACAGGAAGTGACATCATCGCAAGAGGAAGAGGGCCAATCAGAGGCAGGGACAATGATGACGCTCTTGCAACAGCTGATGCATGCAGCTACGCAGCCATCTCCTGTTAAAGCCATATTCTCAAGAGAAGAATTAGAGGTAAGGGGCAGATCAGTAAAGGAAGGGGTAGATCAGAAATGCAAGGGGCAGATTAGTAAAGCAAGGGGTAGATCAGTAAAGCAAGGGGCAGATCAGTAAAGCAAGGTCCAGATCAGTAAAGTGAGGGGCAGATCAGTAAAGCAAGGGACAGATCAGTAAAGCAAGGGGCAGATCAGTAAAGCAAGGGCAGATTAGTAGAGCAAGGGGCAGATTAGTAAAGCAAGAGGCAGATCAGTAAAGCAAGGTCCAGATCAGTAAAGCAAGGGGCAAATCAGTAAAGCAAGGGGCAGATTAGTAAAGCAAGGGGCATATCAGTAAAGCAAGGGGCAGATTAGTAAAGCAAGGGGCAGATCAGTAAAGCAAGGGGCAGATCAGTAAAGCAAGGTCCAGATCAGTAAAGCAAGGGACAGATCAGTAAAGCAAGGGGCAGATCAGTAAAGCAAGGGGCAGATCAATAAAACAAGGGACAGATCAGTAAAGCAATGGGCAGATCAGTGAAGCAAGGGGCAGATTAGTAAACCATGGGGCAGATTAGTAAAGCAAGGGGCAGATCAGTAAAGCAAGGGGTAGATAGTAAAGCAAGGGACAGATCAGTAAAGCAAGGGGCAGATCAGTAAAGCAAGGGGCAGATCAGTAAAACAAGTGGTATTCAGTTAGGCAAGGGGGTAGATCTAGGAAGCAAGAAGCAATGGGAAAGATCAATAAAACAAGGGGGCAAATCAATTAAGTAGCACGAGTCATTTAGACGAATATTATTTCAGGGTGATATACTGTATGTCTGTATAATGCTATTGCTTATAGGTAGCTTAGGTATTCTTCATGGACACTGGACCAGTGAAAAATATTCCATTTATGGAAAAATCTAGTAGAAAAGGGGAATAATTTCTTGATGCATTTTCATTTAAAAGAAAAGGAATTCAAGTTTTCAGTTAAAAAGGTGATCACTTGAAATGAAGTATTTGGTGAGTGAAGGTTAGTTTAATTATGTGACTTGAATTGAGATTCAAATTGTTCTACATTTTTGAGTGATTTTATTTTCTAGTCTGCATCGCTTGCCATCTGCCAGTACCTAACTGCCTGTGGTAATAACCCCCACCCTCATCCCCACCCCCCTGTCCAGAGCAGCCACATCATCACGAACACAATAGCGCAAGCTTCAGCCAATGACATCAATGAGCAGATTGCTGCAGCGTTCACAGCTCCACCTGCGGTGCCAGCGAGAGTGAGGCTGACCCAGAAACAGAAAAAAGTGAAGGCGACACCTCTACCACCCGTACCTGTGGTCGCTCAATTGATTGAGATGGGATTCGTAAGGAAGAAGGTTGAGCATGCTGTTGTTGAGCTAGGTGTGTAGTAGACATTAAGTGCCATAGAAATGTGGCATTATTCAGTGGTTCAACTGAAACGTTATATATTTTATTGTAGATGATGAATTACTGATGCGATAGTTGAGCAATTTTGCTGAGAGCTTAACTCCTTTCGTACCATTTACAATCTTCGAGTTTGGATCTTTAAAAGATTTAAAGAGATTTGGCTTCATATCACATTTACATTTCTTTTTATCTCGTAAACCAGTTGTGTCAGGCCCTTGAATAGCACGACTTGTCCGATGAAATTAACTTTTGTTGAAAGAAAGCATTAGTGTTATTCCAATTTGTTACAATGGTAGGGATGTTGCAGTTTGTCAACAATCGGCTTATACTAATCCCATTAATATTAATCCAAACTCTTTAGAATCACATATTGGCTAAACAATTCACACCTCTGAAAAACAATAATATGTTCAATGTAACCAATTTTCTACCCTGCGTTTAGAGTCTAGTTAAACTACATTTTAAGAAGCAAAGTTGAACGAATGCAAAAGGTACCAATTTTCCATGTTAAACTGTTTGTATGCTTATAGGTGGCTCCATTGAACCTGGCAGTGACACACCAAGCATTGAAGCATTGGTAGGTTGGCTCTTAGAACATGCTAACCATGACACTTTAACACCAGAGCTTGTAGACTCAGAGGATAGCCTCAGCAACTCAGAGGATGATAGTAGTGAGGATTTTGATAACAATGAGGATATCTTGGATGATACAAGCACTGACTCCTCTGATGGGAGCGATGATGATGATTTTAACTTTGAGGTATTAATACACTAGATCCTTAGTACCCCGGACAGGTTGTATGATGCAGTCATGTTTTTACCCTATATTTGCAATAGAACAACCATTCTTATTAAAATTTTCATATTATATTCTGGAAACAATTTCCAACATGGTAAGAAAATATCTTAAAGAAATTCCTAATTTTGTGATTTTGATAGGCTTTTTTCAAAAATACCGCACTGTCAATAAAATACAGGTTTTTGTTTGAACAATTGATCTTTTAACGTCATTTCAAAGATTGTCTAGCTTTTGAATTAGTTGACAAGAGGATTGCACTCCTATATCTGGGCAATCTAGGAGACGCTTCTCAAACACGATTTTTATTGGCCTAATGCACTGAAATAATATTGAATATGACTAAAGTGAAAAAAATAATCAGCCATGATTATTAATATTGCAACAAATATATCTGGAAAGACTTTAGGCGGTTGAAAATTCAATTGCCAGTCAATATTAAAATGACGTTTCAAAAGTTCAATTGTTCAAGCAAAACCTGTATTTTATTGACAGTAAAGTGTTTTTTAAAAAAGCCTGTCAAAATCATAAAATTGGAAATTTGATAAGATATTAATTTTCCATGTTGGAAATTGTCTCTAGAATAAATCCTGAAAATTTCAATAAGAATGGTTGTTCTATTGCAAATATGGAATAAAAATGCAACTGCATCATTCAACCTGTCCGGGGTACTATGTTTGAATTTCTGGTAGGAAGGGGTTGGACAGTAAAATTGATATGTGTATTCTTGTAATCTCCCTAGGTAACATATGAGTTTAACTTATCAATATTTGAATACTCCAGTTAAAAAGCAATAATGAAATCCCCTCACATTTTAGTAATGAAATCCTTCACATTTTAATAATGAAATCCTTCACATATTAGTAATGAAATCCTTCACATTTTAATAATGAAATCCTTCACATTTTAATAATGAAATCCTTCACATTTTAATAATGAAATCCTTCACATTTAAGTAATGAAATCCTTCACATTTTAATAATGAAATCCTTCACATTTTAATTATGAAATCCTTCACATTTTAGTAATGAAATCCTTCACATTTTAATAATGAAATTCTTCACATTTTAATAATGAAATCCTTCACATTTTAGTAATGAAATCCTTCACATTTTAATAATGAAATCCTTCACATTTTAATTATGAAATCCTTCACATTTTAGGAATGAAATCCTTCACATTTTAATAATGAAATCCTTCACATTTAATAATAAAATCCTTCACATTTTAATTATGAAATCCTTCACATTTAATAATGAAATCCTTCACATTTCCATCAACTGTCTCTTTTAGCAGCCTTGCAATGCTATCCAATCCTGGGCTGATGTTTTATCGCAACCAGACGCAGGAGGTATGGTGTTTAAGAAACGTGGTGACTTCATGAACAATGACGATTACGCCATCTATGTGAGGGATAAGATCCAGGTTGGAATGACGGTCAGATGTTGTCGATCTTATGAAGAGGTGCATGAAGGGGATATCGGAAAAGTTATTAAGGTAGGACATAGTCATGAAATAAATGTCATTCAGGTCAATAAGGTAGGACATAAATTAAATATCTATTGATTTGTTATGAGGTAGTCCAAAAAAATTGTGAACATTTTTGGGGAAAATTGTATTTGTTTTTGGAGTATACGATTAAAACACAAGAATATGAATTTTCTTTTTTATCACCTAATTTGTAATTTATTTTCAGAAAATAAAAGAATGAAGTAAAACAAAAAAATAAACAAAATTTGAAAAATGAAAAATTTTGTTTTTATTACAGCTTGACAGAGATGGCCTACATGACCTTAACATACAAGCAAGTTGGCAAAGAAAGGGAGGCTCATATTGGGTGAGATACATACATGTAGAGCTACTAGGATTCACATCAGCGACTGCCGGTAAGTTGTTTGTTTATGAAATCACTTGCTTGCCTTGCTTGCAATGTCATTTTCAACTGGAAAAGGGAAGTACCATCACAAGCTCTGCATGGGCCTTGAAGACTGCATGAATTTGTATATGGCTCAGTCTCCGACTCGGACAATAAAATCTTCAAAACTAGAATGCTCAATTTATAAACATTTTGAAGCTATTGAAATGTCGCCTTACTTTGCGCACTAAGTAATCTCTCTGAAATATCAGATTAAAATTATTTGCGAATTTCTTCAAAATATGTAATATTGTCTGCGAGCAATTTTACTTGTCCTCTTAACTCAATTACTCAGTTGCGAGTAGGTAGTTACCAGTTTCGCCACCAGGTGGCTGATTCGGGGGAATTAACATTGCAGGGTATTACAAAATTCCCTTAAACTTGAATATGCATCAGTTTTAGTGGTTCACTTTTCATATTACCCATATGTATCTGATAGTTAATACAATATAAAATATGTCCAGTAAAAGAAAATAGTATCTGCCCAACACAAGAAAAGATATTTCACTTTTTGTGGTTTTACAACATGGGGTCTATGGGGAATCTCCCCGACTTAGAAGTCACATTTTCAAAGAAAATTAATTTTTCATAGTTGATAAACTCTTTTCAAAACCACATTTGTAAATGTAATTTTACATGTAGATTCCAAATATTACATCAGTTTGACTGAATTGTGAGTTTTTAATGACTTAAATCAAGATTATTTCTACTCGCATCTGGGATATTCATTTCATTTTTTTTCTTAATCACAATCCGTTTTTTGAAGAGTGAATTTATTTTAGTCAATGAGGAATAACTTAACCCTGGTGCATAGTTGAATCATCAATTCATGGCCTGCTTTCTCTTTCTAGCCACAACAGGGGGACAACAGATCAAGAATGGAGATAGAGTTAGAGTGAAGCCAAGTGTATGCACGCCTAAGTATATGTGGGGATCCGTGACACATAGGAGCATAGGTACAGTATAACAGTCTTTCTACTATATGTCACCCATTCCCCTCTTCCTATGAATATAGACAGAGTTAGAGTGAAGCACGCCTAAGTATATGTGGGGATCAGTGACACATAGGAGCATAGGTATATAGCATTGTTATATCACCCCTACCTTAATATGTACACCTAAGTATATGTGGGGATCCGTGACACATAGGAGCATAGGTATATAGCATTGTTATATCACCCCTACCTTAATATGTACACCTAAGTATATGTGGGGATCAGTGACACATAGGAGCATAGGTATATAGCATTGTTATATCACCCCTACCTTAAAATGTACACCTAAGTATATGTGGGGATCCGTGACACATAGGAGCATAGGTATATAGCATTGTTATATCACCCCTACCTTAATATGTACACCTAAGTATATGTGGGGATCAGTGACACATAGGAGCATAGGTATATAGCATTGTTATATCACCCCTACCTTAAAATGTACACCTAAGTATATGTGGGGATCAGTGACACATAGGAGCATAGGTATATAGCATTGTTATATCACCCCTACCTTAATATGTACACCTAAGTATATGTGGGGATCAGTGACACATAGGAGCATAGGTATATAGCATTGTTATATCACCCCTACCTTAATATGTATACCTAAGTATATGTGGGGATCAGTGACACATAGGAGCATAGGTATATAGCATTGTTATATCACCCCTACCTTAAAATGTACACCTAAGTATATGTGGGGATCCGTGACACATAGGAGCATAGGTATATAGCATTGTTATATCACCCCTACCTTAATATGTACACCTAAGTATATGTGGGGATCAGTGACACATAGGAGCATAGGTATATAGCATTGTTATATCACCCCTACCTTAATATGTATACCTAAGTATATGTGGGGATCTGTGACACATAGGAGCATAGGTATATAGCATTGTTATATCATCCCTACCTTAGTATGTACACCTAAGTATATGTGGGCATCCATGACACATAGGAGCATAGGTATTTTATAGCACTTTCTGCTTTACTATATCTCATTTTTCCTCCTACCAAGTACCCCTCTCCCCCCTACTCCCTTATCTTATTTACATCTCCCATGGTATGATAACCATAATGTGATAATAAATATCCATGGGTAATTCATGGTTTCCCATGGAAATCCATTAAATCCCATGGATATTTCCATGGAAATCAACAATTTTTGCAGGATTTTATCGAACAAAATCTTCCAAAATGAATTACGAAGCAGACAATAAAAAGCTTCATCCCCGCTATTATTTCACACCTTCCCCTGGCCTTCTAACATCTCCCCACACCTATATATCTCTCCTACTCTCGCCCTACCCCAAGAAAGGAGACAGAGAGTCAGACCATGAAGCCAAGTGTTTCTAAACACAGCGAAGTCAATATAAGACCATGGTATTGAGGCCCTACAGTATTCACAACGTGATGAACCGTGGGCCAACATGGTCTAATGTGACAGCTCCATGAATTCTGAAGATGATGGGTTCAAAGAGGGAGACATAAAAATGGTAACAGTGAGCATTAAACCAATGATGTATTAGTTAGTATCCTCTTTACTAGTACCCCCTCCTCACATTTGGTACACATATTTTAACCTGGAAATTTTTAAAGAATTGACAGTTTCAAATGATATACTGCATGAGCTTTTTTTGCATGTTGCACCCATTAGTTTGTTCATTGCATATGAATCTTATACATGTAATATTACAAGTTTTGTATACCATTATATGGTTGCCATGTGCATTAGAAGCAGATATCTTTGTTTTTGCCCCACTGAAAACTCATTTTTAATTTGGATCACATCTCTGCAGTAAGTGTCATTTATATTCTAAGTTACAAACTAAAATTATAATTTACAGGGTGGTCCAAAAAAGTGAACTCAAAAAGTGAAACAAGCTATATCTCAGTTATTACCTGCACAGTTCACCTTTTTGGATCACCCTGTACATTGAAGTATAATTTCAGGTACTGTTACAGCCATTTCCCCCAATGGTAAAGACGTCACTGTAGACTTCCCCCAACAGACACACTGGACGGGACTGCTCTGTGAGATGGAACTAGTCCCGAGTACACATACTAAAATAACGTGAGTGAAGTACAGTAAAAACGAAAAACTGGAAAATAAACTTGGAACTGAACCTTGAATGTCTGAAAAAGCATTAAAAAGAAAATTTCTGAAATATACTTAGTGTTTTTTTAATGTCTGTCTATATTTTAAAAGACCTGAGTTATGCTGTTCATTGTGTATTTTGTATTTGTATTTTTTGTATTTGTATTTTGTATGTTGCAGATGTGATGGTTGTCAGGCCTACCCAATCATAGGCCCTCGTTATAAATGTAGAACATGTGCAGACTTTGTATTTGTATTTTGTATGTTGCAGATGTGATGGTTGTCAGGCCTACCCAATCATAGGCCCTCGCTATAAATGTAGAACATGTGCAGACTTTGTATTTGTATTTTGTATGTTGCAGATGTGATGGTTGTCAGGCCTACCCAATCATAGGCCCTCGCTATAAATGTAGAACATGTGCAGACTTTGACTACTGTGAAAGTTGCTTTAAGAATGAAAGAACTCACAAACACCCTTTTGTAAGATACACTGATCCAAGTAAGTCTTATATCATAATGGGCCTTACCTTTGTCATATTAGGAAATGTTCTATGTTTCATCAACAACCCTAGATTAATTTCATATATAGATTTTTCAAATCTAACAAAGCCCTGAAAGTAAATGATAATTATACACTAAACATCACATATGTTACATGCACGCATACATTTCTATAGTGAGTCTACCTGTATCTGTGGGTCGCGCTGGACATGGTAAAAAGCCCAAGGCAGTACATATTGCTAATGCAGCAATCATAGAAGACTACACTCAATTAATACATGTACCCATATAATTTCAGTGAGTCTACCTGTTTCTGTGGGTCGCCCTGGACGTAGTAAGAAGCCCAAGGCAGTACACATTGCTAATGCAGCCATCATAGAAGACTACACTCAATTAATACATGTACCCATATAATTTCAGTGAGTCTACCTGTATCTGTGGGTCGCGCTGGACATGGTAAAAAGCCCAAGGCAGTACATATTGCTAATGCAGCAATCATAGAAGACTACACTCAATTAATACATGTACCCATATAATTTCAGTGAGTCTACCTGTATCTGTGGGTCACGCTGGACATGGTAAAAAGCCCAAGGCAGTACATATTGCTAATGCAGCAATCATAGAAGACTACACTCAATTAATACATGTACCCATATAATTTCAGTGAGTCTACCTGTTTCTGTGGGTCGCCCTGGACGTAGTAAGAAGCCCAAGGTAGTACACATTGCTAATGCAGCCATCATAGAAGACTACACTCAATTAATACATGTACCCATATAATTTCAGTGAGTCTACCTGTTTCTGTGGGTCGCCCTGGACGTAGTAAGAAGCCCAAGGTAGTACACATTGCTAATGCAGCCATCATAGAAGACTACACTCAATTAATACATGTACCCATATAATTTCAGTGAGTCTACCTGTTTCTGTGGGTCGCCCTGGACGTAGTAAGAAGCCCAAGGTAGTACACATTGCTAATGCAGCCATCATAGAAGACTACACTCAATTAATACATGTACCCATATAATTTCAGTGAGTCTACCTGTATCTGTGGGTCGCGCTGGACATGGTAAAAAGCCCAAGGCAGTACATATTGCTAATGCAGCCATCATAGAAGACTACACTCAATTAATACATGTACCCATATAATTTCAGTGAGTCTACCTGTTTCTGTGGGTCGCCCTGGACGTAGTAAGAAGCCCAAGGCAGTACACATTGCTAATGCAGCCATCATAGAAGACTACACTCAATTAATACATGTACCCATATAATTTCAGTGAGTCTACCTGTTTCTGTGGGTCGCCCTGGACGTAGTAAGAAGCCCAAGGTAGTACACATTGCTAATGCAGCCATCATAGAAGACTACACTCAATTAATACATGTACCCATATAATTTCAGTGAGTCTACCTGTTTCTGTGGGTCGCCCTGGACGTAGTAAGAAGCCCAAGGTAGTACACATTGCTAATGCAGCCATCATAGAAGACTACACTCAATTAATACATGTACCCATATAATTTCAGTGAGTCTACCTGTTTCTGTGGGTCGCCCTGGACGTAGTAAGAAGCCCAAGGTAGTACACATTGCTAATGCAGCCATCATAGAAGACTACACTCAATTAATACATGTACCCATATAATTTCAGTGAGTCTACCTGTTTCTGTGGGTCGCCCTGGACGTAGTAAGAAGCCCAAGGTAGTACACATTGCTAATGCAGCCATCATAGAAGACTACACTCAATTAATACATGTACCCATATAATTTCAGTGAGTCTACCTGTTTCTGTGGGTCGCCCTGGACGTAGTAAGAAGCCCAAGGCAGTACACATTGCTAATGCAGCCATCATAGAAGACTACACTCAATTAATACATGTACCCATATAATTTCAGTGAGTCTACCTGTATCTGTGGGTCGCGCTGGACATGGTAAAAAGCCCAAGGCAGTACATATTGCTAATGCAGCCATCATAGAAGACTACACTCAATTAATACATGTACCCATATAATTTCAGTGAGTCTACCTGTTTCTGTGGGTCGCCCTGGACGTAGTAAGAAGCCCAAGGCAGTACACATTGCTAATGCAGCCATCATAGAAGACTACACTCAATTAATACATGTACCCATATAATTTCAGTGAGTCTACCTGTATCTGTGGGTCGCCCTGGACGTAGTAAGAAACCCAAGGCAGTACACATTGCTAATGCTGCCCTCATAGAAGACTACACTCAATTAATACATGTACCAATATATTTCCAGTGAGTCTACCTGTATCTGTGGGTCGCCCTGGACGTAGTAAGAAGCCTAAGGCAGTACATATTGCTAATGCTGCTCTCATAGAAGACTGGCACAGATGTGTGAAGCAGTTGACAGTGTCATCTAGAGAGAGTCAGGCTCATAGGCTAATAGATGGCACTGGTGGATTCTGGCAGAGTTCTGGGTCGCAGGGCAAGGTATGGGTTTTTGTTGTGGTGTGGAATTTTCTTGTAAGGTTGATGTTTTTTTTATTTGCATAATAATCAACACAATTATTTACACTTGTAGAGTGTCGAAGCTGTGTAGCATTATTGCCCCCTCCCCTCTGGTGTGGATTGTGGTTGTCAGTCTTTTCAAAATAAAAGCAGAGATGGATAAGGGGCGAGGGAACACATTCTTTTGCACATTCCTAGAAAAATGTTTATTTTATGTATAATGTTTTTGAGACTGTTAAAAACAAAATATTACAGACAATGTTATAATCATAGATACATACAGTATGACTGACATGTATTTAACCTGTAAAATATGTTTTGATATTTTTGCATATCTTTCAATTTCCATTGGATCAGTAGAAATGGTGCTAGGCATGATAATAGAACTAATTGTTCATACAGTTACCAGACTCCAGATACATATATGCTCTCTCTGGTGATCCAGTCACCTTTATTCATTTGTCTCTGAATAAGTTTTTTTCAAAATCTTGTTTCAGCATTGGATCCGTCTTGAAATGCAGCCAGATGTGATAATACAACAACTATTCATGCGTATTGAGCCATCTGACTCCAGCTATATGCCATCTCTAGTCATAGTCAGTGGAGGAGATAGTGAAAAACACCTAAAGGAACTGAAATGTGTGAACATTGAAAATACAGAAACTTTGGTAACTCTACTGGGTGATATGTCTGAGGTAAGAATCACATGAGGCTAAAACTCAATACACATACACATACAGGGTGTTCAATAAGTATTGCTAATTTTTGTTCTTTCGCTAAACTTTTGTTCTCTTACTTTTTTCTTCATGAAATTTTCACAACATAAGGAACTTTCCTATTCAGATTTCCTGACAAATAACTTAGTTTTGTATTTGTTTTATTTTCTGCTTTAAAGATGTAAAAAGCCATTTTAGAGAAGGCTCGGTTTAAAGATTCAGCAGTTTAGCACCTGTCAGCATTGTGCTGAGAATTTAAAGTTAAATATTTGAGACAACCTTTTATATGCATTAGTCCAGATATTATAACGGACTCGTGGATGAAATAGATATCACTCAAAAGCATAGGATATCCTATACTTATCCTAAAGTTATTCTTAGTGATCTTTCATCTTAACAATGATCCATTGAAAATTCTTTCCAGTATTTCCGGTACATAGACATCTCCATACGCCAGTGCAAGAGCAGTGGAATTGATTGCAAAGTTCACGGGTTGTCTGTGATTGGTCGAGTAAAGGCGGAAGATGACGACACGGCGTCTGCTTTCTCTTTCCTCGCATCAGATAACGAAGAGGAAGAAGAGAAGACAGTTACGTCAAATGTTCAGAAAAAATCAGGGAAAGTTGCAGGATCAAAGGAGATCCAGACGCATGTGTTTGTATGGGGTCTTAATGATAAAGATCAGCTAGGAGGCCCTAAAGGATCAAAGGTACAGTGTACTAGGTTTATTAAGAATCTAAATAACAATTTGTCATCTCAAAATTAATATGTTCTTACGAAAAACATCAATACTGAACCAAACAGCTTAAGAACAGCCTGAAGTAAGAGGGGTTAAACTTAAAATGGATGAACCACATTTTTTCCACATTTCATCAATTTACATTAATTTGGCTTGTATTTATGCAACTTGTCTATTTTTGTGTGTTTTAGATTAAGGTTCCAGTTTTAAATGACACACTATCTTCACTGAAATGTGTACAGATTGCTGGTGGATCAAAGAGTCTTTTTTGTGGTAAGTTAACATTGTATTGCAGCAAGTATTAGGAAATTGAACTCCTAAAAATAAATAGAACAGATGGGAAAACATTACACACTAGAGATAAAGCCTCCAGCTCTCCAAAACTTGATGATGGTGATGAAATTTTGTTACCCCTTACCCATTTATAAAGTACCCTTGATTAGGTGTGTTTGTTGGTGGGGAGGGGTACACAAGACTGCATTCAGTTAAGGCACTGAGAGGTTAATATTTGATTTTGAAATATATTTTATCCTTGTATTCCCTAATGAATTTCCAATTTGAATTCACCTTTGGTCAGTAAATGAAATGAACCATTAAAACACATGTTTTTGAAAAATTATAAACCTTGTTTGCAAATCATTACATCCAAAGTGTCAAGACTTTAGTTTGCACCTTTAACATGTTTTTATATATTTATTTACAGTGACCCAAGATGGGAAGCTATATGCCTGCGGGGAAGCAACCAATGGTCGTTTAGGACTTGGGATCAGTACTGGCAACATCTCCGTGCCTCGGCAAATCACGTCACTCAGTCAGTATGTGGTGAAAAAAGTCGCAGTCCACTCAGGTAAGGACATGAATTGTTCAGTATAAGAGGCTTGAAGAAATATAATTGTCCTATTTTTTTCTGAAAGTAATTTGTTTCGGGGATACAGTGGAGAGGAGAATCTCCTGACATATACCAAAAAAAGGTTTGTTAATTCTGAATTATCATTCATAAAGTATTACTGAATATGAGCTACAGTGAAACATGTATATCCAAACCTCTCTAATCTGAACACCTCTCAATATGAACACCTCTCAATATGAACACCTCTCAATATGAACACCTCTCAAAATGAACACCTCTCAATATGAACACCTCTCAATATGAACACCTCTCAATATGAACACCTCTCAATATGAACACCTCTCAATATGAACACCTCTCAATATGAACACCTCTCAATATGAACACCCTTTCTATCTGCAATAGACTCCCAAGTTAAAACCCTCAGAATGTGAACACCTGCCTATGTGAACACTTTTGACCAATTCCATTGGTGTTTGTATCAGACAGGTTTTACTGTATTAGGTAACACTACAGTAGTATTGTCTGAGAAGGGTATCAAATTATAAATTAATAATGAATTTAGTTTGTGGTTAAATTAGACAAGAATTAATCATCTTACATTTTTATTACATCTTCTCAAATGGAAAGACTTGTGCACTTTTTATTAAAATACTCATTCTATAAATGATAATTAAGTTTTCTGAAGTTATTCAGATTCCTATTTATTGAGATTTGTTTTCTTAAGAATTATTAAAATGATGCCTTTATGTGATATTTCCAGATTTTTCAGGTCTGTAAATTAATTAAAAGTAAATAATAATTTTGAAAATAACATCTAATTTTCAAGGTTAGAGTGTTTTTTAATAACCTCGTATTGACTGTTCAATTATTGTTCTGTGAAAATTCTGTTTACTTTGATGATATTAAATTAACTTGGATGCTCTATTGGAGGGGATCTGGTATTGATTGGCAATAGACCAATATGAAAGAATGCTGATAAAAAGATTGACATTCTGTAGCTTTAGCAGTAAAATTACTCAGTTTTGCGTTAAACCTTTCTTTCTCACAATTCTTTTGGAAATAGGTGGGGTTGGTTACCTTTTAGGTACATACTCTTTATATGGTCACACATAAATGTTAACAAAATTGATTGGTAGCCACACTTTTTCAACTTGGTGCAAAGAAAATTTTAACTGGGTGCATGGCTATTCTCATAAACCCAACTGGTGCAAATACAATGTATTCTTATTTGGGTGCAAAAAGAGTTTTAACTGGGTGCAAATAGAATCTCAAATGGTTGCAACTTGAATCTCAAATGGGTACAAATAGAATGTCAAGTGGGTGCAAATGGAATCTCAAATGGGTGCAAATAGTGTCATTTGAGTTCAAGTAGAGTCTCATTTCACTGTCATGTTCCTCTCATAATTATGTGATAAATGTATATGTATTCTAGGTGGTCGACATGCAATGGTTCTCACAGTGGATGGTAAAGTTTTCTCTTGGGGCGAGGGGGATGACGGCAAACTTGGACACTTCAGCAGAATGTAAGTTTTTGCTCAAACTCACTTGAAGCCATTTCAAAAAAAATTTAGCAGATTACCCTTGCTTACTTTCTTTCATGGCTTTATTGTTAGTCTGTTCAATATCATATCTGTTCAATATTTATATATAAAATACAAAAGCTCATAGCTCAATGTTACAACATACTGCCAATACTTAAGTTTAACCATGTTTTGTGTCAACATGTACCCAATATCACCGGTAATATTTTTCTATAAATTTCAGGAACTGTGACAAACCTCGGCTGATTGAGGCATTACGCTCCAAGCGTGTTCGTGATATTTCATGTGGGAGTTCACACAGTGCCGCCATCATATCTAATGGAGAATTATACACATGGGGACTGGGAGAATATGGGAGATTGGGCCATGGAGATAATACAACCCAGTTAAGACCAAAACTTGTAAGTTATCGTTTGAAACAAAAATAGTTACGAAATGATATACTTGACTTTATGCTCGTGGGCTCAATCCCCATTAGTATTGAATGACTATTTCAATCCCCATTAGTATTGAATGACTATTTCAATCCCCATTAGTATTGAATGACTATTTCATGTAGTATTGGATTTCATTCTGTATTTCTTGTAATAGAGAAAAATATTTGTTGTGAAGACTGGTATATTATTAGGCTGGCATATTTTAATTTTATTATCCAGGATTTCGAAATATTCCAGCTAAAATGTTACTTTTACAAGTTACAATAAATGTAAATCCTCTAAAAATTAATGTTTGCTGGTTCGTTCCTGTACACTCACATTTGCCAAATTATTTATCTACGACAGTACCGAAAATGTAAAAATATGAAAGTAAGTAACACATATAAAAATGTTGCAGGTCAAAGATCTTGTTGGAAAACGAGTGATCCAGGTAGCTTGTGGGAGTAGAGACGCACAGACAATTGCTCTCGTTGACGATGGTACACTCTATTCATGGGGTGACGGAGATTTTGGAAAGCTTGGTCGGGGTGGGAGTGAAGGGTGTAACAGACCCCACCCTGTTGAGCGACTCCAGGGCCTGGGGGTGATACAGATAGAATGTGGGGCACAATTCACACTGGCACTTACCAAATCTGGACATGTGTGGACATGGTATGTTTTTACTCAATATCTAATCTGCAAAAGGGAAACGAAAAATGTGTCTCAAGAGATTTTTCACCCTTATTTTGCATTTTTAAAATTTCCAATGTTGAACAGTTAGAGAATCTAAGCCAAAATCAGTGTATGAAAGGTTGACTTTTGCTTTAGTATATCATAGTATTTATTTGTACTCAGATGTTAGTGAAAACTGATTTCATATTACAGGGGAAAAGGCGACTATTTCAGACTGGGGCATGGTACAGATGCACATGTTAGAAAGCCCCAACTTGTTGAAAGTCTAAAGGGAAAGAAGATCATACATGTTGCTGTTGGGGCTCTTCATTGCTTGGCAGTTTCAGACACTGGACAGGTAAGACAAATGTTTGAATGTGATCACAATAAAGCCAGGCCCATAGCAAGGGGAGTGGTTTCGAGGGGGGCTCAGCAGTTTTCACCATTCTGAGCAAAAGTGATTTTGGCCATTTCTGGGCCAGAGATGTGAAGAGTGAACCCCCCTGGAATTTTTTTAAAGTGAACCCCCTCGGAAAATCCTGGCTATGGGCCTGAAAGCATTGACATTTTGTTGTACGCCAACGTTGTGACTGGCATTTAGCATTCTGTGTTCATGTCAGTATTCAGGTCTGTAAAACTGTAACAACTGTTACACTTGTGACATGTTTACATTTTTTATTAACTTCTTCCTCACCACATAACAATAATTGGACAAATATCTCACTCCTCTGGGCAATATTAATGGTTTATATAAAAGACATTGTATATACATCAGGTGCATGATAGGCAAGTATTTTTTGTCCAAAATCTGGCTAGACTTCTTTGTAACCTAAAAATGTCACATTGACATTTACCAGGTCCTCCAAATGATCGCTTGTGTAAGTTTAACTAGGGCCTTTAAATGGTATTTTATATCTTAAATGGTCTTATATTTTACAGGTGTATGCATGGGGTGACAATGACCACGGTCAACAAGGTAATGGAAGTACAACTGTTAACCGTAAACCTGCGCTAGTACAGAACTTAGAGGGCTATAAGATCACCAGAGTTGCATGTGGGTCTTCTCATAGTGTCTGCTGGTCCACAACTAATCTCTCATCACCCAAGAGTCATGAACCAGTACTGTTCAGTACATCAAGGGACCCACTAGGGGGCTCAATTCTAGGTAAGTCCTTAACACTTATACATGTCAAGCTTTATCTAATAAAGTCTTCAATTGTCCCATTCTCTATCTAATAAAGTCTTCAATTGTCCCATTCTCTATCTAATAAGGTCTTCAGTTGTCCCATTCTCTATCTAATAAAGTCTTCAGTTGTCCCATTCTCTATCTAATAAAGTCTTCAATTGTCCCATTCTCTATCTAATAAAGTCTTCAATTGTCCCATTCTCTATCTAATAAAGTCTTCAGTTGTCCCATTCTCTATCTAATAAAGTCTTCAGTTGTCCCATTCTCTATCTAATAAAGTCTTCAATTGTCCCATTCTCTATCTGATAAAGTCTTCAGTTGTCCCATTCTCTATCTAATAAAGTCTTCAATTGTCCCATTCTCTATCTAATAAAGTCTTCAATTGTCCCATTCTCCATCTAATAAAGTCTTCAGTTGTCCCATTCTCTATCTAATAAAGTCTTCAGTTGTCCCATTCTCTATCTAATAAAGTCTTCAATTGTCCCATTCTCTATCTAATAAAGTCTTCAATTGTCCCATTCTCTATCTAATAAAGTCTTCAATTGTCCCATTCTCTATCTAATAAAGTCTTCAGTTGTCCCATTCTCTATCTAATAAAGTCTCAATTGTCCCATTCTCTATCTAATAAAGTCTTCAATTGTCCCATTCTCTATCTAATAAAGTCTTCAATTGTCCCATTCTCTATCTAATAAAGTCTTCAGTTGTCCCATTCTCTATCTAATAAAGTCTTCAGTTGTCCCATTCTCTATCTAATAAAGTCTTCAATTGTCCCATTCTCTATCTAATAAAGTCTTCAATTGTCCCATTCTCTATCTAATAAAGTCTTCAGTTGTCCCATTCTCTATCTAATAAAGTCTTCAGTTGTCCCATTCTCTATCTAATAAAGTGTTCAATTGTCCCATTAGTGGTGTCTCAAAGACTTTCAAGAGTCAAGTATCCATGGTCAGGCTTGTAGCCAGCATTACTTTTAAAAAAAAAACCACTTGAAAAGTGGGCAAAACCACTTGAAAAGTGGGCAAAACCACTTGAAAAGTGCTTAGAATGGTAGAAAAACTGCATGATTTTGAAAGAGCTTTTGGCCAGGGGGCTAGTCGGGCCTGATGGTACTATTTATTTATGTATATTTATTTATGTATTTTTAGGTTTACATGAGACTGGAGTTGAGGATACGATCGTGACACCAGCAGGCCAGACTACTTCAACAATAAAGACACCACGCCCCTCTCTAGCCAAGATCGTCCTTTCCTTAGATAGCAATGCCTCAAAACAGCAGGCTTTGGTGCATATACTTACTGCGCTTCAGATCATCTATGCCAGGTGAGAACCTTTGAATACAATTCATGTTATTTGAGCATTTATGGTAGGTTAGACCCTTTAAATAGCCCATTCAAGTTATAAAGCATTTATGCTAAGTGAGACTCTTTAAATAGTCCATTCCTGTTATAAAGCATTTATGCTAAGTGAGACCCTTTAAATAGTCCATTCCTGTTATAAAGCATTTATGCTAAAGGAGACCCTTTCAATAGTCCATTCCTGTTATAAAGCATTTATGCTAAGTGAGACCCTTTAAATAGTCCATTCGTGTTATAAAGCATTTATGCTAGGTGAGATCCTTTAAATAGCCCATTCATGTTATAAAGCATCTATACTAGGTGAGACCCTTTAAATAGCCCATTCATGTTATAAAGCATTTATGCTAGGTGAGACCCTTTAAATAGCCCATTCGTGTTTTAAAGCATTTATGCTAGGTGAGACCCTTTAAAAAGCCCATTCGTGTTTTAAAGCATTTATGCTAGGTGAGACCCTTTAAATAGCCCATTCGTGTTTTAAAGCATTTATGCTTGGTGAGACCCTTTAAATAGTCCATTCGTGTTATAAAGCATTTAAACACCTTTTAAATACCACTCGTGTTATTGATCATTTATGCTAGGTGAGACCTTTTAAATACCACTCGTGTTATTGGGCATTTATGCTAGGTGAGATCTTTTAAATACCACTCATGTTATTGATCATTTATGCTAGGTGAGACCTTTTAAATACCATTCGTGTTATTGGTCATTTATGCTAGGTGAGACCTTTTAAATACCACTCATGTTATTGGTCATTTATGCTAGGTGAGACCATTTAAATAGCCCATTCGTGTTTTAAAGCATTTATGCTAGGTGAGACCCTTTAAATAGTCCATTCGTGTTATAAAGCATTTAAACACCTTTTAAATACCACTCGTGTCATTGATCATTTATGCTAGGTGAGACCTTTTAAATACCACTCGTGTTATTGATTATTTATGCTAGGTGAGACCTTTTAAATACCACTCATGTTATTTGTCATTTATGCTAGGTGAGACCTTTTAAATACCACTCGTGTTATTGGTCATTAATGCTAGGTGAGACCTTTTAAATACCACTCGTGTTATTGGTCATTTATGCTAGGTGAGACCTTTTAAATACCACTCATGTTATTGGTCATTTATGCTAGGTGAGACCTTTTTAATAGCCCATTCGTGTTTTAAAGCATTTATGCTAGGTGAGACCCTTTAAATAGTCCATTCGTGTAATAAAGCATTTAAACACCTTTTAAATACCACTCGTGTCATTGATCATTTATGCTAGGTGAGACCTTTTAAATACCACTCGTGTTATTGATTATTTATGCTAGGTGAGACCTTTTAAATACCACTCATGTTATTGGTCATTTATGCTAGGTGAGACCTTTTAAATACCACTCGTGTTATTGGTCATTAATGCTAAGTGACACCCTTTAGATACCACTTGTGTTTTTGATCATTTTAGTGGTGATAGAGATTTTATGCTAGGTGGGACACTTTAAATAACATTTGTCTTTTGGATCATTAATGCTAAGTGAGAATCTTTAAATACCATTTGTGTTCTAGATCATTGAAGTGGTTATAGAGAATTTATACTAGGTGAGACGCTTTTAATACCATTTGAGTTATATCAGAAGAAACCCCTTATATGACCTGGACTATCTAATCTATGCAAGAGAACAATTAAAGGATTTTATGTCATACATCATTTATTTATGCTAGTACCAAAGATCAAAGACAAATACATATACCATAGATTATAGTTTGTATTACCACCAGCTCATTTTGGTAATAATTTATGGAGAAACAATAAGAGATGAATTCAAGTAATTAGTACTAAATGGATGCATTATCATGTATAAATTAACAGAATAGAAAACAAATAGAAGATCACAATGTCTCATCAAAAACCTTTTAGATGTTTAGTAATGTTAATGGTGTATTGTTAACTTAAGCAGTATTAATGAATGGAAACATATGTCTTCGTGGAAAAGGCATGACAAAAGAGAGATATAAATCTCTGAAAATTTACTGTACATTTTATGAAAATCACTGCTTGTGTAGCTCATTTGTTCCAGCACATTCTGTGTCATAATAATTATTACATAATGCACTATAACAATCAAGTCAATACCAGTTGTCTGTTACATAATGCACTATAACAATCAAGTCAATGTCAGTTGTCTATTACATAATGTACTATAACAATCAAGTCAAGGCCAGTTGTCTATTACATAATGCACTATAACAATCAAGTCAAGGCCAGTTGTCTATTTCAAACTGCACTATAACAATCAAGTCAATGCCAGTTGTCTGTTACATAATGCACTATAAGAATCAAGTCAAGGCCAATTGTCTATTTCAAACTATAACAATCAAGTCAAGGCCAATTGTTTATTTCAAACTGCACTATAACAATCAAGTCAAGGCCAGTTGTCTGTTACATAATGCACTATAACAATCAAGTCCAGGCCAATTGTCTATTTCAAACTATAACAATCAAGTCAAGGCCAATTGTCTATTTCAAACTGCTCTGTAACAATCAAGTCAAGGCCAGTTGTCTGTTACATAATGCACTATAACAATCAAGTCAAGGCCAATTGTCTATTTCAAACTGCTCTGTAACAATCAAGTCAAGGCCAGTTGTCTATTTCAAACTGCACTGTAACAATCAAGTCAAGGCCAGTTGTCTGTTACATAATGCACTATAAGAATCAAGTCAAGGCCACTTGTCTATTACATTGTGCACTACAACCAGCAAGATTTGCAATTGCCCCAGATGTGGTTGCCTCAATTGTTTTAATTGCCTCAGTTGTTTGAATTGCCTCAGATGTTGTAATTTAGTTAGTTGTTATGATTGCCTCTGTTGTAGTTGGCTCTTTTGTTATTATCTTACTAAATGCACTATTTTGATCAAGCAAGGCCCAGATATTTATCATCTAATGCACCATACTAATCAAGCCAAGGCTAATTATCTTTTACATAATGCACTATAACAATCAGCAAGATTCGCAACCATCATCTTTGAATGTTCCACAAGGATTGCTCTGTCCATAATAAGTACCACCATTAACATAGTGACCAGAATGAACACTGCAGATGAGCCTATCGTTATTGCACTCAGACGTTTATCAGACTCTGTGAATGAAATATCATCCTTGTACTTATTTTTGACACTCTCTCGGCTTTCATGCTGGAATGTCCCAAGTAGGACTCCTGTTCCATGAGCCTCAGTTGTTTGTGGTTGAGCAGTGGTTGAGTTTACAGTTGTAGCATTTGAGAATTGGTTTGTGTCCTCTGTGCTTTGAAGTATTTCCTTTGTGCTTGGGGTGATATCTGAAGGCAAGCTTGATATTTCTGAAGCTTGGGTAGAATTTGTTGTCATTACTCCAGGTGTTGTGATTTCCATGTGTGTTGTCATTGCCTCAGTTGTTGTAATTTCCCCAGATGTGATTGTGTCAGTTGTTGTAATTGCCTCAGTTGTTGTAATTGCCTCAGATGTTGTAATTGAGTCAGTTGTTATGATTGCCTCTGTTGTAGTTGGCGCTGTTGTTATTTCCTCTGTTGTTGTAATTGCCTCAGTGGTGGTAATTGTCTCTGTTGTTGTAATTGCCTCAGTGGTTGTAATTGCCTCAGTGGTTGTAATTGTGTCAGTTGTTGTAATTGCCTCTGTAGTAACTTCCACTGTTGTAGGTATAGGATCACATATGACGCCAACGTCATCAGTGTGTTCACAGCTGACCTGAAGCCCATCACACCTTGGTCCCCAAACAGCACATTGTAAAAGGTTCATTTCTGCTCCCTCACATGTTAGCTTATCATACCAGATCTTACTAGGGTCAGTTGACTGCACCCCTATGATGTAGCCTACAAGGATAAATTGAGCATTTTAAAACATGGCTTTCCCGACCTTATGTATCAAAATCATTGCTCTAACCCATGCATATTCAATTAACTGTAACTCTAAAGTATAAATAATGGAACCATAATGTTTATTCAATATATACAGATACGTATTCCCTCCAATTTTTAATAATCTTACTTTGATTCTTCAGAAAAACATGTAAGTTAGGTGCAGTGTGTCGGTGTTTATTGCACAGTGCTTATATATCACTGTTTGTATAGATTTTAGTGAAAATATGAAACACTTGTATACCAGCCTTGGAATAATCTCAACCTCATATAGGGTACCTCCTATTTACTCACATTCCACAGAGACTGTCATGATCATGAAATACAATACAAAGAATATGTGTATACCAGCCTTGGAATAATCTCAACCTCATACAGGGTACCTCCTATTTACTCACATTCCACAGAGACTGTCATGATCATGAAATACAATACAAAGAAACGATTATGCATTCTTTAGTAGGAATCAATTTTGCTTTAAGTTCAGAAATGATAAAAGATTTTTATTACCTATAGCATCAGTGAAGCCAAGACCAAGCTGTCTGCACACAACTGTAGCTTCGGTACTTGTCCAAGGCGTGTTCTTGCTACAAACAGTCCCCCATTCATCATTTATGAGCACTTCCACTTTGCCTGACCAAGCATTGTCACCCCCAACCAACCTTATGGTAGTAGAGTCTGTTTCTGAAATGTAAAGAAGAGAGTTGACTTCTAATTGCTTGTTTCTGAGAGAAGACAATAGATTTAAATTCTCAAAACAGTAAAACCTGTCTTAGTGAACACCTCTCTCTAGTGAATGCCTGTCTCTAATGGACACCCTACTTCGCACATACTCTACTGACTTCTATATGAATTATCCTCTCTGTAGTGATCATCTACCAACTCTTTACGTTTTTCTTGGCAAATAATGTTCAATAGACACAGGTTTTATTATACATATATATCAGTGGCTAATTGCAATTGTGGCATCCTCAGACTCCTATGCTTTCGCTTTAAAAGGGTCTGTTAGATCTAATGCAGTAAATCTGTCTTAGTGAACACCTCTCTAGTGAACACCTGTGTCTTGTGAACACCCCTTCTCTCCACATACTTGTCTGACTTCAGTGTAAAATCACCTCTCTGTAGTGAACATATTTTTATGGCTCCTTAGGTGTTCACAGGTTTTACTGTAGTTAGCTTTCATCTATTTGGTTACTTTGAATTGGTTACTTACAAAACAAATGCATATCTTCAACTAAGCTTACATAGTTCATATCATTATCCCCCCCCTTAAAAAATCATTATTTCATGTATTTTCAATAGTAGAGATTATTCAGTGTTTCTTGGCAAAATCATGGAATAACATGATGTAAAGTGACAATAATACCTTAGGCTGATTGACATCCTTTTTGTTATGTATAAATAAATAATTATTTTACTGAGATAAATACTGAATAATTTATTTAGAAATGTTTGATAAGTGGAAACAAATAATGTTATCATACAAGTGTCCAGTTTTCATATCTAATGCTTATGCTATGTCACAAAATGTTTGATAAAAAAAACAAAAGACAAGTCTCGGTTTTGAAATCAGTCTTCTGGGCTAATATTTTTATGAAAAATACAGAAATATCACTCAAATTAAATTATGAGTAATTCAAAAGAGGACATTTAAATCTACAAGTTATAAAAATATCAAAATTGTTCGAAGCCAGAATAACCTGCAGAAGACTGATTCAATAAAAGACAAGTCTCGATTTTGAGAATGAAGTTCATTAGTGAACTGCGCTAATAATTTTTATTGATAAACAATATAGAAATATCACCAAAATTAAATTATGGATATACAAAAGAGGACATTTAAATCTACAATATGTAAAAATATCAAAATTGTCCAAAGTAGGCGTAACGTGCAGTAGACTGATGAACTTCGTTCTCCAAACTGAGACTAGTCTTATTGATAATAAACTTACTTTTGAGCTTAATGTAACAGGGTTATTTTCTAAATCTTCATTGTTTCTCGTTGTACCTTTCACAAGACTTTCACGAGAAAATTTGAAAATTAAAATCAGATCCATTTCTTTGAATTTATTGAATGACCTTGTATATGTACAATTTCTGTAGTTCACTTATCTCCACTCCTTAGATTGTTACTTTGAAGCAATTGCAATTTCTACAAAAAATATCTCCATCAAAAATACACACCAGGGACAGAGCCAGTCCATTGTATCAGCATATAAATAATTTATGTGTAAAAATGTTTCATTTGAATATATCACAAATGGCCGTAATTGCAAGAAATACACTTTATTTTCTGGACTAGCTTTGTATAAGTATTCTAAAGAACACATTAATTGACTTGTTTACTACAAAAGAATTGCTTTTTTGTGATGTTAAAACTGATATTCTTCAACAATGAAAACAGGCAGCAACTCACTTTACACTACATTAATTACTCGTGCAGTTTTGCATGGGTACAGTAAAAGCAATGCATTTCTTACTAGGGTGTGTACCATGAAAATACCGAGTGGTTGATTATCTGATCTAAAAGTTGACACTTCCAAATGCATTGCCAAGATGCAATAACTGACTTTTTCAAATCTTAATGTTGAAATAGCTCCATTATTTCAAGCTTTAACATTGCTTGGATCATTTTGTTTCATCAAGCTTTGGACCTGTCTCCATAGAACATAGCAGGGCTCTCGCCAGGCTTTTAGACTGTGGCGCAGCACCACACTCTATTTAGCTCCCTCCACACCCTATCGGCAAATCATGACTGTTTCCACAGTCTAAACTTGACTGAATATACAATAATAGCATGTAAAAAGGATAAAACATAACATAAATATGATTTATCACGATTGAACGGTTATTCTGAAGATGTTAGCACCACACCCTAAAAATTTCCTGGTGAGAGCCCTGCCTAGTGATTGAGCATGGGAACAGATGATGCTGTTATATAGTTACGAACAATAATTGACTTGATGTGAAGTTCGGTGTCACTAACTTCACCCTTCGATGTAATTATAAAAGATGATGTCATAATGATCTACTCATATAAGTGCCTGGGCACCCTGATCAATAGAAGGCTGCCACACTAAAATTCCATTTTAGCAATATTATTCTTACAAAGTTTATTAATTTGAAGGCTTTCAGCTGTTGGTCTGTCTGTATGATAACTCAAATACTGTTAGTCTGATTTGCCTTATATTGACACACTTTCCTGTAAGTCTCTGATAATGGTCAAGGGATATTTTTTGAAATGGCTATAATATGAAAACCATTATATAAAACAATGTTCTATCACCTATCAAATTTATTATTAGACTCCAGATGAAATCTGGAGTCTATTGTTTTCGTCAGTTTTCTTATTCTTCTTATTCTTATTATTCTAAACCAGTTTTCTCAATAACCATAAAATTTTCAGTAAAGTCAGTCATTTGGTCAATTTAGGTCCAGAATCTAGTTCCTCGGAAATTGGGTCAAATTTTTATCTAGGTCAAAGGTCAAGAACTAGGTCAAATCCAGTACTTTGTCACTTTTTTCCATTTTCTCGGTCGTCCTTTAATATTTTCGATCCGGGTTTTTTTCATTGTGTTCCTTATAAAAAAGTAGAAAACCTAGGGTCGATTTAGTTTTTTGATATCTCAAACCGATTTCGAGATATCAGTGTCCGAAAACGAGGTCCAAAAAAAGGTTCTCCGAATCAAATGTCCAGGATATTAGTCTTATAGGAAATTTTCTCAGGATTCCGAATCTGAAAACGAAATTTCGATCCGACTTCCGATTCGGAAGTTATGGCATTTTGAAAACTCAAAAATCGCTAAATTTGGTGCCCATGTTAAGTCAATGGGAAAAAATATTTTTTTGAAGTGAAAAATACGGAATATAGACTGAGTTCAGCTTCATATAATCAAAGCCTTGAAAAGAAGGGGACCTCAAAAGCCATCTAGCTTCAAAATTTGAACACCGAAATGCCTAGGTCAAAATCTAGGTCAAATTCATAGGTTTTCCTTATTTTTTTCGATTCTGACACTACACTTTAATTATATTCTTCGAAATTGTGTATACATGTAGCCAAGAATATGCTAATAGTGTTAGCCTTTTGCCGTCAGAAAGTATTTTGACCCACTTTTGAGATATGGTGTCCGAAAAGTAGGTCAAAATAAAAAGTTCTCCAAATTTAATATCTGAGTTATGAATTAAGAGTAGAATTCTGTCAGGAATCCGAATCTGCAAACCAAATTTCGATCCGACTTCCGGTTCGGAAGTTATGGCGTGTCCAAAAAGTAGGTCAAAATAAAAATTCTCCAAATTTAACGTATGAGTTATGAATTGGGAGTAGAATTTTGTCAGGAATCCGAATCTGCAAACCAAATTTCGATCCGACTTCCGGTTCGGAAGTTGTGGCGTTTTGAAATTTCGAGAAAAATCGATCTGATGGTATCCTGATAGAAAGTCAAGAGTAGAGAAGAAAATATTGAAAAATTCATCCATCCTTCCTATCTCATCCTATCCTATCCTTCCTATCTATCCTTCCTTCATATCTTTTCCTTCCTATCCTTCCTATCCTATCCTATCCTTTCTTCCTATTCTATTCTATCCTATCCTTCTTTCTTATTCTATCCTATCGTTCTTTCCTATTCTATCCTATCCTACCTTCCTATTTTATTTATCCATCTCTTTCTAGATGACTCAGCTTATTCTGGATGACTCGGCATATTCTGGATGACTCGGCTAAAAAAAGTCTAGATCTGGAGTCTGAAATTGAACTTCGTTCAATTTCCAAAATCTAGTTATCTTAAATCTAGTATGTAATGTTTATAGTAAAACTCATATTTGACGTATACTCAAACATTATTCTATTTAGCCTAAATTTTTAAATGTTTGCTAAACATAGGAACAGGGGAAGCTGAAAGGTCATTTATTGGGCTAAAATTCCTCAACTTAAGGAAAATCAATCTGACAAGGAAGATATTAATCGAGAACAGGATATTTTGATATCTATTAGTAAGTGCTATGAGTGTAAATGAGCCTGTCTGCTTTTTGTAACTTTTATTGTGAAAAGTAAAGTCTACACTTAGACCCTCGACGGAAGGTTTAATCATTTAAAATAAAATCTGGCTGTTCTAGACTAGTATAGCTATTAAATTATCATTCCTCTAGTTATCTCTCTAGTTATCTAGCTATGTAGCTTATAGCATCGTGGTAAACCATGACATCTCATTTCTTCTCAGCCCTGAGATGCCCATGTTTCAGGTGAAACAGAAAGATGCTATGAGCATCAGAATGAGCTTATAGGCTATGTTATGAAACCTACTGAGTTACTCCCTGCAGAAGGACAACTGCACAGCCGCTGCTCCCACTCCATTTTGTGTCTAATAGACTACTAATGGGTATCGTGTCACAGTAACTTCATTCAGCATATTTATCAAAAATCAATGACCACTATAATAAAGATGTCTGTGAATTTAATGTGTGTTTACAGTAACATTGCTAAGGAGGTCTTGTAAATTCACCTGCATGTATTTGTGGTGACAACAAAATATGTAATATTTTCTTGTCCTATTAGGCAACCCTTTTAAATGAACAGGAACTAATTGATTTATATATCAATTACAGGCAATTATAAAACTTGACTTGTTGCTCTTAAATTACCAGTCTGATTCTCTCATTAAGAACCATGAGATACTACCCTGTGTGCAGAGTCTAGTTAAACTACACTCTGCCTAGCAGAGACCATATTACAGTCGGTCAAATTTGGCCGACGAACACTGATTGGCGCGCTGGGTTCACAGGTTTATTTTAGTTTGAAAGAGTGAAGACGAAGCTCTCTTTTAAGAAGTGAAGTCAAACGAATGCAAAGGGTAATGAGATACATTCATTCAGTGATTTGTTTATCAAACAGTGTTTTGAAAGACCTTGGGTGGTTTAACTTTTACAGTCTCGGCTTACTTGTCAACCCCTTATACATATCGATATATATAATACTTTTTAGCCCTGGGCCACAGACCATAGTTCTATATTAGAAATTCGAACATGACTGTATTCACCCTTCTATAAACTGTGCACAAAGTCGGTGCAATACCTGGTCTTTACTAAGTATAGTCATACAAGATAGAGTATTCAGTCTCAAAATGATGTGGGATAGACAACCAAAAATGGAATTTCATGAAGTTGATATTGGAGATCCTGGTGTTTGAGAGATATTTTTAAAGTCTTTTAGAATCCCTATCATTGTAAATTTTTTGTTATGATTAAAAGATGACGTTTTATTTAATCTTTATCCCTCTAGTTTGGATTTTTAGAACTAATTCCCTTGAAATAAGTTATATAAGAAGGAGATTTCCAATAGAACCCCTGCTATAAAATCACAAAAAGTGAAATATCTTTTTTTATTGGACAGATAATATTTTCTTTTACTGGACATATTGTGATTTGTATAACTATATAGATATATAAGGGTAATATGAAAATTGAACCAATAAAAGTGATGAATATTCAAGTGTAAGGGAATTTTCTAATGCACTGCCATGTTATCTGTCCCGAATTAGCCACCTGGTGGCGAAACTGTAACTACCTATTCACATCTAGTTTATTCCAATGTGCTGCATAATTTTAAAATACATTTGAGGCTAGTAAGAATGTAATTGCACATCAATGGGTCATGGATTAATTCCCCACAGGATGGAGGGACTTTAACAACAAGCCTAGGATCAAAACTTCCTATTTTAAGTAGAAGAAATTTACTTTAGGCTTGGAAATACAGGTTGGTGATATTGCATATCAATAGGAGGTCAAAAGTTCAAATCCCCAACTAGATGGGACAACTTTAACTATAGCCTTAAGATTTATATTGTGTAATTTTAAAAATTACTTCACTTGAGGCATGTTGTTATATGTTAGGTCATTCTTACAGTTTGTATTGATATGCTGTCATTGGCTTAGAACAACCTTTGCCTGCCAGCTTTATACAATCAGTGTGCAGAATAGTACAATCACCTCATATACAGTAAAACCATTATATTGAAACACCGCTCTAGTCCAAACACCTCTCAATTTGTTTTTTTCAAGTGAAGTACCTATGATGATAAAAGTATCAATCGAACAATTCCAAAAATTATGAATAGGGACCCCGTGTGAACATTTATTTCAAAATGTTGAACCTATTTACACAAAAGATAATTTTCTTTTTCTGATTTCTGATTATTCAACAAGGGTTCTAAAACTGGTATTGAAAAAAAAATTGAAAAATGGTATTGAAAGTCTAGTTTTGAAGATATCAATTTTCGATGACCAAATTTATGCTGAAAACAATGGATAGCACAAGTTTTCTCTTTCTCAAGGTTAAAAACCACATATCCCATGTTATTTTCCCATACACAGCCAATATAATTCGGTGCCGACTCGGCATCGAAAATATTTGGCGCTATTCCGGCACTGTTCCGGCACCGAATCCTTTCGACACCAAAATTTGGCTATAATAGTTAGAACTTTATGGGAAAATAACACGGGATATGTGGTTTTTAACTTTAACACATTTCAATACCCATTCCTTTTTCAGAAATTGTTAATGAAGTGTAGAACACCCTATGCAGACAGAGCCTGTGGGAAATATTGGGTGCGGCGCAAATGAGCGGAGGGTGCGGAGCTAACGGTTATTTTTGAATTTAAAATTGGGATATTTCTGAAACTAAGCCGTTTTGGGACTTCAAATATACCAAGATATGTGTATTTGACACCAAATACCAATAAAATTGTGAAAATAGTAGTGCAATTCATTTAATAGCGATGCAGTATGCCTTAAACATTTCCCAGACCTATATATTTTGAGACTATCCTTTTAATACTGCGTCCCCAGCATTCATAAAAAATGGTGTTCAAGATACACTACCCATGCAAATTATTTTTGCATCTTGGAAGCCAGGCAGTATCTGTGTGATTTTATAAAAATTCGGAAATGTTCTTCAGATATGAGCCCCCTCTAAATATTGGGTGCGAGGCTACGTTTATGGAGCTGCTTTCTTTTTAGAAAATAAGCATTTCTCAAGGACAGGCCCTAGTTCACAATTTTCGGAGAGTCGGATTGATATTTTATCATCATGGGGACTTCACTTTAAAGAAAACATATCGTTTTAATAAAAACCACTGTATTTATGGCCAGAAAGTACTCCTGGTGAAAGTTATGACCATCTAAAATCACATGGACCTTTGCTATCTCTCATAACAATGGTTGTGATTACGTAATAAAAATTACCTTGATGGTAATTAATTTTTATAAGGCAGTTATGAAAGCGGTTGGGAACAAACTCCCACTGAGTGCTTGCACGAAGCTTATCAAAACACTTTTGGTCTGACCATGTGGTGTTCAGAACAGACAGGTTTTTACTATGCTATTAAAAGCTACCCTTTATTCTCATCATCTTACCACTCTACCCTCTACCTACTGCAAATGATTTGACAGTTTTAATGCCTGCAAGATCTCAGTTGTTGTTTTTTCTGGGAGTTTGTGAAATGAATATGTGATCATAAAGTTCTCATAATATCAGTCTAATTTCTTATTTTCAATATATTCTCTTGAAATCTTCACAGAACTATCTGCATACTTATTAATCTAGCAAAAATATTAAGTATAACAAAATTATTTTATTGGAAATGGTTGCCATAGTAACCAAAAAATCAAGGGACCCAGGCCCGTAGCCAGGGGGGGTTCGCAGGGTTCGGGCGAACCCCCCCCCCCCTGGCCAAAAATTCTTTCAAAATCATGCAGTTTTTGACCATTTTGAGCACTTCTCTAGTGATTTTAGCCTAATTTGGGCCAAAATTGTCAAATGTGAACCCCCCCTGGAAATTTTTGAAAATTGAACCCCCCCCCTTGGCAAATCCTGGCTACGGGCCTGGGACCTATATATCTGGTTTGATAAATCCTAGGCAAAAGGCCTCGTTTAAGAGTTCAGACAAAACCAAGCTATTTGAAACCTACCATTTGGTTCACAATTGACGCCAGCATCCTCTAAATGTACACATCCATTGGAATGTCCTTCATTTGGGCAATCGTCTAAAGATGGTTCATCTCCAACACATGACATACCTTAATAAATATGAAAAACCTTTATACTCCATGTCAATTGTATTAGGGAGGTTTGGCTAAAAACTCACCAGGAAGGTTTAGCCACCCTTTTAAGTTTAGTTTTATACCATTATTATCATACATTCATGTAAAAAAATCATCATACATGTAAAGATCATCATACATGTAAAGATCATCATACATGTAAAAATCATTATACATGTAAAAATCATTATACATGTAAAGATCATCATACATGTAAAGATTATCATACATGTAAAGATCATCATACATGTAAAGATCATCATACATTTAAAGATCATCATACATGTAAAAATCATTATACATGTAAAGATCATCATACATGTAAAGATCATCATACATGTAAAAATCATTATACATGTAAAGATCATCATACATGTAAAGATCATCATACATGTAAAGATCATCATACATGTAAAGATCATGCATACGTGTAAAGATCATCATACATGTAAAGATCATCATACATGTAAAGATCATCATACATGTAAAGATCATCATACGTGTAAAGATCATCATACGTGTAAAAATCATCATACATGTAAAGATTAGCGTACATGTAAAGATTTAATCATACATGTAAAGATCATCATACATGTAAAGATTATCATACATGTAAAGATCATCATATATGTAAAGATCATCATACATGTAAAGATCACTATTCATGTAAAGATCATCATACATGTAAAGATCATCATACATGTTAAGATCATCATACATGTAAAGATCATCATACATGTAAAGATCATGCATACGTGTAAAGATCATCACTCACCCTTTACATGTATGCCTCCACTCGATTCTCCATATCTCGCACATGCATCTGCCCTTGGAGTGAAATTTGTATACCCCAGCGATCGACATAGTACTTTTGCGTCATTTAAATCCCACAGATCATCACATATAGACTGCCATTGTCCTGAACTGTAAGCTTCTACGAGTCCATACGGCCCTTCGACTCCATTGTTAATAATCCTATATTGAAGTGACCATGCTAACAACACATTCTGTAGTAAAATTATAACTTTGATGAAATCCACCATATTCAGTTGTTTTTTTTAATATGTAGTCTGTCTGTCATATACTTATATATATATTATGTATTTTTGTTTCACTGTAAACATGTATACCATTAATTAAGATGCAAAATACTGTGTATTTCCTCAAATATCATATAATATATATTCTTATCATTTATATACCTTTTACTTTAATTTCGCTAAAATTCTACATTCATCCTTTTCCTTCCAACTTCAGATCCTCATATTTTTTCCGATGATTTTTCTGGATTTTCTTGCACATTGTATATATTTTGCAGAATTCTTATGCATTTCTGCAATTTTTTGGTCCTTAAGCAAATACTGCGTTAAACCTTCACTTATCTTTTTTTACATATTTTCACATGTTGCTTCATTTATTTCCTGTTATTTCCTATGGAGTTTAATCATCATAAACAAATCATTCACTCCAGCAAATACATGATGAGTCCTTTGTCTTATATTATTTTGATCAAAAGCTTTCGCGAAATTGCTTTTATATTGATCACATGTGGTGAAACCACTGTTAACATACTTACTCGTGGCATTTTCAATTTGCTAGAGTTAGTTTAGCCCATTTATCTGTATCTGTATCACATCAGGGATATCAGCCCTGGGGCCAACCCCTCCTAAGCGTATCTTTCAGGACTTTCATCGTTATAAGGCCTTTTAGATTTTATAGTTTTGATTAATCATAATTCTCTTTTCTAAATTTTACTTATAGTTTACAAATTCATTATAAAGCATGGTTGTTCAATTATAATTATTTTATGTCAATATTTTATTACATTCTGTCTATAATCTTGTTTTTTATCATATGATATTCCATGTTGTACTTAGTAGTGTAGGGTTAGGCCAAGTTAAATAAAAACATGTTTATTGTCTGTCCCTACCTGTCTAATCATTTAACATGCAAAGATGTGTAAGTTCTTCCAAATATTATTGATATGAATTTCTACATTCTAATACCCTTTATTTGGGTGATGGTATAATAAACAAATTGAATTGAATAATAGGAACATAATTTATCCTGGTTTAAGTACATGTATGCAGTTTGAGATAAAGTAAAGTTTGGAGATTTTTAGAAAAAAAAGATGTGACATAGGCCGATAAAATTTTAAAATTGAAACACATTTTGATAACTATGATTTAACCATATTGTAAAAAAGTATCATCTGTTCATCAATCTTGTGTTCTACAAAAATGTGAATATGTATCCTCTCTTTCTGTATCTTTATAAAGGCAATAAATGATTTAATGGCATAATCTCCATTTAAAGACAATATTTGGCAAATGGGTTAGGTCAGAACATTGATAAGTTAAAATACAATAGTGTTTAGGGGTGGGTGGATTAATACCCATCTTATTCTGTGACAGCATTGATTTTTTGTCAGCATGGAATCTATAATGAATGTTTCTACCCTGAGCTCCGAGTCTAGTGATAAACTACCCTCTGCCTAGTATAAGACTACAGTTTAGCAGCCCTGCCCCCATACCCATATGGGTGTACAGGGGTCTAGCCAGCTTTCAGTCAGGGGGGGATGCGATCGCCAAAACAATTTGGTTTTCAGTCAGGGGGTGCGATTGTGGCATAAACAAGTCAAAAAATAAGATTTATTTTGAATTTTACAAAAATTGATGCAACTTCCTTCAAAATTGAGCTTGACGCTTGAAATTAAAAGCATTTTAAAGCTATTTTCTTCTTTTTCATGGTTTTATTTTTTTATTGGTTACGATCGCACCCAGCGCTACAGTTTAGCAGCCCTGCCCCCATAGCCATATGGGTGTACAGGGGCATAGCCAGCTTTCAGTCAGGGGAGGGTGCAATATGCAATAATGTCAGAGGAAATGATCATAGAAAGTTGTCCATAATTCAATGACAAACTCTGATTGGCTCAGTGAGTTCAGAGATCTCTTGTAAACTGAAAGAGTGAAGATGAAGATCTTTTTTAAGAAGTGAAGTCGAACATATACAAAGGGTAGGAAAAGGGTGGTGCTAAATTAAGAATATGATATGTTATATGTTTTAGGCATATAGTAACTGAACGGAATGCCTGTAGCTATTAACCTGTTTGTAATGGGCACTATCAGTATAGACATTGTTCTTGAAAAATGTTTTAATTGAATTTATTGTATATTTAAGTTGAGCCTCTGGGGAGTATGGTATACAATTATAGGAAAGGTAATCCCAAATCAATATGTCCTCCAGGTGTCACAATATTGACTTCCTCTGTGGTATATTTTGCTGCTGACCATTATTTAGATTTTATATCAGAAATTTGACCTAGCTTTTTGCAAAATCATACATACGCTCAATAAGGTGAATGCTAGTTCCTATCAAATTTAGTTGAAATCCCTCCCTTGGGCTTCAGCCCATGTCAGACAAGACTTATACAGCATTTATCAAACTCTGTATAGGAACCTTTCTTCTTCCTGTAAATTGATTTTTAAATTGAGTAATTTAACAAGATTTTATTTCTACCATACTGAGGGCTTTACATGTGTAAATTAACAATTTTTTAAAAAGATTTTTAAAAGTTCATCCATCTAAATGCACTATTTGTGACTTTTACTTCAGGCCGTAGCGCAGAATTTATATTGTTTAAGTTTTCAAGTACATTACTGTTGCTAAGTATATAATTTCAAACAAAGAGCTCATGATTACATTGTATTACCCTTATAGTCATTCTATTAACACCAAATCATTCCTTTGATATTGAGTTCCAGAAGTTCAAGATGCCTCTAGTAGAAACATTTTAAAATTCTCACTGTGGGAAATATGCTTGGGAAAAGCAAACCTACATGTAACCCTGATTCCCAATGCAACATTACAACAGTGTGAATGCAGAGTTTGTATTTGTATTTATGTATGTGTATTTTACTATACTTGTAGAGATGCCGTAGTGGGTTCACTAGTCAACAACACAGAGGTTGTATCTGTAGCTGACTCGCATATTCAGTCCACTACCCCTCCTCCTATATCGCCAATTGCAAGTCCGAGCCATGAGTCAACTGATGGGCAGATTGGATCAACCAATCAGATGGCAGATAGCAGTGATGTCTTAACGGCAGTACACGATCATCCACACTCGAGTGTCCATGATGTACGTATTGGTTTTTTGAATCTTTTTTTTTTTTTAATTTATTGCCAAAAAACATATTTACATATCATATGGAATGCAATTATACAAAAAAGGAAGAATTTTTTAATTAAGTGATTCATGATCATGAATATTAAGTAAAAGATAAGGACTAAACTCATTTCATTATTCGCTTCGTCAAGCTTATAGAATTGCTGATAGATTGATACATGTATACTACAATGAAGTAAATTTCGACATTTTTAGATTAATTATTTCTCGGTACCCCAGTAATATTATAAAGCAATGTGGTCAATTGTTTAAGTTGAGTTAAACCCAGCTCCTATATTCAACACAATGTTACAAACAATGGTTGTAAACTTAAGAAATGTCAGTTAATTTCAATTTCTAAGTAAGAGTATATTTTTTTTTATTCAGTTTTATTCATTTAAATTAATCATTTGAAAATACAAATACATGAAGCCTTCTGATTGGTCAGTTCTTGTGTTGTCCCCGTTGATCATCTCCATCGCAATACAGAAAATATTGGTACGGAGGGGACATTCTCAGTAGCAATACAGAGGATCACACGATAAAAACGTTATAGAATGATTTGAAGTGCAATATAGGATATATTCTGTCTCAATACTCTGTATTGGCATTCGACTTCGTCTCGTCCCAATACAGAATTTCTCGAGCAGAATATATCCTGTATTGCACTTCAAATCATTCTATAACTTATAATACAAATAATTAATCTGACCATTAATATAATATAAAGCATAACATGGCCGTCCTTCTTCTTCATTATGACTGAACATTTATTTCCAGTTAATGTCTGCCAGCCAGCTGAGTGCCATGACATCTAGTGGCCACGAGAGCATATCATCCTCGATGATAAGCATGCACAGTTTAGCAAGGATATCTCCAGCTACCAGTATTATAGCAGAAACCATCACATCTGCAGAACAGGTAAAAACCAAGTGTTTACAATGGAACTACACACAGTTGTCATCTTGTGGTATTTAAATATCCAAAGGGGAAATGTAATATCATGTTTCAGTCAAATTATTTGTGATTTTGTAATGAGATCAAGAAGTATATGAAGTGTAGATTTTAAAATTAGAATGCTAGAACTGTTAGATGAATCATGCATGTTAACTTTAATAGTTTTCCCCTTATTTAAATGCAACTTTATTGTACATTAAACACTTGCAGGTGACAAGCTCTACAGATGCTGAGACTCCTATTACTATACAAGACCTGGATGAGTTCACCAAGTCCCTATCTGCAGATGATGCACGTATACTCGTAGATTTATTGAAACTGGCGGTTGCTAGCAGAGCAGGAATACTTGGTAAAGAGGCTCTGGCACATAGTTTAACAGCCCTGGGGAAGACATACCCTCAGGTAAGAACATGCCCTCGAGTAGGAATATGCCCACAAGTAGGAATATGCCCTAAAGTAGGAATATACCCTCAAAGTGGATTTTTATATGCCCTCAAGTTGGAATATGCCCTCAATTAGGATTTTAGCATGTAGATGAAGTGCAGATGCACCCAAGTATCATTTTGTAGATTTTCCCTAAGAGAACGCAACCCCAAGTAAAAATGATAAACTAGAGCGTGCCATCCTTCCTTATATGGGAACATGGGCTTACATCAGAATATATCTAATAGAATACATGTATATATAAATTAGTGTTGAAAAATGCCCTCAAGTAGGGTAAAACCTCTCAAATATTTCAATACATGTATGGCTATACTCATCTAGGTAGGTCTATAGATCTTATATTGTTCATTTCTAGGTTGCTGAGATGTTACTAGAGCTGTGTGTAACAGAGCTAGAGGATGTAGCCTCTGATACAGAGTCAGGACGTAATGTTGCACAACCAGTCATACAGGAAAGCTCTCATCCATATATCGATGATGAGTCAAAGTCTGGACAAGTTAAGATACCAGGTAAAAAGTCATGCACCGGATCATGCATTTTCTCTCATTAAAATCTGAAAAGCTGTATTTCATATTTTCTGTGTTTATTTCACCTTTTCTCTTTATTTTTTTATATGTTAAACAAACTAACGGCTTCCTTTTCACAGCAGGTTAAATTGCTTGTTACGAAGCATTTTGGGCTTGTGTAACACTTCTAAATTCTTCACTACGAAGCTTTCTTGCCAAAAAAGAGTGAAAAGAGAAACTTGTAAAGAAATATTAACCTGCTATTGTGACTAACCACTATTTTTGAATGTAGGTGCCGAGGGACTGAGAGTGGAATTTGATCGCCAGTGTTCAACTGAGAGACGTCATGATCCTCTAACGATCATGGATGCCAGTGGAAGAACTATCTCAGTTAGATCAGGTAATTTTCAAGTATTTTTATTGTTTAATTGATACATAATGGTACGTTCACACCAACGGCGCTTTGATGGCGCTTTAAAGCGGCTTGTAAAGCGGCACCAAAGCGTAACAAAGCTTAATTAAAGCGTCAGGGTCGTAATAGGTCGTAGAAAAGCTCGGGAGTAAAGCGGGATATTCGGCAAGAGCGCTAAAAAATTTAAACTGTTTAAGCGTTCGCACCAACGGCGCTTTGATGGCGCTTTAAAGCGGATTGTAAAGCGGCACCAAAGCGTAACAAAGCTTGATTAAAGCGTCGGGATCGTAATAGGTCGTAGAAAAGTTCGGAGTAAAGCGGGATATTCGGCAAGAGCGCCAAAAAATGTTAAACTGTTTAAACATTTTGGGCGCTCTGTTACGAATTGATTGAAGCGCCGAGAGCGTATCAAAGCTTAACAAACCGTAACAAAGCTCAACAAAGCTCAACAAAGCTTGACTCAAAGCGTAGGAAAGCTTAACACAGCTTGGTTCAAAGCGGGGACCCCAGTCTATTCACGGTCTGTTACCACTTGACACGCTTCGTTAAGATGTCTCAAGATTTGCTACGATCTGGCATGAAGAGCTGACACGGATCAGACGCTTTCATCAATATCTGACACTCTTTGTTACACTTTCATGAGGGACTCTCAAGCTTTCCAACGAATTGAGACGCTTTAATCAAGGATTGAAACGCTTTGCTAGGCTTTGTTACGCTTGAAAGTTTTCACACGCTATATCACGCCGTGCGACAAACGTCATGTCTTCTTCAGATAGGTCATGCTCTGGTCCATCTGGAATTTCTGGATCTCGTTGTTCTGCCATCGTGTTCTCGAGTCAAAGATGCAATGGTTTTATGGATCTACTGCATCTTTATATAGTCATTGGATCAAAAGCGGCATGGAATCGGCGATCTCGACATTTTCCAATGCGTGACAGAGCTTAACAGAGCGTAACAATGCACAACAGAGTTTTGCAATCGTATCAGAGCCTGATTTAAAGCGTCATAATCGCATCAAAGCGTAATAATGCTCATCAAAGCTTTTCAAAGCGTGATTTCAAGCGTAACAAAGCCTGATCAAAGCGGGATCAAAGCGTGAGGAACCTTTTAGAGCTATGTTAAGCTTTCCTACGCTTTGGATCAAGTTTTTCTGAGCTTTGTTACGGTTTGTTAAGCTTTGATACGCTCTCGGCGCTTAATCGATTCGTAACAGAGCGCCCAAAATTTTTTAAGAGTTAAAAATTTTTTGGCGCTCTTGCCGAATATCCCGTTTTACTCTGAGCTTTTCTACGACCTATTACGACCCCGACGCTTTAATCAAACTTTGTTACGCTTTGGTGCCGCTTTACAAGCCGCTTTAAAGCGCCATCAAAGCGCCGTTGGTATGAAGAAAAATGACAAAAATGACGGCGCTTTGCTCGCCGATTTAAAGCGTGGCATTCGCCGTTGGTGTGAACGTACCTTTATGGAATTACTTTTTATCATGCTTTATTTGATTCTTAGAATATTTTTTATTATTTATTTATTTCTAATAATCATTCATTCAAATTGAAAATCACCATCGCTTTTTTGTCAGATTTTAATTCTCATTTGAAAAACAATTTTACGCCCTTTACAACACTTGATGAATTTTCACAAAAATTTCACTGAATTCAGAACATGATGCAGAATTTTTAATGTTTAAATATTCATTCAGATTAAATGAGTGTGGTATCATATTAAAAAATAAGATATTAAAATTCAGTTGATGTTTGTAGGGCGTGACTGGAATGATTGGTCCCAAGAACTACGAATCAGCGGAGAAGAATTAAAATGGAAGTTCACGAGTGATGGATCTGTAAACGGATGGGGTTGGCGATTCACTGTGTATCCCATAATGCCCTCTGAGGCTCCGATGGATATGTTAAGTGACCGCACAGTACTATCGAGGCCATCTATTGAACTTGTGACTTGTCTTTTGGATTTCAAGTTAGATGTGACGTCAGATAGGAATATTGTGCCGAGACTCGGTGCAGCATTAGCAGCCTGTGCTCAACTAAGCACTTTGAGTAAGATTTTCGAAATTTTAGAATTAGTATGCAATTCACTATTTTGAGAAATACCTGAATGATTTTTATCTCTATGCAACATTCTGGAATTTTTAACACTTCGCCAGAATTTACTTTTGATTTTCTATTATAAAATAAGAAGTCATGCTTTGACTGTATTGTACTGACAATTACCTACTTAAAGTCAATGATACAATGAAGTTCTTAAAGATCCTAGTTTGCTAGTGTCAAAAGGATCAGAATGTTCTACAATATTTATATTTCAACATTTTAACATGCACCTTTCAATCATCCACAACCCAATTTCACAATCAAAACTGTTTTTACAATTTTTGGTATTAAGTATTGAAAAATGAAAAAAATAAATATTTTGAATATTTTAGGTGCGTTACAGAGAATGTGGGCATTGCAGAAGTTACGTAAATTGATGATGACGACACTGGGGGCAGCTTTGAACATCAGTCAGCTTGTATCACCACAATGTGAACTCAGTCTTGAGCCAAGATATACAATGGTGAGCCGTCCATATAACATGCATGCATCCAATATACTCTTACATGTACAGTGTATATGTCATGTAGATATGTTTTTTGCCAAATTGAGTTTTTAATTTGAAAATAACATCTACCTGTTTGTGGGATAAATTTTCCTTGTTTCTGGTGCAGATCCTTATTTTGGATGAATATTCCTAAATTCTGTTATTATTTAGCTAATGTTTCAAAATGTTCCTTGTCTTTCAGTCATTGAGTGGTACAGCATTAGACTCTCTAGTGAAGTCTCTTCCCCAAGCCAGTTAACATGTGTTTCAAAATGTTCCTTGTCTTTCAGTCATTGAGTGGTATAGCATTAGACTCTCTAGTGAAGTCTCTTCCCCAAGCCAGTTTAACATGTGTTTCAATGCATTCCTTGTCTTTCAGTCATTGAGTGGTACAGCATTAGACTCTCTAGTGAAGTCTCTTCCCCAAGCCAGTTTAACATGTGTTTCAATGCATTCCTTGTCTTTCAGTCATTGAGTGGTACAGCATTAGACTCTCTAGTGAAGTCTCTTCCCCAAGCCAGTTTAACATGTGTTTCAATGCATTCCTTGTCTTTCAGTCATTGAGTGGTACAGCATTAGACTCTCTAGTGAAGTCTCTGCCCTAAGTCAGTTTAACATGTGTTTCAATGCATTCCTTGTCTTTCAGTCATTGAGTGGTACAGCATTAGACTCTCTGGTGAAGTCTCTTCCCCAAGCCAGTTTAACATGTGTATCAATGCATTCCTTGTCTTTCAGTCATTGAGTGGTACAGCATTAGACTCTCTAGTGAAGTCTCTTCCCCAAGCCAGTTTAACATGTGTTTCAATGCATTCCTTGTCTTTCAGTCATTGAGTGGTACAGCATTAGACTCTCTAGTGAAGTCTCTACCCCACCCCAATTTAACATGTGTTTCAAAGCATTCCTTGTCTTTCAGTCATTGAGTGGCACAGCATTAGACTCTCTGGTGAAGTCTCTTCCCCAAGCCAGTTTAACATGTGTATCAATGCATTCCTTGTCTTTCAGTCATTGAGTGGTACAGCATTAGACTCTCTAGTGAAGTCTCTACCCCACCCCAATTTAACATGTGTTTCAAAGCATTCCTTGTCTTTCAGTCATTGAGTGGCACAGCATTAGACTCTCTGGTGAAGTCTCTTCCCCAAGCCAGTTTAACATGTGTATCAATGCATTCCTTGTCTTTCAGTCATTGAGTGGTACAGCATTAGACTCTCTAGTGAAGTCTCTACCCCACCCCAATTTAACATGTGTTTCAAAGCATTCCTTGTCTTTCAGTCATTGAGTGGCACAGCATTAGACTCTCTAGTGAAGTCTCTTCCCCAAGCCAGTTTAACATGTGTTTCAATGCATTCCTTGTCTTTCAGTCATTGAGTGGTACAGCATTAGACTCTCTAGTGAAGTCTCTTCCCCAAGCCAGTTTAACATGTGTATCAAAGCATTCCTTGTCTTTCAGTCATTGAGTGGTACAGCATTAGACTCTCTAGTGAAGTCTCTTCCTCAAGCCAGTTTAACATGTGTATCAATGCATTCCTTGTCTTTCAGTCATTGAGTGGTACAGCATTAGACTCTCTGGTGAAGTCTCTTCCCCAAGCCAGTTTAACATGTGTATCAATGCATTCCTTGTCTTTCAGTCATTGAGTGGTACAGCATTAGACTCTCTAGTGAAGTCTCTACCCCACCCCAATTTAACATGTGTTTCAAAGCATTCCTTGTCTTTCAGTCATTGAGTGGTACAGCATTAGACTCTCTATTGAAGTCTCTACCCCACCCCAATTTAACATGTGTTTCAAAGCATTCCTTGTCTTTCAGTCATTGAGTGGTACAGCATTAGACTCTCTGGTGAAGTCCCTTCCCCAAGCCAGTTTAACATGTGTATCAATGCATTCCTTGTCTTTCAGTCATTGAGTGGTACAGCATTAGACTCTCTAGTGAAGTCTCTACCCCACCCCAATTTAACATGTGTTTCAAAGCATTCCTTGTCTTTCAGTCATTGAGTGGTACAGCATTAGACTCTCTAGTGAAGTCTCTACCCCACCCCAATTTAACATGTGTATCAATGCATTCCTTGTCTTTCAGTCATTGAGTGGTACAGCATTAGACTCTCTGGTGAAGTCTCTTCCCCAAGCCAGTTTAACATGTGTATCAATGCATTCCTTGTCTTTCAGTCATTGAGTGGTACAGCATTAGACTCTCTAGTGAAGTCTCTACCCCACCCCAATTTAACATGTGTTTCAAAGCATTCCTTGTCTTTCAGTCATTGAGTGGTACAGCATTAGACTCTCTATTGAAGTCTCTACCCCACCCCAATTTAACATGTGTATCAATGCATTCCTTGTCTTTCAGTCATTGAGTGGTACAGCATTAGACTCTCTGGTGAAGTCTCTTCCCCAAGCCAGTTTAACATGTGTATCAATGCATTCCTTGTCTTTCAGTCATTGAGTGGTACAGCATTAGACTCTCTAGTGAAGTCTCTACCCCACCCCAATTTAACATGTGTTTCAAAGCATTCCTTGTCTTTCAGTCATTGAGTGGTACAGCATTAGACTCTCTATTGAAGTCTCTACCCCACCCCAATTTAACATGTGTTTCAAAGCATTCCTTGTCTTTCAGTCATTGAGTGGTACAGCATTAGACTCTCTGGTGAAGTCCCTTCCCCAAGCCAGTTTAACATGTGTATCAATGCATTCCTTGTCTTTCAGTCATTGAGTGGTACAGCATTAGACTCTCTAGTGAAGTCTCTACCCCACCCCAATTTAACATGTGTTTCAAAGCATTCCTTGTCTTTCAGTCATTGAGTGGTACAGCATTAGACTCTCTAGTGAAGTCTCTACCCCACCCCAATTTAACATGTGTATCAATGCATTCCTTGTCTTTCAGTCATTGAGTGGTACAGCATTAGACTCTCTGGTGAAGTCTCTTCCCCAAGCCAGTTTAACATGTGTATCAATGCATTCCTTGTCTTTCAGTCATTGAGTGGTACAGCATTATACTCTCTGGTGAAGTCTCTTCCCCAAGCCAGTTTAACATGTGTATCAATGCATTCCTTGTCTTTCAGTCATTGAGTGGTACAGCATTAGACTCTCTAGTGAAGTCTCTACCCCACCCCAATTTAACATGTGTTTCAAAGCATTCCTTGTCTTTCAGTCATTGAGTGGTACAGCATTAGACTCTCTAGTGAAGTCTCTTCCCCAAGCCAGTTTAACATGTGTATCAATGCATTCCTTGTCTTTCAGTCATTGAGTGGTACAGCATTAGACTCTCTAGTGAAGTCTCTTCCCCAAGCCAGTTTAACATGTGTATCAATGCATTCCTTGTCTTTCAGTCATTGAGTGGTACAGCATTAGACTCTCTGGTGAAGTCTCTTCCCCAAGCCAGTTTAACATGTGTATCAATGCATTCCTTGTCTTTCAGTCATTGAGTGGTACAGCATTAGACTCTCTGGTGAAGTCTCTTCCCCAAGCCAGTTTAACATGTGTATCAATGCATTCCTTGTCTTTCAGTCATTGAGTGGTACAGCATTCGACTCTCTAGTGAAGTCTCTACCCCACCCCAATTTAACATGTGTTTCAAAGCATTCCTTGTCTTTCAGTCATTGAGAGGCACAGCATTAGACTCTCTGGTGAAGTCTCTTCCCCAAGCCAGTTTAACATGTATCAATTCATTCCTTGTCTTTCAGTCATTGAGTGGTACAGCATTAGACTCTCTGGTGAAGTCTCTTCCCCAAGCCAGTTTAACATGTGTATCAATGCATTCCTTGTCTTTCAGTCATTGAGTGGTACAGCATTAGACTTTCTAGTGAAGTCTCTTCCCCAAGCCAGTTTAACATGTGTTTCAAAGCATTCCTTGTCTTTCAGTCATTGAGTGGCACAGCATTAGACTCTCTAGTGAAGTCTCTTCCCCAAGCCAGTTAACATGTGTTTCAAAATGTTCCTTGTCTTTCAGTCATTGAGTGGTATAGCATTAGACTCTCTAGTGAAGTCTCTTCCCCAAGCCAGTTTAACATGTGTTTCAATGCATTCCTTGTCTTTCAGTCATTGAGTGGTACAGCATTAGACTCTCTAGTGAAGTCTCTTCCCCAAGCCAGTTTAACATGTGTTTCAATGCATTCCTTGTCTTTCAGTCATTGAGTGGTACAGCATTAGACTCTCTAGTGAAGTCTCTTCCCCAAGCCAGTTTAACATGTGTTTCAATGCATTCCTTGTCTTTCAGTCATTGAGTGGTACAGCATTAGACTCTCTAGTGAAGTCTCTGCCCTAAGTCAGTTTAACATGTGTTTCAATGCATTCCTTGTCTTTCAGTCATTGAGTGGTACAGCATTAGACTCTCTGGTGAAGTCTCTTCCCCAAGCCAGTTTAACATGTGTATCAATGCATTCCTTGTCTTTCAGTCATTGAGTGGTACAGCATTAGACTCTCTAGTGAAGTCTCTTCCCCAAGCCAGTTTAACATGTGTTTCAATGCATTCCTTGTCTTTCAGTCATTGAGTGGTACAGCATTAGACTCTCTAGTGAAGTCTCTACCCCACCCCAATTTAACATGTGTTTCAAAGCATTCCTTGTCTTTCAGTCATTGAGTGGCACAGCATTAGACTCTCTGGTGAAGTCTCTTCCCCAAGCCAGTTTAACATGTGTATCAATGCATTCCTTGTCTTTCAGTCATTGAGTGGTACAGCATTAGACTCTCTAGTGAAGTCTCTACCCCACCCCAATTTAACATGTGTTTCAAAGCATTCCTTGTCTTTCAGTCATTGAGTGGCACAGCATTAGACTCTCTGGTGAAGTCTCTTCCCCAAGCCAGTTTAACATGTGTATCAATGCATTCCTTGTCTTTCAGTCATTGAGTGGTACAGCATTAGACTCTCTAGTGAAGTCTCTACCCCACCCCAATTTAACATGTGTTTCAAAGCATTCCTTGTCTTTCAGTCATTGAGTGGTACAGCATTAGACTCTCTGGTGAAGTCTCTTCCCCAAGCCAGTTTAACATGTGTATCAATGCATTCCTTGTCTTTCAGTCATTGAGTGGTACAGCATTAGACTCTCTGGTGAAGTCTCTTCCCCAAGCCAGTTTAACATGTGTATCAATGCATTCCTTGTCTTTCAGTCATTGAGTGGTACAGCATTAGACTCTCTAGTGAAGTCTCTACCCCACCCCAATTTAACATGTGTTTCAAAGCATTCCTTGTCTTTCAGTCATTGAGTGGTACAGCATTAGACTCTCTCATGAAGTCTCTACCCCAAGCCAGTTTAACATGTGTTTCAATGCATTCCTTGTCTTTCAGTCATTGAGTGGTACAGCATTAGACTCTCTAGTGAAGTCTCTACCCCACCCCAGTTTAACATGTGTTTCAATGCATTCCTTGTCTTTCAGTCATTGAGTGGCACAGCATTAGACCCTCTAGTGAAGTCTCTACCCCAAGCCAGTTTAACATGTGTTTCAATGCATTCCTTGTCTTTCAGTCATTGAGTGGCACAGCATTAGACTCTCTAGTGAAGTCTCTTCCCCAAGCCAGTTTAACATGTGTTTCAATGCATTCCTTGTCTTTCAGTCATTGAGTGGTACAGCATTAGACTCTCTAGTGAAGTCTCTACCCCACCCCAGTTTAACATGTGTTTCAATGCATTCCTTGTCTTTCAGTCATTGAGTGGTACAGCATTAGACTCTCTCGTGAAGTCTCTACCCCACCCCAGTTTAACATGTGTTTCAATGCATTCCTTGTCTTTCAGTCATTGAGTGGCACAGCATTAGACTCTCTAGTGAAGTCTCTACCCCACCCCAGTTTAACATGTGTTTCAAACCATTCCTTGTCTTTCAGTCATTGAGTGGTACAGCATTAGACTCTCTAGTGAAGTCTCTACCCCAAGCCAGTATAACTAATATTTCAAAATGTTCCTGGTCTTTCAGTCATTGGGTGATACAGCATTAGACTCTCTAGTGAAGTCTCTACCCCAAGCCAGTATAACTAATATTTTAAAATGTTCCTTGTCTTTCAGTCATTGAGTGGCACAGCATTAGACTCTCTCGTGAAGTCTCTACCCCAAGCCAGTATAACTAATATTTCAAAATAATCCTTGTCTTTCAGTCATTGAGTGGCACAGCATTAGACTCTCTCGTGAAGTCTCTACCCCAAGCCAGTATAACTAATATTTCAAAATGTTCCTTGTCTTTCAGTCATTGAGTGGCACAGCATTAGACTCTCTCGTGAAGTCTCTACCCCACCCCAGTTTAACATGTGTTTCAAAGCATTCCTTGTCTTTCAGTCATTGAGTGGCACAGCATTAGACTCTCTCGTGAAGTCTCTACCCCACCCCAGTTTAACATGTGTTTCAAAGCATTCCTTGTCTTTCAGTCATTGAGTGGCACAGCATTAGACTCTCTCGTGAAGTCTCTACCCCACCCCAGTTTAACATGTGTTTCAATGCATTCCTTGTCTTTCAGTCTTTGAATGATATAGCATTAGACTCTCTCGTGAAGTCTCTACCCCACCCCAGTTTAACATGTGTTTCAAAGCATTCCTTGTCTTTCAGTCATTGAGTGGCACAGCATTAGACTCTCTCGTGAAGTCTCTACCCCACCCCAGTTTAACATGTGTTTCAAAGCATTCCTTGTCTTTCAGTCATTGAGTGGCACAGCATTAGACTCTCTCGTGAAGTCTCTACCCCAAGCCAGTTTAACATGTGTTTCAATGCATTCCTTGTCTTTCAGTCATTGAGTGGTACAGCATTAGACTCTCTAGTGAAGTCTCTACCCCAAGCCAGTTTAACATGTGTTTCAATGCATTCCTTGTCTTTCAGTCATTGAGTGGTACAGCATTAGACTCTCTAGTGAAGTCTCTACCCCACCCCAGTTTAAAATGTGTTTCAAAGCATTCCTTGTCTTTCAGTCATTGAGTGGTATAGCATTAGACTCTCTCGTGAAGTCTCTACCCCACCCCAGTTTAACATGTGTTTCAAAGCATTCCTTGTCTTTCAGTCATTGAGTGGCACAGCATTAGACTCTCTCGTGAAGTCTCTACCCCACCCCAGTTTAACATGTGTTTCAAAGCATTCCTTGTCTTTCAGTCATTGAGTGGCACAGCATTAGACTCTCTCGTGAAGTCTCTACCCCACCCCAGTTTAACATGTGTTTCAAAGCATTCCTTGTCTTTCAGTCATTGAGTGGCACAGCATTAGACTCTCTCGTGAAGTCTCTACCCCAAGCCAGTTTAACATGTGTTTCAATGCATTCCTTGTCTTTCAGTCATTGAGTGGTATAGCATTAGACTCTCTAGTGAAGTCTCTACCCCACCCCAGTTTAACATGTGTTTCAAAGCATTCCTTGTCTTTCAGTCATTGAGTGGTACAGCATTAGACTCTCTCGTGAAGTCTCTACCCCACCCCAGTTTAACATGTGTTTCAAAGCATTCCTTGTCTTTCAGTCATTGAGTGGTACAGCATTAGACTCTCTAGTGAAGTCTCTACCCCAGGCATTGCAGAGGCAGTTTGATTATGAGGATCCCATAGTGAGGAGTGGAAAACATCTCATGCATAGTCCTTTCTTCAAGGTAAGAGGATGTAAATGTTAACATGATGTAACGGTAAACATGAATGTTAACATGATGTAAATGTTAACATGAATGTTAACATGATGTAAATGTTAACATGAATGGTAACATGATGTAAAGGTTAACATGAATGTTAACATGATGTAAAGGTTACCATGAATGTTAACATGATGTAAAGGTTAACTGTTAACATGATGTAAAGGTTAACATGAATGTTTCCTCATTTTGTCTCCATATTGAGTTTGTAAAGGAGGTGGAGAGTGGTTGTGAATTGAATTGTTTCAGGATAAGTCATTTTATCAGTATTTAATATTTAATGTTTAGACATGATTTCTTAGCACTTTAATTGAACTTAAAGGCTGGATTAGGACAACAACTAGAAGATACATGTAACAATATTGTCTTATGTTCACATTTTAGGTTCTTGTGGCATTAGCTTGTGACTTAGGGCTAGATGGACTCCCAGTGTGTATGGAGGCTCACAAGTGGGCCTGGTTCAGGAGATACTGTAATAATATTCTCTAACCTTCACATTTTAGGTTCTTGTGGCATTAGCTTGTGACTTAGGGCTAGATGGACTCCCAGTGTGTATGGAGGCTCACAAGTGGGCCTTGTTCAGGAGATACTGTAATAATATTGTCTAACCTTCACATTTTAGGTTCTTGTGGCATTAGCTTGTGACTTAGGGCTAGATGGACTCCCAGTGTGTATGGAGGCTCACAAGTGGGCCTGGTTCAGGAGATACTGTAATAATATTGTCTAACCTTCACATTTTAGGTTCTTGTGGCATTAGCCTGTGACTTAGGGCTAGATGGACTCCCAGTGTGTATGGAGGCTCACAAGTGGGCCTGGTTCAGGAGATACTGTAATAATATTGTCTTACCTTCACATTTTAGGTTCTTGTGGCATTAGCCTGTGACTTAGGGCTAGATGGACTCCCAGTGTGTATGGAGGCTCACAAGTGGGCCTTGTTCAGGAGATACTGTAATAATATTCTCTAACCTTCACATTTTAGGTTCTTGTGGCATTAGCCTGTGACTTAGGGCTAGATGGACTCCCAGTGTGTATGGAGGCTCACAAGTGGGCCTGGTTCAGGAGATACTGTAATAATATTGTCTTACCTTCACATTTTAGGTTCTTGTGGCATTAGCCTGTGACTTAGGCCTAGATGGCCTGCCAGTGTGTATGGAGGCTCACAAGTGGGCCTGGTTCAGGAGATACTGTAGTGCAGCAAGAGTGGCAAAGTCAATAGAGAACAGGTCTGCTCTGCCTCAGGCCTTCTGTGAAGAAGTCAACAAGAAGGTGAAGTTAATGCTTTCTGATACATGCGAATAATGCTTGAGTTTAAGCCCTGATATGTATCAGTCTGTACAATTATAATTGCAATAAAACTTAAATATACAACTTTAAAAATTATGCTCAGTATTTGACCATTGTTTTTGTTGGTTTCAAGGCTGAGGTGGAAAACATAAATGCTCAATTTAAATTTTCTAGAAAAGTGACAAAAGTGTTTGACACTCAGGATTTGAAATGAAGTACAACATAAAGGAGAGACTGCTATAAACAAATATCTAATTTAGAATCCCCTCATACAATCACTTTTGCCCTACTGCCCCCATAGTAATATAATGTGTTTTTGAAAGAATTATTATTTATAGCTCTATAAGTCATTGTATTTTATTAGGTACATGAGATATTGGCAGAGGGGGAATCTCTGGACTCCCAGCATGCATTGCACACAGTGTTCACTCAGGAGATGGATGAACAGCTCCTCCTGTGGCTGAATAGGTAGGGAAGGATTCAATCCTGATTCAACCAAATTATTCTTTGTATAGAGTACATTTTAATTTTGAAACCTTAGAATGTAGCTAGAACTTAATAGGTATGTGATACATCTGTTATGTGTGATTTGATTTGGATATAGGGTTAATCCCTCAGGATATTCCCTGTATCCTAAACCCTTTTGTGCATAACACTTATACATGTCTTATACAAGGATTAAAAAATTTGGGCATAGCATTTCTTTAAAGTATAGCCTACATACCATTGTTATATTGTTTTGTGTTGAGTATTATGCATTGTCTGATATTGCAGGAGACCAGATGACTGGACTCTGTCCTGGGGTGGAAGTGGCCAAATCTGGGGGTGGGGACATAACCACAGGGGTCAGCTTGGGGGCATAGAAGGTGCAAAGGTGAAAATACCCTTGTCCTGTGATGCCCTCACGGCCCTGCGCCCTGTACAGCTGATTGGTGGAGAACAGACTCTGTTTGGAGTCACTGGAGAGGGCAAGGTGGGTGAATGCACTTTCAGAAATTCCTATTTTGGAGGTATGCAGTTTTGGCAATGCTGTCTTGAGCACTGGGGTAAACCTATAGCTCAGGTCTTATTGCTTCTCGAGTCTATTCAGTTACACCTTTTTAATGGCAGCAGCAGAAAGTGGTGACATATTGTTACAGTCTCCAACTTTTTTTTGTGGACTGCAGTTGGTGTTCCGCAGTTGGTGTTCGCCATCTGTAACATAGATATTGACAATGGATATTGCCTTGTATCTCTTTATAGGTTATTTACTCTACCCTTCATAAGAAAAGAAATAATCCAAGAGAATAGAATAACTGTGATTTAATTTTCAGGTCTATGCAACTGGCTATGGTGCAGGAGGACGACTGGGAATTGGTGGCGCTGAGAGTGTTGCCCAACCAACTCTGCTGGAGTCTATACAACATGTCTTCATAAAGAAGGTTGCTGTGAATTCAGGGGGCAAGCATTGCCTGGCCCTGTCATCTGAGGGTGAGGTATATTCATGGGGAGAGGCCGAGGATGGCAAACTGGGACATGGAAATAGAAGGTATGTATAAATGGGAATCACAGAGTATTCATTTTAATTAGTTTGTTCCATCTCGATATAGCCTTTGTCTTTATCCTTCTCGCAAACGGCAGATAAGAGGGGCTCTGGCATACCAGATTGACTTTGTTCATATGATGTACTACAGTAGTGCGATGTGCTCTGACAAATCAAGCAAATCTTGAATCAGATTGAAAATCTGGAAATCACCTTGCACCAAGTTCAAAATGCCTGTCACTCAAATTAAAAATTCAGATATCAGGAAAGATTAGAATGTTTTCACAGGTCACATCATTGTCAGCAAATGGTTGAAGCAGATTTTCCCAGTACTTGTTTACAAGAGGCTATGCTATATACATGTTTTATAGAGTATGATCATGTGTATTTCAGTCCTTGTGACCGACCACGTGTAATAGAGTCACTGCGAGGCAAGGAGATTGTAGGCATAGCAGCTGGAGGTGCCCATAATGCATGTATTACAGCCAGTGGAGAACTCTACACATGTTACATATTCATCTATTGTTATTTCAGTCCTTGTGACCGACCACGTGTGATAGAGTCACTGCGAGGCAAGGAGATTGTAGGCATAGCAGCTGGAGGTGCCCATAATGCATGTATTACAGCCAGTGGGGAACTCTACACATGGGGAAAAGGAAGATATGGACGTCTAGGGCATGGTGACAGTGAAGATCAGGCTAAACCAAAGCTGGTAGGAAATATGTTTTATTTTTATTTGTCAGTTATACAGATGTACTCTACTCTAAAAAAATGTAGAAAATGTGTGTAGAAATGTGATGAAAATTAAAAAGTAAATCTGGAATGTACATGTGTATAACAGGAAAATATGTGGAACACCACCAGAACTGGTTAAAGGTGAACTCAACCATAACATTTTGAAATTGCTTCGTGAAAAACTGCATGATTTTGAAAGAATTTTTAGCCAGGGGGGGGGTTCACTTGAACCCATCGAACCCCATGGGTATGGGCCTGTATTACAAATCAACATCTTTGTTGTAGGTGGAATCATTGAAGGGGTACCGTGTGATAGATGTCGCCTGTGGCAGTGGTGACGCACAATCCCTGTGTATCACAGACAATGATTGTGTGTGGTCCTGGGGAGACGGGGACTACGGGAAGCTAGGAAGAGGGGGAAGTGATGGCTGTAAGGTCCCAACCAAGGTGGATGTTCTAATGGGTGTAGGGGTCATCAAAGTGGAGTGTGGCTCTCAGTTTTCAACAGCGCTGACAAAGGCTGGAGAAGTTTACACCTGGTATGTATATTAAGATTGTGAAGAGTAATAACCAATGGTAAATATCACAGGATGATTTCTGCCAACAAACATGAAAATGATTTGGATGAATCATTAATATGTATAAACTGTATTTTTCATCACCTGAACTCAAAATTTATTTTTTATTTTTTTATATCTTTTATTGACTCTTTAGATATCATATCATGACATATTAGTCACTAAGGTAGAGCAGTTCTTCCCATTGTCGAGTTGAAGAACTGGTATCTTTATCCTGGCTAGAACCATAGACAATTCTAGCCAGCGCCAGCCTTTTATCGAGTTAGCAGCACTCTAGTAATCGCCGGTATTGGTCAGCAGTCATAGGTCAAAGACAAATCACAAGAAGTGCTGTGACCTGGGTTTGAACCCAAGACCTCTACTTTTTCAGCCTGAAGCCAGACTTCCTGCTTTTCAGACCAATGCCTTAACCACTAGGCCAACCCGGCGACCACATTTTAAATCTCCAAGTTTGAACTTAATATAAGGATCATATAAAGCATAGTGCATAAAAATACAAATCCATTTATCTTCATTGTTCACTATTTTCTTGTCATTGTTTACTATTTTCTTGTCATTGCTTACTATTTTCTAGTCATTGTTTACTATTTTCTTGACAACAGGGGTAAAGGAGACTACCACAGACTTGGACATGGTACGGATGAACATGTGAGAAGGCCAAGGAAGGTCTCTGGTTTACAAGGGAAGAAGGTCGTCAGCATATCTTGTGGCTCGCTACATTGTGTCGCATGCACTGATAAAGGTAAGGAGTCACTTAAATATATGTACATGTACAGTAAATGGTTAAAATGTCTGTTGTTTCATTTCCATGCTTCCAAAGCTGTATGAATTTTACTCGCTATTTGAAAAACATTGAGGTTTATTTTTTATTTTTTGCAGAGATAAAAGTTAGGGCCTTGGGGTTAGGGCTCACTTTAGTATGTTCTGTTATAAATGGTTGAAAAGCCATATGGTTTTTCATCGCTACATGTATTTTTTCAAAATTTGGATGAAATTTACTCGATATTTGAAAAATGTTGAGTTTTGATAGCTTGAATGTCTTATTTTTGAAGAGATTTTTAGCACATTTTTTGCATGATATTATATTGGTTGAATTTGTACTCCAATAATCGCTAGCTTCATTACAGGAGAGGTGTATACATGGGGTGACAATGATGAAGGGCAACTTGGAGATGGTACAACAAATGCAATCCAACGACCCCGCCTTGTGGCCAACCTCCAGGGGAAGAAAATCAACAGAGTCGCTTGCGGATCTGCACACAGTCTCGCCTGGTCAACCAACAAACCAATCAATGCATCTAAACTCCCAACTGACATCCCAATGGAATATAACCAGCTTCACGCTGTTACGATTAACGTTCTCCGAAATCGGCTCGTCCTTCTACATTATTTCTCCGATCTTTTCTGTCCATCGATCCCGATGTTTGATCTGCAGGATGGGACTGAGGATGTGAATATCAGTGGTAATCTAATGGGGCCTGATTCACTGAGGGGGGTCCTTGTGTCTTCTGCAAAGGAGGCGGCATTTAGGAAAGTTGTCCAAGCAACGATGATACGAGATCGTCAACATGGACCTGTCATAGAAATCAACAGAATACAGGTATACAAAAATCATCTTTGTGACAGTTTTAAAATAATGAGGGTGGGTTTTTTTTGAGATGGAGTGCCACAGCTTTCACAACACATTGTATAAAAGGTCTTGAAAAGTTAATGCGGAATTTATTTTTCATTTCCTATTTTTATGTCAACCGCCCTTGTTCTGCTATTCCGGGTTAAAAGATCTAGAAGCAAAGGAGGGCTTGCAGGACCAGATGTAAATATACACTCATTCCTCCCTTGCTCTGCTATTCTAGGTCAAGAGATCCAGGAGCAAAGGAGGTCTTGCAGGACCAGATGTAAATATACACTTATTCCTCCCTTGCTCTGCTATTCTAGGTCAAGAGATCCAGGAGCAAAGGAGGTCTTCCAGGACCAGATGTAAATATACACTTATTCCTCCATTGTTCTGTAATTCTAGGTCAAGAGATCCAGGAGCAAAGGAGGTCTTGCAGGACCAGATGTAAATATACACTCATTCCTCCCTTGCTCTGCTATTCTAGGTCAAGAGATCCAGGAGCAAAGGAGGTCTTCCAGGACCAGATGTAAATATACACTCATTCCTCCCTTGCTCTGCTATTCTAGGTCAAGAGATCCAGGAGCAAAGGAGGTCTTCCAGGACCAGATGTAAATATACACTTATTCCTCCCTTGCTCTGCTATTCTAGGTCAAGAGATCCAGGAGCAAAGGAGGTCTTGCAGGACCAGATGTAAATATACACTTATTCCTCCCTTGCTCTGCTATTCTAGGTCAAGAGATCCAGGAGCAAAGGAGGTCTTGCAGGACCAGATGTAAATATACACTTATTCCTCCCTTGCTCTGCTATTCTAGGTCAAGAGATCCAGGAGCAAAGGAGGTCTTGCAGGACCAGATGTAAATATACACTCATTCCTCCCTTGCTCTGCTATTCTAGGTCAAGAGATCCAGGAGCAAAGGAGGTCTTGCAGGACCAGATGTAAATATACACTCATTCCTCCCTTGCTCTGCTATTCTAGGTCAAGAGATCCAGGAGCAAAGGAGGTCTTGCAGGACCAGATGTAAATATACACTCATTCCTCCCTTGCTCTGCTATTCTAGGTCAAGAGATCCAGGAGCAAAGGAGGTCTTCCAGGACCAGATGTAAATATACACTTATTCCTCCCTTGCTCTGCTATTCTAGGTCAAGAGATCCAGGAGCAAAGGAGGTCTTGCAGGACCAGATGTAAATATACACTTATTCCTCCCTTGCTCTGCTATTCTAGGTCAAGAGATCCAGGAGCAAAGGAGGTCTTGCAGGACCAGATGTAAATATACACTTATTCCTCCCTTGCTCTGCTATTCTAGGTCAAGAGATCCAGGAGCAAAGGAGGTCTTGCAGGACCAGATGGCATTAAATCTGTGTTTGGACAGGTCTGTGCTAAAATGTCAGCTTTCAGCAATGACAGTCTCATGTTGCCACACAGGGTCTGGAAAGTTAAGTTTATAGGTAGGTCCCCCTGGGGTAGTAAGTCAATCAAGCTACTTTAAGTGATATACTGTGTACAGTAAAACCTGTTTAAGTGGGAAGCCCTTTGTTCCAATTGGCTATATAAAATAAATAATGAGATATACTCATTCATAAAATAAAGATAAACGCAAAGCTGAATTGCATGATTAGAAAAAATAACATACATTAGTCCATAATCTATAACATAACTGAAAGGACAGAATTCACCACAATAGTTTTAATCTTTCAGGTGAGAGTGTAGATGACTGTGGCGGAGGTTATAGCGAATCAATAGCAGAGATGTGTGAAGAGCTACAGAATGGCTCTACCCCACTGCTTATTGTAACGCCAAATGGACGTGATGAGTCTGGTGCTAATAGAGACTGCCATCTGTTAAACCCTGCCGTTAAATCAGCAAACCACCAGAATATGTTTAGATTCCTTGGTAAGTATGAGTCATATATTATTATTTTTAAGTTTCAATAACAGTGCTCTTGTGTGATGCTTTAATATACTAATTTTTACTATAGTGAATCACCAGTACGATGGAACATCAGATCTTTCTGTAATGAACACCTCTCTACATGGAATAGTTTTCAAAATAACTAATGGAAAACTATTCCATTGACTAACATCTTCGTAAACCCTCTCCATAAGGAACATCACTCTGCAAGGAATAATTTTGGTCAGAACTAACTGATCATGTTCCATATACATAGGTTTGACTGTATTCATCCATGCTCTAACCCACAGAAGAAATAGTCACTTGCATAGAAAAATATACAATTCTTTGTTGCAGTTCAAGTACTTGTACATGTTAATTAAAACCATGAAACAGCATGTTGATGCACTGCTGCTAAATATTATCATGGGTGTCCAAGCTTGTATAATAAACAAGGTTAAAAAGCAGTAAATTACTCAAATCTGACCAGATATACTTTGTGTATATATTAGTGGTCGGACTCGCCTGAAAATCTCCACTCGAGTGGGCCATGAAAAACCACGATTATATTCGCGATTTGACTTAAGTTGAGTTACTTCCGGTTTCAGTTTCCCAAGTAGCGGCAGAATTCATCAAGTCTTTCAAGTGCCTCTATACTTTTTATTGTCTAAATCGTATTGCACATCCCTATAGATCGTTAAAGTTCACCCCTAGTCCCCTATAGATAGTAAAACTTACCGGATAAATAGTGAAAACAAACTTCGTCAATCCAGAAAGTTCCAGGATGCACCGCGGTAGACAAATTTTAAAATTCCCGGCTGTGGGATATTCCCAGAATGCATCAAACCGGAAATGAAACTTTTGCATAAAAATAACGAAAGCAGAATAAAATCCAAGTATGTCTGTCCTCCGCACATGGCATTAAATAGAAAATAAGTTGTATTCTATACAGATTAAGCAGAACATTACAACTATAAGCATGGAAATTGTGAATAGTAGAGACGAATCGCGAGTCAAGGTAAGGTGAAAACGAGTGAAAAATATTTTTTTGGTAAAAATTTCAAATCGTGAGTTCAAGTTTTCAACTCGATCAATTGATTTTTAGGACAAATGCGAGTAAAACTCGAGTACACGAGTCAGTCTTCCAACCACTAGTATATATATTGAAAATTATGCACGATCAAAACTGTTACCTTTTCAGGTATTTTATTGGGCATTGCCATAAGAACTGGAAGCCCCCTAAGTCTGAATCTGGCTGAGCCTGTGTGGAAACAACTTGCCGGGATGCCCCTCAATGTAACTGATCTGACAGAGATTGACAAAGACTATGTCCCAGGTTTGTATATTTTATTAGATTACTATCATTGCCAGAATGGTGGTATCATTTCTGTTTGCGGAAGCCTATGACTACAGTGATATGAACTTTTAGTTAATTGCTTTGGGGTCAAGTAGTCTTATGTTAATTTATGCATGACATATATTATCATATGTTGAAATTCATTCAACACAGCTTTTTAAAGATGCCTGTAACTTAAACTGGAATCAATCTAGAATGTTGAAATGGTTGAATCAATCTAGAATATTGAAATGGTTGAATCAATCTAGGATTTTGAAATGGTTGAATTAATCTAGAATTTTGAAATGGTTGAATCAATCTAGAATGTTGAAATGGTTGAATCAATCTAGAATTTTGAAATGGTGGAATCAATCTAGAATTTTGAAATGGTGGAATCAATCTAGAATTTTGAAATGGTTGAATCAATCTAGAATGTTGAAATTGTTGAATCGATCTAAAATTTTGAAATGGTTGAATTGATCTAGAATTTTGAAAAGGTTGGATCAATCTAGAATTTTGAAATGGTTGAATCCATCTAGAATTTTGAAATGGATGAATCAATCTAGAATTTTGAAATGGTTGGATTAATCTAGTATTTTGAAATGGTTGGATCAATCTAGAATTTTGAAATGGTTGAATCAATCTAGAATTTTGAAATGGTTGGATCAATCTAGAATTTTGAAATGGTTGAATCGATCTAGAATTTTGAAATGGTTGGATCAATCTAGAATTTTTAAATGGTTGAATCAATCTAGAATTTTGAATGGTAAACACTACCCCAAGTGCAAGAGAGAGCTTTAATAACCTGATAACATAGTTTTCTTGATGTTTAGGTCTTATGTGTATCAAAGATATGGACAGTGAAGGTCTCCATGCAGCAGATCTCCCATTTAGCACTCCAAGTGCTGCAGGACATGAGGTTCAATTGAGCTCTAAGTATACAAAAATCACACTTGAGAACAGACAGGAGTACATACGCCTGGCACTAAATTACAGGTGAGAATTGGATTTGAATTTTTTTTATTTAATTTATCTATTAATTGTCAAACATTGTCAGCACTAGATTCCCAAAAGATTGTTTATCAGTGATGGTCTCCATTTTTTGTGACGGTGGTCGGAATTTGACGATCGGCGGTTTGTGATCGGTTATGTTAATGCCTTGTTTATATAAGTTGTACTTTTAATTTTAAAGTTGTTCATGTTGAATATGTTTATGTTTAAGGCTACATGAGTTTGATGAACAAATCCAATGGGCAAGAGAGGGAATGGCTAGAGTGATTCCTGTGCCATTATTGTCCTTATTCACAGGCTTTGAATTGGAAACCATGGTAGGTTACACATGATATTGTATTAAAATACAATGTCTTTTATGTACAGGTATATCAAAGGTAGTGAAGTGTACATGTATTTAATAGCACCTGTATGATGGAACACCTCTCTGTAACAAACACTTCTCTGTAACAAACACCTCTCTGTAAGCAACACCTCTCTGTAACAAACATCTCTCTGTAACAAGCACCTCTCTGTAAGCAACATCTCTCTGTAAGCAACACCTCTCTGTAACAAACACTCCTCTGTAACAAACACTTCTCTAACAAACACCTCTCTGTAAGCAACACCTCTCTGTAAACAACACCTCTCTGTAACAAGCACCTCTCTGTAAGCAACATCTCTCTGTAAGCAACACCTCTCTGTAAGCAACACCTCTCTGTAACAAACACCTCTCTGTAAGCAGCACCTCTCTGTAACAAACACTTCTCTGTAAGCAACATTTCTCTGTAAGCAACACCTCTCTGTAACAAACACCTCTCTGTTAGCAACACCTTTCTGTAACAAACACCTCTCTGTAAGCAACACCTCTCTGTAACAAACACCTCTCTGTTACATACACCTCTCTGTAAGCAACACCTCTCTGTAACAAACACTTCTCTATATGGATCAGTTTCTCACATGTTCATGAACACTTTCAGTAAGGAACACCTGTCTATAAGGTTGATCAGTGCTGAGGGTGTTCCATATACGAGGGGAAATCTTTAATTCGTGAGAAAATTCTTAATGCTAATATTTTCCATGGATTCCAATTGATGAAGTTTCAGAGTACAAAACTTTTGAAAAATGTTTAATTTAACACTTACATATTTGACTCTTAATTTCTAGGTGTGTGGGAGTCCTGATATTCCCCTGAATCTCCTGAAATCAGTGGCCACTTATAAAGGTATTGACGCAAATGCCCCTCTTATACAATGGTTCTGGGAAGTCATGGAGGAATTCACAAACACTGAGAGATCGTTGTTCCTGAGGTTTGTCTGGGGACGTACCAGATTACCTAGGACTATTGCAGACTTTAGAGGCAGAGATTTTGTGCTACAGGTAATACTTACCATTGTGTTTGACTGTCAGTATGCAAATTTTACTAACAAAAATATTTTTCCAAATGAACGTGTATACATGTATTCTGTTAACAAAAATGAGCATATCAGTATTATTATGTACAGTAAAATGTGTTAAATAGAACACCTCTATGAAGAACATCTCTGTAAATTAAACACATCTGTAAGTGGAACACTTTTCAGTTTCATCATGATACATGACTGAATGTTAAGAAAACCACTGTTAATGAAACACCTCTCAAGTGAAACATTTTTATTAGAGGCTCAAAAGGTCAAAATCTGCCCTCTTTTTAAGTCAAATTGTAATGTCAAAATGCAATGATCGACTCCTGTATGTATCTCATGTATATTCATATACATTGTAACTTTTGTTTAAATGGACATGGAACTAGAGAATGACTCTAGCACAATGCTCATTGTTGTGCCAAATGTATTAATAATTATTAAATCACCCAGAGTAATAATTTTTAATTTTTCCAGGTGCTTGACAAATACAATCCACCAGATCACTTCCTCCCTGAGAGCTACACATGTTTCTTCCTGTTGAAGATGCCTCGTTACTCCGCCAAGATTGTACTCAAAGAGAAACTGAAGTACGCGATTCACTTCTGCAAGAGCATAGATACTGATGACTATGCTAGAATTGCACTAAGTGGGGAACCGATTGAGAATGATTCATCTGATGATACCGAACCAGATATGGACTTTATTGAATCTGACGGTGAAATTGTTTGGTGAATGAGGAAAATAATAATTTGCCATAAGACTAGACTATTAGTGAAAAAAATAATTGTGCATATTTACCTTAATTTTGAAGTTAGATGGCTATATTAATTGGCTAATATTGTACATGTAATATGGATTCTTATTTTGCACATTTGCCACACAAAGTGTTTGGTGGATAGAGAGAAAAAACAACTGGGCAACTTATGACTTTGATGGCTATATTGGTTGGTAAAAATTGTAAAAAAAATTGTATGGACAATACTGCTAATTCACAAATTGTTAAGAAAAAATTAAAACTTTGCTAGGCTTGGATCATCGGACATTCTATAAGAAACAATGCCATTGAGAAACAATGCAATTGAGAAACAATGCTATTGAGACACAATGCCATTGAGACACAATGCCATTGAGAAACAATGCCATTGAGACACAATGCCATTGAGACACAATGCCATTGAGACACAATGCCATTGAGAAACAATGCCATTGAGACACAATATCATTGAGACACAATGCCATTGAGAAACAATGCCATTGAGACACAAAATTGTAATTTTACTTTTATATCTTACCTTGGAATCTTAGATCATTTGTAACTTTGTCATTATTTGGTTTATAGAGATGATATTGGTATCAAATTAAACCTAATTAAATTTCCCATAAACTAATGATATTCAATTATGCAAATTAGCTCATTTGCATAAATTGTGACGTCATCAATCAATTTTTGATTAAGAATTTTCAAGTATAGCAACATATCTATTAGAATTGAGGCCGAATGTCAGAATTTCTGCAAAGTTTGGTCCTTTAAACTATAAGAAGAAGGTATAAGCAACATAAAAGTGAAAACAGATTCAAAATTGGATCAGTATTACTAAAGTTATTCAACTTTCGAGGAAGCTACTGTGAATGTCATTATTTGACAATTATATTCAGACATCTTACTATGGAAGTTTAAAATGTTTGTAGCTTTGTCGTTATTTGGTCTATAGAAATGATATTGGTATCGAATTAGACCTTATTAAATTTCTTGTACGATTACAATGTTCAATTATGCAAATTAGCTAATTTGCATAAATTGTGACGTCATCAATCTATTTTGTTCAGAATATCCCAGTTTAGCAACATACCTATTAGAACTGAGGCCGTATGACAGAATGTGTGCATAGTTTTGACCTTTATTTGATGAGTGGAAGATATATAGGCAACATTCAAGAGACAACAGATTCAGAATTGGATCAGAATTAGCAGTTATTCAGCTTTTGGGGCAGCTACTGGGAACGACAATTATAAAAAGTTTTACAACAACGAAAAAAGAAACAAACATTGTTGTTTCAATCTTATTGAGTAAAAATGTACATGACTTGTTCATATTATTCCATTGAACTGAACATGTAAGTATGTGGAGATGTTACATGTATTTTGACTATCATTCACAGGGGTCAAAATCGTGTGATCTCGATCCTGTATTTTAAAATCCAATTTTATAATTTACCATACACTGTCAATGATTCATATAAATACATAGTGATGCTTTAATTATGCTATTTTGACATATGTTGACTAGTATACATATTAATATTTACAAAATTTATATGGAGGAGTGTTCTTGGTTTCATTTGATTTCTAACATGTGAAAAGCTGAAAACAAAATTTTGTTGTGTCAAGTATTGAGGGAGTCACATCACCCCCCCCCCCCCCCAGGATGCATTCCTTTGATGGAGCTGTCACACTTAGGCTTTGTAGCTCAGTGTACGCCACTGTGTGAATACTTTCCGGCAGATGGTAGGGTACAGGGTACTAATATGACAACTTCTTTAGGGGAGTTTTGTAACCTTCAAAATCCTTGGTGATTCAACCTTAGAATGATTTTTTATTATAGCTTTTCTGAAAATGGACTATAAGAAGCAGGTACTTCGGGAAGCAAATTGAAAAGTAGTTTTTATATAATTTTACATAGTATAACCTCTTTGATATGCAATGAAAAATGATAACCAAATCCATACAAAGAGCTCAGTAGTAGTACTTGTAATCCTGAAATTAAAGTCTGCTGAAACAGCCACGAAGAAAAAATGCCCTTTAAAAGAAGTGATATTCGTAGGACTTTAAAGATGCATTATGCCATAGGTTTCTCCCCCAGACAATCAATGGTGTCCTATTGTTATTGCTCATATAATATCTCACATACGATGGATATATCTTGAGAATAGCTTTTGGGTATATTATTGCCGAAATATCGGAAATAATCAACAGAACAACCAAACTCCAGAATTAAACACAATCGATTCCTCGGCTAGCGAGGGGAATCCCCATTGAGTCACACAAACGCCTTGAACCAGGCAGGCAATCAGGTTTATGATAAATAGATTCAACGACCAATTAGATAACAGGATGACTTTCCTGGTATATTCAAACTTCAGATTGAATTAATTTCTTCGAAAATAATTAGATCAGCCAGCACAATCGCAAAATTAACACTGAAAGAGGGGGATTTGGGACTTCTTCTTTGGTAAGTAGATGGGTATATATGTGGTGAAACTCAATATGCAAAAAAGTCCAGAGGGGTCTTGATTGTGTTATCCTATTGGCATAGAGCCTCTTTAACTAACCCTTCCTATATCGATATATAGGTTTCCTACATCTTGTTTTAAAAGGTTTCCAAAATATGAAATATGTAAAAATCTATGAAAAAATATGAGTCTCAAATGGATGGATTTCAGGTATACTCCCATACAGTATGGATACCATTCAAAACTGAGAACAGTAACAACAGGAGATTTTGGTGCAAAATAAAGGAGTTAATCATGTAGCATGATTGACAGAGGTTGAATCTAAACTATTTTAATATACTTTTTATAGTGTAGAAGCTTTAATAGGGCATGAAAATAGCATACAGTATGTAGTTTAGGGAGATATTATTTCATTGCGTGGATTTAAATTATTTTCAGACAAGGGTTTCTGAAGATCTAATCAATGTAACAGATTATATCAAAAACAAGGTGATTAATGTCATACAGATGATATTCGAGAGTCAAATCACACTGGTGAGGTGAGCATGGAGATGTGACAAAGATGATGGAAACATTAAGAATAAAAAGCATCCCTGTCATGAAAGTCACCACTGAAATAGATACAAAAGAAAAACTCAACCACTGCCAAATAGGTTCCGGACATGGATAATGGTACATGAAGATTATAGCATGAATGAATGCCATATAGGTGATGTTAACGCGGATATCAATGTCACATGGATGACATGGTGATAAATCGTTAATTTGTTCAAAGTTACACTATTAAGGTGATGTTAGTCACATGGAAATCAGTGACACTTGGATGTAGGAACTCTTGGGTTCACTAGGGTTCACACAAGTCCTCACTATCCATTTCTACGCTTCATTAACACTTAATATAAAAATGCAATACTATCTATGAACTATAATAGCTTGGTATGATAAATAATACTAGGTGTCTCAAAAATGTACCCAAAAGAATATTAATGGCACAGATAAACCAATCAATATTTTCAGATATTTTTGCATGGTCATGTTGCTGAAGCATGTAAGTTTCCTCCCCAATACAAAGTTTTTAGTTCAGTCTTGCCTTTTTGATGATTTAACCCCTTACTTTTTATTTCATATTTCGATGACAGCCTGTATCCTTTTGCTAGATCGTTCATTACATTTGATAATGTTTCAAGTGGAATGTTTTGATTTTCTCTTTGGGTGTTGGCCTTATGTTGTTCCAGGTCTTTTGGCTTGGGGTTAGCTTAACATGCTCCTTCAAATAACCCCAGAGAAAGAAGTTCCAAGGTTGAAGATGGCAGAACAATCACAGAGAACCAGGTTAATTATCGTCAAATGATTTTGCGGTTAATTGATAATGGAGTTCCATCTGCCAGAGTTACGGAGACTGAATGATATACAAATGAGAACACTGTGGTTCCAGACAGTTTGAGTACCTCCCTGTACATCAAGGACCACACAAAAATTCCCATGAAAGCAGTTTCTTCTCTCTGTGTAAAGACATTGTGAGGGCCTCTCTATTCAACAGATTTGACACCCCAAACATTTTCTCTGGGGTGACTTCAATAACCATGTTTATGCTTATCCCAAGCCAAGAGACATAGAACAACTTTAGATCAACATGTAAAAGGAAATTCAAAACATTCCACCAGAAACATTATCATATACGATAGACAATGTAGCAGTAAGGATGCAGTCTTTCATCGAAATGTAAGGAGGTTAAATTAAACACATGGAATAAAAAGGGTTAAAGCATCAAAAAGGCAAGACTGAACTAAAAATTTAGATTTGGAGAGAAAACTTACATGCTTTTCCTAAATTACCATGCAAAAAATATCTGAAAATATTGATTGATTTATCTTTGCTGTTGATATATTTTGGGTACATTTTTTGAAACACCCTAAATAAGAAAAATTGTATTTTTAATGTCACTGCCAATAATCTGACAAAATGAATGAAGGGGAGCCGATTTCTGCTAGAAAATTCAACAAATAAGCATATTGTATGGTAAAATCAGTTTTTAGGTGTAAGAATGGCGCAACGTCACCAGCATGCAAAAAGTCAATCTTTTTTCAATAAATCAAGCAGTGGGGGTCTAAACGACCTGTACAATAAATGAAAACACGTTATCATCACAAAATGAATGTTCTTGCTGTTTTTTAAATGAGGTTTTTAAAAAATATATTATTTTGATATTTTTTATAACATTTTGTAAATGATTTAAACAAGGCATAAACATGCAAAATATCACCACCTACCATTTGTTACAGATACCCAAGGCCAGACACCAGATGCCAAACACCATCTCAATAAATGGAGACCATAATAATATGTTACCACTTTTGATGGTGACATAAAAAACAGCAATGACATACATTTTGTGATATAACGTCATCAATTTGTATAAACAGGTCATATAGATGTTCACTGCTTGAAACCAAGCACAAATATTAATGTTTGACCTTTCATGATGTTTAAATAGATTGACGCCTATGAAGTAAATCAGTTAAAAATGCATGTAGATGTTCACTGCTTGAATCGCAGCACAAATATTTATGTTTGACCATGATGTTTCGCCTTTTTAAATAGATTGACGCCTATGAATAAAAAAAAACTGTTCTGACCCCTGTCAATGATAGTCAAAATTACAAATACCTGTATCATTTCTATAGACCAATTAATTCAGTGACATGGAAATATATATTTTTCTCTCAATAAGCTTGAATCAGCTTTGTTTCATTTTTGTTATTTTAGTGTTTTATTTATGATTGTCAAATAGTAACGTTCATAGTAGCTGTCTCAAATGCTGAATTACTTTGCTAATACTAATTCAATTTTGAATCATTTTTTATGTTGCTCATACCTCTTCCACTCATAGAATAAATGACAAACTATGCAGAAACTACGCCATACAACCTCGGATCTAATAAATATGTTGCTACACTTGGAAGTTCTGAACCAAAAATAGATTGATGACATCATGATTTATGCAAATTAGCTAATTTGCATAATTGAATATCGTTACCATACCGGTTATTCAATTCGGATCAATTTGATACCAAGATCTCCTCTATAGACCAAATAACGACAAAGCTACACACATTTCAATTCTAAGATGTAAGATGTTTAAAGTTAATTGTTAAATGATACATTCATGGTAGCTGCCTAGAAAGCTTAATAACTTTGTTAGTTTTGATCCAATTTTAAATCTGTTTTCACTTTTATGTTGCTTAAACCTATTGCTCATAGAATAAAAGTCATAACCTTGAAGAAATTCTACCGTACGGCTTCAGTTCTTAAAGATACATTGCTATACTTGAAAATTCTGAACCAAAAATGGATTTATGACGTCACAATTTATGCAAATGAGCTAATTTGCATAATTGAATATTGTAATTATATGGGAAATTGTTTTAGGTTTAATTTGATACTAATATCATTTCTATAGACAAAATAATGACAAAGCTACAAATGATTTAAGATTCCAAGGTAAGATGTCTATAGATGCGTAACCATGGTAACGGAATGCTACAATACAGAGCAACCAATGAGAGTTTGCAAGGGCATCCGGCAGAAAATTGAACCTCAAAGTGTTACCTTTCAAAAAAGTAAGGATGCCATAAATTAACAGAGACGAACACGTTGGGTAAATTTTTTGAAACGATAGAGAGGCATGGGTTTCTGACTAATGGGGTGAAGCACATATAAATGTTTTATATGTCTCTGCTGACAATGAGTGAAGCATCTATTACAATAGTGTTAATCGAGCCATGTTATGCCTGGGTCACATTTGCTCCGATCCATCAGCGGGCACCCGGCCGATTGAGAATTTTGCTCAATATTGTGCCGTAGTGAAAATCGAGCAAGTGTGACCAAGGCATAAGATATTGTAACGAATTTTTCATTTTTCAAAATTTTATTTTTGGAGTCCAGTACCGTTTTACACTTTAGACAGGTTTGACAGTAGGAAAGTGTTTCCCAGTCACAGTTGACAGCTTATATAGTTATATTTATGAATAGAACACTTTAGGTGTACTGGGAATAGTGTAAACTACTCTTTTCTTGGAGATTTATTTTGCTTTCGTTCGTGTGCATTTTCTCACCTCCTATTAGAGAGCTCTGTTGACCTACATTCAATAACTCGTTTTTCCTTGCAATTTCGCCATAATTAGAGCCAATGATGATTGATTTTTGTTATATTTATCTAGTTTATATCTTAATCTAGCTAGTTAATTACAAGATATATGTTTGTTCTGTGTTAAAAAACAGAGATCGTGATTGTTAGGTGAAGCTAATTTTCTGCAAAAGTTATGTCATCATTGCATCATATTAATTAATTATGCACTAGTGATATCCTGCCTGGGATTCCAGTGACTGGCCAGGTATTGCATCAGCCGCTCGTGAGCTATGATTGGTTAGGCAGATAGTTTCGTGTGCAAAACACATGTTACATACATGTTGGGGTATAAATACAGTGGCGGACGTGACTCGGGGGCTTCTGACACACTGACTTTTGACGAACGGGACTATGTGGCTCTGATATTCGGGAGTTTTGGAACTACAAAACTTTGTCGTTTTTGCTAACTGCAAAACTTAGATGATTCGTGGAACTACAAAACTTAGGAAGTTTCTGCTAACTGAAGAACTTAATCAATTCATGGCATGGATGATTGACTTGCCTATTGAACTTCATTAGCCTGATGTAGTAACCATAGATGATTATAAGCCACTGATGTTGGAATCTAGATGAATAAACTGGCTTATTGAGGGAAGCAATTGGAACTACAAAACTTAGGAAGTTTTTCGCTGACTATTAGCCCGATAGTCCTAGATGATTATAAGCCACTGATGTTGGAATCTAGATGAATAAACTGGCTTATTGAGGGAAGCAATTGGAACTACAAAACTTAGGAAGTTTTCTGGAACTACAAAACTTAGGAAGTTTTTCGCTGACTATTAGCCCGATAGTCCTAGATGATTATAAGCCACTGATGTTGGAGCAGATAGCACATTGACTTTTGACGAACGGGACTATGTGGCTCTGATTTACGGGATTTTTGGAACTACAAAACTTAGGCAGTTTTCTGGAACTATAAAACTTTGTCATTTTTGCTATCTGCAAAACTTAGTTGTTTTTCTGCTATCTGAAGAACATAGTCGATCTGCTACATGGGATGACTGACTATTGACTATTGACTATTGACTTTTCTTAGCTTGATGAAGTAGCAACTGATGATTATAAGCCATTGATGTGAAAATCTGGATGAATTTATTGGCTTATTAGAGGAATTTTTGGAACTACAAAACTTAGTCGATCTGCTACATGGGATGACTGACTATTGACTATTGACTATTGACTTTTCTTAGCTTGATGAAGTAGCAACTGATGATTATAAGCCATTGATGTGAAAATCTGGATGAATTTATTGGCTTATTAGAGGAATTTTTGGAACTACAAAACTTAGTCGTTTTTGCTATCTGCAAAACTTAGCTGATATTTTGGATCTACAAAACTTAGAAGTTTTCTGCTATCTGAAGAACATAGTCGATCTGCTACATGGGATGACTGACCATTGACTATTGACAATTGACTTCACTTAGCCTGATGAAGTAGCAACTGATGATTATAAGCCATTGATGTGAAAACCTGGATGAATTTATTGGCTTATTAGAGGAATTTTTGGAACTACAAAACTTAGTCGTTTTTGCTAACTGAAAAACTTAGCTGATATTTTGGGTCTACAAAACTTAGAAGTTTTCTGCTATCTGAAGAACATAGTCGATCTGCTACATGGGATGACTGACCATTGACTATTGACTATTGACTTCTCTTAGCCTGATGAAGTAGCCATTGATGATTATAAGCCATTGATGTGACAACCTGGATGAATATATTGGCTTATTAGAGGAATTTTTGGAACTACAAAACTTAGTCGTTTTTGCTAACTGCAAAACTTAGCTGATATTTTGGATCTACAAAAGTTAGAAGTTTTCTGCTATCTGAAGAACATAGTCGATCTGCTACATGGGATGACTGACCATTGACTATTGACTATTGACTTCTCTTAGCCTGATGAAGTAGCCATTGATGATTATAAGCCATTGATGTGACAACCTGGATGAATGCATTGGCTTATTAGAGGAATTTTTGGAACTACAAAACTTAGTCGTTTTTGCTAACTGCAAAACTTAGCTGATATTTTGGATCTACAAAACTTAGAAGTTTTCTGCTATCTGAAGAACATAGTCGATCTGCTACATGGGATGACTGACCATTGACTATTGACTATTGACTTCTCTTGGCCTGATGAAGTAGCCATTGATGATTATAAGCCATTGATGTGACAACCTGGATGAATTTATTGGCTTATTAGTGGAATTTTTAAAACTACAAAACTTAGTCGTTTTTGCTAACTGCAAAACTTAGCTGATATTTTGGATCTACAAAACTTAGAAGTTTTCTGCTATCTGAAGAACATAGTCGATCTGCTACATGGGATGACTGACCATTGACTATTGACTATTGACTTCTCTTAGCCTGATGAAGTAGCCATTGATGATTATAAGCCATTGATGTGACAACCTGGATGAATTTATTGGCTTATTAGTGGAATTTTTGGAACTACAAAACTTAGTCGTTTTTGCTAACTGCAAAACTTAGCTGATATTTTGGATCTACAAAACTTAGAAGTTTTCTGCTATCTGAAGAACATAGTCGATCTGCTACATGGGATGACTGACCATTGACTATTGACTATTGACTTCTCTTAGCCTGATGAAGTAGCCATTGATGATTATAAGCCATTGATGTGACAACCTGGATGAATATATTGGCTTATTAGAGGAATTTTTGGAACTACAAAACTTAGTCGTTTTTTCTAACTGCAAGACTTAGCTGATATTTTGGATCTACAAAACTTAGAAGTTT